TATATATATATATATATATATATATATGAGATTAGTTGTGGCAGTGACGTTAATTTATATAAAATTTATGTTATCACACGTCAGATGATTGAAATGTGCGCCCACGTACGAGACAGATGGTCACGTAGAATATTGTTAGCCGAGGAATTAAACGTGATGGAACACAGTTACACAAAGTACCATACATATCTCGCTTTAGCTCTGCACAATGCAGTGCAGCATAAGGACGCGGATTATTGTAAGTTTCAGAATTTATTGGCAATACTTAGTGTATTTCAAGATAGTTGCCCGCAGTTCCGCGGTTCAACCGCGGTCAGTGATAAGTGATTCTTGCGAACAATCGTAAAATCGGTGAAATATAACATTTTATTTATTATTTTCACGACAATAACTGAGATATATCAACAATTAACATGTATTCACGTGTGACATCATAGATATACTTTTGTCGCTCGAAAAATATTCATACCGTATTAATGAATGTCAAAGAGAATGATTAATAGCTGCATGATTAACGTTTAATGATTAATTATACAGCTTCCAATATGTGTGTAACGTTTCTCCCTTGCTTTATTTACAGTGACTGGCTTAAGTTCAGCCTTTAATTGCAGTATGCCGTGTGCTTAATTTTGTATTAATAGAGAATGCCACTCGTTACTAATTTAACAGCATTACCGATGTGACTCCTGATTTCCCCCGTTGTGGGATTAACAGCGACATCAATTCCACTTCATTTGTACCAATTACCGCTTTGTACCACAACGATTATGAACTTTTCATAGTAGTACTTGGCTATGCTGTTGTTCCTAGATCAGTGTATCTGTTATCTTGCATATAATTAATATCCTTTATTTTTTATACTAATTATTTTAGATTTATAAATATATTACGCGGATATCTATAACATATCGGTATAATGTAAAATTATGTATTTAATATTGAATTTACTGATTTTATACGTAAGAGATAAAGAGAGAGATAAATATATTAATTTACTTTACAAAATAAAAATTGAATAATTATATTTGATTAACTCTAACTTCACGGTTGTGAATATTTAATTGGCACCTCTTATCACTCTGCATTTCAACTTCCACGATATCCTGTCTCCCATTCCTTTCCAGATAAGTTGATACCAACTTCCACAATCTATAGTAATAGTAGTACATCGCTCGAAGACAGTGAGAAATTTATTAAACTCATCACTCATCTCAGTCGAACCTTATTGGCGGAAATAGCACATCAGAGTTTACCACCATCGGGCATTCCTCTTTCAATACCAAAATTAATTTATGGAAATGATTGGCAAATCAGGTAAAAATTCGATGGTCAATGTATCAATATACTATACACATAAATATGAGAGTATCTGTAAGTTAAAACATATCCGAAATTATCACTTCTTCGAAATTTCAGTTCAGAGTCGTTGTTATCTGTTGAAGTTTCCTTAAATAAATATGAACAAACCTTTTCCTACATACGTTGGTATCAGTATGAGGAACAATCTTCTGTCCTGAATTCGTCATCGTACGACTTCCATGACGAGATAAAAGATATCGCCATCGATTCATAACGTTGTAGGAACGAAGATTTTAGGCAAATGTAGATTTAAATATATATATACTATGTATTATGTTCCATTGATATACACAAGTAATGGCATTACAAAAAATAACAACTAATTATATATGTATATATATATGCATTTACATTTCCTAGTTAACAGATATCAGTTGTGAAAGTTTTGTCATCGGTAACTTAGGATTAGAGAGAGAAAGAGAGAGAGAGAGAGAGAGAGAGAGAGAGAGAGAGAGAGAGTGTGTGTGTGTGTGTGTGTGTGTGTGTGTTTTATATGTTAAAAATATATTGACGATCATACCGGTAATATAATTATTTCATATAAATTATCCTTGATACGAAACGTATTGTACGCATTTAACAAAATTGATAAAAAATTACTATGAAGGTAAAATATGAGTTCATGAAACATTTGCGGAAAAGGCAGAGATGTGATATCTCTATATAGATAATAGTGAAATTAATACATCACATTTACATATATTCAAGTGAGAAATTCTTAATATACTGCACATAAGAATTAACTCTGTGCAATCACAACGGCACCATTCTGGCCGATGGCTCCGCTCTGTGCTCCTGTAGGAGCATTTGATGTTTCATTAGTACTAACAGGAGAAGATGAATGATTGTTTGCATTTGTTGCGGCTAACGCCTTGTTTCGTAATTCGAATACCTGTTGTATTGCCTTACGGAAACAAAGGAAATTATAGTCAATTACACCTGAAAATTAAGAAAAGTCAATAATTCCTCATGACATATATAAATATATACCCAGCACAACAGGTGCGTATGTACACACCTTGCCTATCAAAATTATCTTCACGTAAGATGCAGACCAACGCCAAAAATTTGTTTACTTCACGCAGGTACAAAATTGTACCATTATTTAGCTTAATTAAACTGGAACTTTGGTTGTCAAATGCAGCCGCTTCTAAATCCTCTCTTAATCTAAAAAAAAAAAGAGGAAAACACGGAGAGAAAATATAAACGTACAATAAAACATATGTGGTAGTTGTAATTAATAGTTAAAGTATAACCATTTACCCATATATGCAGGAAACATCGATAACAACATCGATCATATCACAACACAATTCATAACTTTGCATATCGACGGGTGAGCTATCTGTTGCAATATATATTTTTGAAACGACATCAAACAGAAACGCCTTTTCAATTCCAGAATTCTGTATGAATATAATGGTATTACATAAACACAAATTTCACCCTGTTAGGATATTCAACGCTATTGTTTTTAAAGAAGAATAAAAACTCCCCCTTACCGATATGAGGATATTGAGTAAATTTTCTAAAGTAGGCAGCTGTGGTATTAATTTTTGGACAACTTTGCTGAATGCTTCAAATATACTATGATCGTAGATTGAGGTCAAGTGAAAACTCAAATGAATTTGATCACACCCTGAACAGAGTTATATCAGTTTGATTAAGTGGAACTAATATGGGAATAATGCAATGATTTCTTTAGCAATTGTCTTTTTACTTACCAGCATCTGCTAAATCATCATTTGCCCTGGTATGTATATCTCTTTGTGTTTCCATCTTACAGTCGTCTGATAATCCATCCACTTTATGGATAAAAACTTCAAACTTAATTGCTTGATTAACTTTATAAGCCTTTGTGACTGTTAAATGAAGCTTATTAAGCGCCTCCATGTAATCGTCTTGAGCATCTATCACAAACACCAATGCTCCACAACCACCGAATATCATATCACTGTCAAAGGTAGGGTCGAAGAAATCAATTTGTCCAGGAAAATCCCATATTTGAAACTGCACGAAGCTCGAATTGCTTATATCATCCTTAATTATTTTATTTGTACTTTCTAAAAACAGAGTCTCATTTGGCGACATTTTATGGAACACCACCTTTTGTATGGATGATTTGCCGCTACTGAAAACCAAAAGAGAAAAGGTATCAGGTGGATGAATGCTTAATCGAAGAATTTATACAACCTGTCACATGATGAATAACTTTACCGTCTAAGACCCATCAAAAGTATTCTAGGTTTCTGTTCTCCTGCCAACGGATCCATAGATCCTTCTGTTTCTCCGTCGAATGGTGCATATCCAAAATCTTTAGGAAAAGAACCAACATCGTAGCCACCTTGATACTGATCATCATCATCCTGTAACAATGTTGTATCATTCTTCAAAAGGCTGCATACAAACATATATCTTCGTGTAAAACTCATTAATGAAATTTTAACGTATAAATTAGGAATATGTTGTTATTGTTAACCCTAAATATCAATAATAGTATCACAATAGTTTTTTATTCCCAGAACACATGTCCAAGTTATTTAAGAACGTGAGAAACGCCTACTGGTAAAAATGGTGATATTTTTATATCTTTTTTCAGATAATAACAGTCAACTGTGATACCGTTTATCGTAACAAAGCCTTTAATAAAAAAAAATTCCACAGCAAATCCACTTACCATGCTTGTGATATTAAAACAAACGTGCTGTGCGATTCTAAACTTTCTTCCGACAAAGTATAAATTTCAGGAACGTCGTAATTTTACGTCTGTTTAATCGAGTTTAAATATATTAAAAAATTACATGAACTACAAAGTCAGATATACTTTGTCACTTTGTTTATAGTTTGCAGGGGTGTGATGTTTGATATAGACAATATATCGCCTGGTGCGTTGATTGGTTGTTGACCGGATAATATTCAACGTTAAAGCTATGTCTACAATGCAGTAGCTGACAGTCGTGAAGTCGTAAAATCGCAGTTGTTGAATCGGCCTACTTCCAATCCCAGCTAGTGGATAGGTCATAGTCGATGAAATTGGAAGTGGACCAACTCAACTACCGTGATTATACGACCGTGTGACCGTACTGTAAACCCAGCTTAAAGCTTGAGAATCGACTCTTGACAACAGGTTGGCAATCGTTTTATTTTTCCCCAGGAACGGAATTAAATTACTTCGGTGAATTTTGGGACGCGTTCGATATTCAATAGAGGAATTTATTTTCTAGAAATGAAAATATCACCTGTAGTTGGTCCCTTGGAAATGATTAAACAAATCAGTACAAATTTCAATAAACTTTAAATAATTCGACACATTAGCCTTGATGAAAAGTATTAGCGTTTTCGATTTGCTGAGGTTGTCGTACTACATTCTGATCGATGCCTTTCTAAAAAAAAAATTCTAAAAATTGCTTCTAAGTTTTTTTTTCTACCGTGAAATCCACTTATTACTAGAAAGGTAGGAAAAGGTTGCAGCAAGCAGTGGAAAATATTTTAATTGAAATGCAACGGGCTTTTTTCAAATGTATTTTTAAGCCAAAAACCCTCAATATTTATTTATATAAATGGAGCTGAACTCGAACGAAAAACTATATGTACAAATTTGTCGTAATTTTTATGATAAATAATTTAAAAGTCACGTCGGTCGTGCTCTTTCTTGCAACAATATTTATTCCAGTTGCAAGTGTGCGCAGGAAAAGTATCACTTAGGAATCTGTAAGCAATATAATTTGTCCGTCAAAAGAACGATCAAGTACGTCTTCATAGCAACGATACCCATAATCGGTGAGCTTTCGTAAGAAAGATCTATAATCCTTTGTTTGGAGGTTTTCGCCTCGATATCGGGTTTCTCATACAAGAATATATGCCTCGCATGTTCCGCTATAGCTATGTACGAACCGTCTGTAATGAAACAAGCGAATTAAATTAACACTACTTCCTTTCCTCAGTGACTTCAGGGGTGATTTCGAAGATTATCTCTTGACATCTTACTAATTGGAGCTACGCAGAATTTCTTGTTAGTTTTACTAGCTTCGACATAGCCGAACCCAGGAAAGTTGTGAATATGCCTCATGTCCCATCGGGTGCCATCGTCACACGTGTCATCCGTCATCCAAACACAGGCATCGTGATCATGCCTCAGACATATCACTTGCCCGTGTTTCCTCTCGCATGTGAACAATACGTGATTATTACTTCCCAATCTGGCTAAGTGTGTGGTCGTCCGTGTGGAAAGATCGATCCTCTGTAGAAAGTTATCTCTACCCTCCAGATCGCACTCCTCCAACTGTTCGGCATTGAAGCCCACACAAGGTTGATCCCTGCTATTGTCACTTTGCTGATCCGTGCACAGGTGTGCTAACCTTTAGAAAATAGTTACATATTACTTCAGTAATCATTCAATGATCATTTCTGTGAGCCAAATTACAGAAATTAATTATGCAATAAATAATCACAAGTGAAAAGCGTGAGTGAAGGATAATTAGATGTTGTAAATAATATTATGAATACAGCTGATGTTATTAGCGATGAAACTGTGTTACTTAATAATAAAAATGTACGAATTGTAGAAAATACCTCTCGTGAATCTCTGCGGCGAGAGTCTCATTTGGCAGACGTTCACCTCCCGTGTCACCTTTAATTAGTTCGCTCCACATTAATCCACTTTCGTATTTGCTCACATCGATCTGCAACGTGTCCTCTTTGCGCCTCCAAGTTGCCATATTCTCCTCTAATCTGTGTTGGCACTTCCCTTGTATCAAAATTTCATTGCCTATCGCAACGCACAATTCCAGTGGCTTGACGCTTATTTTGGGTTGTTGTTCAGCACTGCACCGCTTCGGTATTTTAACCCAAACAGTGAGCGAATCTTCATCTTGCGACCAGTAATATTTTGGTATTTTTATTTGCGAATCAATGTTCGGTTGTTCTACTTTTATCTCAGACTTTTGTACATCTCCCTCATCGAAACTGATATTATCTTGGCAAATGGAATGCAGATAATTGCCGTTCTCTTCCACATAGGCATAATCTATAGTACCCTGTACCTTCAATATCTGTCTGTCAATGTAAGTAATATTTTTCACTTCGTTTTCTACAAATTCTAAGTTATACGACAGCAATGTGAGCTGTGTATATTTCTTTGGATCATCGTTAGCAATGGCACACATGGTTACAATAATTCTTGAGCCTTTTTGTACATGTTGCACATTCATAATAACCCCAGGTTTTACAGGATCCGCTGTAAATACTTTCACATTCTGTCTCTTATTTCCTATTAAGATATCCAGCTTCTCACCACCATCAGAAATTGCTGAAATTTCATTAGAAGTAAACCCAATAGATGGGTTATACGTCATCTTTGATAATTCAGCTTTCGCAGCACGTAATATGTGCATTTTGTCAAAGGAATTGTTCTTATCGAAGCGCCAAACAGCCAAATCCTCGTCAATAAACCAACACGACATGTCGTGAGCATTTTTATACAAATGATTGTGAAATGCGAACAGTCTCGCTTCTAACCAAGATTCCTGATTTTGGTTTGGCTCTAACCTATATACATCTGAAATATAATGTTTTTATCTTATTATATAACTAACAACGTGCATCTCAATGTTATATTTATACAAAATATATAATATTTTCTTTTTTTTTATAATACATATTAAAACTCACGTTTCTTTAGGCTGATTTCAGAAATTATAGGGGTGACATCGGTGCAAAATTGATACTTTTCAAAGGAAGAGTTCATCAAATTTTTATCAGGACGTAACTCAATTATTTCCGTCATTGTGTCCGTTTTATTTGCGGACGGTATTAACTTAACACATAATATTGAAAAAGTCAAATTTACACATACGAGTGACACTTTTGACAGAATGCATATAACAAAGTTGAAACAAGGATAAAATGATGCTTTGGCGCTAGTAGCGCACTCGCCCGAACGTAATCAACACCGCGATTACAACGCCACTCTCGATAATATCACTAATGATCGTTAAATACGATTGAAACTGTTTTTTACTAGATGGCGCAATGATTACATTCATTCAAAATTCATACTCTGCAAATTACACAAAAAAATTGTCCAGTTCAAAAATTTATAGTTATTTTCTAATAAAAAATTTTGAAACATGCTTCAAATATGTAGGAAATGCATAAATATGTAGGAAAAATCCTTATCCTAAAAAATCTTATATATTTTTTTTTTAAATTCGCAAAAATAGCATAAAAATTCAGCTTCTAGAATATCCCTTTAAGAATTCCATTCTAAGTTGCTTTAGACATTGGAGTGACACACATCTATAAAAAATAATTTAATTATATTCTTACAATACACTGGAAAATACATAAATATATCTACAAAACATCTTAATACAAAACACAACAAAATTTTGATATAAAAAAAATATATATATATATATATATGTGTATAAAATACATAAAAAAATAATATATCTACTCTCAAATACACTTTATTTCCCCTCCTAAGAATTAAAACCAAGTTTTCCTCAATATAAACTACATATACACAACCTCAATATAAAACCAAGTTTTCCTCAATATAAACCACAATTAAATAACTATCATTTTCAAATCATTTTTATGACAAATTATTGTTCCTTAAGATCAGAAATTATTTAAATTCATTTAGCTTCTATCTGTAACGCAGATTCCAATCGTGAATCCCTCTTTTCTGTGATATTTTGTTTGATGTACAAAAATACTATACATATCTAGGATATGACGTCGTCGCAAGACAGACGTGACAGAAGAATTATTCGTTAAAAATCACCTATGGCAGAGATAATATTAGATAGTGCTTTCCTGGCGTCGTTTTCCTTAAATACATTTAAGACCTCCATCGCCCTTCGTGAATGCTCTTTCACGAGCTCCTTGGTTAATTCAATGCCCGGGCCAGCTGTGACAATTTCAAGCACCTACACAAAGACATCATTCACATGGTCGTTGATTCATTAAGAATAAATCTAAGAAACGAAAAGCAAAACCAATTATACAAATTATACGTCGACTCTCATACCTTTAGATAGTCGACATTTTCCACTGATTTGAGTCCCTTTTCAAGTTCCACTAAGATTGATGGATCATGTTCCACGTGGAACATAATTGGTGCAGCGCACAAATTATGCAAGATCGTTTCGTCCTTGTTAACGCACAAAGCTAAATCTAAGTAAGCCTATAAAAGTATGTTACCACACATAAAGTTGTTTATAGAATTATTACAAAAACACACACACACATACACATATATTTCCTCATTACCTGCCAAGCTAAAGAAAGATGTTGGCCAAATTTGTAACCCTCCTGTTGTATTTCCATGCTATGCCCAGCTAATTTCAGCGTACTCTGACAACTTTTTGCAAGTAACGATCCAGCACCATAAATATTCAGAAGTTCCCATTCTTTCAATGCATAGCCTGTACAATCTCCTTCCGGTGGTATCGATGGTATAGGAAAATTCTGATCGTCTCTGCGTGCTACAAATTCTGCTTGGGCTATATCCGCCACTGCGGATGATATCAAGAACACAACCTGAAAAACAACACGTCTGTATCAATAGACATTTCCATAAATCGAGAAACACACAACAATACAAAGTATTTACAGAGAAAATAATAAACATGCGCATGCAATATGTACTTACATCCTGATTTCTGAGACCGGCCAATTCAACACAACTGTTGCTAAGCAAGTAATCACCGCTTAACAAGGCTATCTTGTTGCCAAATGTCATACGGTCCATTTCCGCGGCTCCCAGAGGTGAGTCTGCATTTATGTTTACCAGTCCCTTGTGAATCAAACTGCTGGTGCGTATCATCTCTGTAATTTCAGCCAATGCTCTTTGACTGAAACATATTTGAAGTTAAAAATTTTGATAGATACACATTGTCGCACATTTTTTGTTATAACTAGCAACTTTTGTATCATTGTTATGTATGTTGTACCTGTGTAATACCCCTGCTGATTTGTCCTCCTCTATGTGATTTACATGCAGATGACCAGCAGCCTTAGAGATCAACAGCACGATGAGACCGAATGCCTGTATGTTGTTGTGCCCATTGAAAACAATGTTTCTGCGATGAAATATGAAATACAAATGAAATCTTTACTTTTTTTTATTCTTCAGGAAAGATTGTCACAGTACTTACTTAGCTGTTTGCAACAAAGGATGGTTGGATCCAACTAATTTCCTCAAGTGTAAAGCAATATTTGCAATCTCATCGCTCAGCAACCATCTTAAGCTTAAAAAAGACGTTGGATATCCAACAATTTTTTCTGCCTCTGACAAAGCTCTATTCCAATTAAGTTTTTTATTCGTCGCTGCGATAGCCGCCGCTGTTGCTTTCTTCTCATCGAGGAGAAATTTCTTTTGTGCAGAGACACAGATCGTTCTCTGGATTTGGAAAATATCATATGACTTCCACAAGGCCACAGGATTATTTTTTCTCCAAAATCTCAGTACAGCCATATTTGCTGACATTGTTAACCTTACTTGTTGAGCTTCTGCTGTAGCAAAGATTTTATAAAAAATTACATCAATCAAAGAATACACCAAATTTAACAGAAAAAATATGAAATGTCAGAACTTTCTCTTCTGACCTAATTTTCAGCCATTTCTCCTGTAACCGTGTCATGCATACCTCGCTCTCACATCAAAAATATAGTGTATAAAAAAATGTCAAAATTCTTGCAGAAGATAAGTAACGTTACATTAATATCTACAAAATGTGAGTAGAAATTTCAAGTAAGAATTTTATTCAAGCATGACATCACAATGTTAGTTCATTAGTTTAACCTTTAAACCATGATTTTTACTTTAAGAGCAAAACATTTAATAAAAAATAGAACAAATCGACATATGCTACCAAATTAACCAAGGAATTATTCATTTATATTGTATTAAAAAATAAGGTCAAGCGTTTAATTTACATAGTACGTATGTGAATCAACTTCGAATGTTTCATACGAGTATTTATAGGTAAAATTATGTTATTCGTCGAAACTTACCGTATACTGGACGGATTAAATATCACAGAAAAATATCGCATCTACTGACACGTGTTTAAATCGTACTGAGAGCCTGGAATGTCATATATCCAAGCAAGTTTTACGTCATCACACGTTATGTAGATACGTAACGTAGGCATTCACCGCACAACACAGGACAAAAAATGAACCAATCACGTAACTGCATAATAAACATTGATCTCCGTATCGGATGCATGCGAATGGTGCGATTTCTTTGAGCAAACATTTATGTACAAGTGACGTCGCGTCATGCTTTAACGTTGGACCAATCAACGAAAATGCGCGCAAAGTAAGCGCTTCCTAGAGGGCTCTGAGTGTGAGCGGTTTGCGATGGCGGGAAGGCGCCGTGTGTACCGCGTGAAGTTTCAATTCATGACCGAGCCTTATCAGGGTTATGTTGTGGTCATCACGATTACATGATCGCCACGATACATCGGCCAGTAATGATATTTATTTTAACATTTCTTTGATATTTCGCCCGAAACCGTGGAGAAAAGTTGAAGAGTTGGAGAAATGTTGAGCGTATTATGCAGCCGTTTATTGGGCGAAGCGTCGCGAAACAGGAGACTGTGGGTCGCAACGAGAAATATATATTTCACCAGTATCCCGACGCGATTAAGATCATCCAAGAAATTCTACGTTGCTTGCAGTCCTAGCTTTCCGCTTCTCAGCATCCGGGTAATTTATTTACAACTATTATGTATAATTACATATATATGTATATATACATATATATGTGTATATATACTGCTAGTATTCTTGAATACACTTTTGCTTGTATTTTTATTATTTATCAAATATTAACATGTATGTTAATATTTGTTAAGTTTTAAAATATATATATCAAAATATATTTTGTGTGTTACATATACATATAGCTTTGCAATATTATGTATTGCATGAAAGAAATATGCGAATGTATGGTATGATATGGAAAATAATATATAAATATACTGCTGTTATATATATGTTGCTTCTGCAGATTTAATATATCTACTTATGTACATGATGGGTCGAACGTCGAGAAAACGTCGCCAAAAGAAGGAGCTGAAGCTTGTTGAATTGAATGAAAACACCGACGAGTCCTTAATGCATTTAAAATCTTGGCTTCTGAGCAAGAATTGCTTGCTGATTCGTCACCTGACACCAGAGTATTTTCCTGTTACAGGCAGGGGCTTAAAAACATTAAAACGTATAGAGAACGATGAAGTACTGATACAACTGCCGTTTGAAATATTGATAACAACAGACGCATTGTTACAGAGTAATATCGGGATCTTGTTTCTCAATAATATCACTGATATCTTCAGTCCTCAGTGTATGCTCTCGGTGTTTATCGTGTATGAAACTCACTTAGGGATTGACTCGAAGTGGTATCTTTATCTGAAGACTCTGCCACGGTCTCTTACAAATCCGGATTTTTCTTCTAACAAGGAAAAACAGGCACTGCCAGACTTCATTGCGGACTCTTTGCACCAAGCGCACAAATTGAAAGATGACTTTTCTCTGTTGACTAAAGCTATAAGACATTTAGACACAACTAACAGGAGCCGTTGCGCGCACTGCAACGTACATGTGCGAGAGATAATAACATTTGCAGGATACAAATGGGCGTATTATGTCGTTAATACAAGAGCAGTTTATGTAGACGCCAAACTATGCAAGGCGAACGCGTTTAACATTAGACAGCCTAACAATCTGGCCCTGGCGCCGTTCTTAGATCTATTCAATCATGACGTTAACGTTGCTGTCACGGTTTCTGTTATCGAGGACGACGCTCAGAAGCAGTTTTACCAGATCGTTACTTCAAAATCTTTCGACGAAGGATCTCAAGTTTTCATCAATTACGGCGCACACAATAACTTGAAATTATACATCGACTATGGATTTTTCATTCCGTGTAATCCACTGGACGAGATCCACTTCGATATTTCTGATGTACGGAGATGTACGGACATTTCGAAGAATAAGCTGGGTTTCATTACGATCAATAATTTCCACAAGAATATGTCGTTTACTCGCGACGGTTTGAATTATAACGCGATGGTGACGCTGTTCGTATCGGGTACAAGATTGGGACGAGATCGTTGGAAAGCGAAGATATACGGTGAGACGTTTAATTCGGATGAACGATATGTAATTAACAAGCTGGGGATAAGTGTCTTGAACTTGAAGAGAACGGAGTATACGCGCGCTCTGAGCGATATGAGGAACGTGAGACTCGAAACTCCGAGTTTTGCAATCGCGATCGGTCTTGTGGAGGAATATATTAATACTTTAAATGCGTCACTCGGTCTTATGGAAAGAACTGTAAGATCTCTGCGTCCGGAAAACGACAATCCACAGCATTTTTTAAACGCACCCGCATTATGTATGATGTAATAAGGTGTCTGTGTAATGTAGTGTAGAATATGTACGTCTAATTTGATCAAATACATCTCTTTTATAAAGTGTCGTGACAACGGCAATAATCGTTTCTTTAATTTACCTTCCATTCGCTATCCATATTACAAGATACAAGTATTCGCAGGTGTTTTAGAAATACTATCTTTCGATACGGATTAATTTTCGCGTGTATCCACACATTCGTCACAAGACAAACGTGCAAATGCATCTTCGCTGCGGCCGTTCGTCTTGATACACCGAGATCGTGATGTAACTTAAACTTTTTTTCATTGTTCCGCAGTGTTGCAGCGGCAATGTGATAGAGCGCGCCCAGAAGAAGAAGGACTGCGTGCCGCAGTCGAAATCTGTCGTGCCACCGGTGAAATTCACGTCGGTCGTCGCCAGCCTAACCGGAGCAAAGCCCGGTCAGCAGAAGAGGAACTGCTTTCATCCCGGTATGTCCGGTTTGAGCAGAGATGCGATCGATCTGCAAGACAAATCGTCAGTCACCAGTACAGACATGCTTAAAGCCATGCTCAAGTACATCTGGCCGGAGGTGAGTGACATCCCCGATGGAAATATTTTACGGAAAATTTGCTGAAGTATATCCGAAAGTCCCTCCTCAATTGGTACTTCATCATCGCTTCATCAATATTTTAGTGAAAAATTACTTCTGCCGATATTCCAGCAATGTTTGAGTAAAAAGTCAATTTTACAAAATATCTCCATCGGAGACTGTTGTCACACGATCGTTGCAGGATGACCCGGAGATAAGGAAGAGAGTTAAGATAGCGGTGGGCTTGCTCGCGGGGGCCAAGGTTTTAAACGTCACCGTGCCGTTCATCTTCAAGTACGCAGTGGACATCTTAAATAGCCACAGTGTAGCAACCACCGGTACTGCCGTGATGGGCCTAACAACCGCGCCTGCTACAGTCGCGACTGTAGCGACGTCGCTGCTCGTAGGATGTAAGAACGAACCCCGATGTACTTTTCATTCTTCCGGGTTTTACTCTCTTCCCATTTCGACGAAGGAATTCGCGATACGATGCGCCTCGAATAATCCTAGTCTCGTTCTCTCTCTCTGATTTGTACAGATGGAATAGCCCGAGCCGGAGCGGCGGGCTTCAGCGAGCTCAGAAACGCGGTCTTCGCGAAGGTCGCGCAACATTCTATCCGCAAGATCGCGAAGAACGTCTTCCTGCATCTACACAATCTCGATATGACCTTCCATTTGAGCAGGCAGACCGGCGCTCTCTCGAAGGTAGTACTTCGTTCAACTTACTTTAGACTTCCTTTTTTCCTTTTTTTTTACTAATTAAATCCGAATATTAAAAGGAACTCATGACGCATTTACTTCCTTTCCAGACGATAGATCGCGGTAGTCGCGGCATCAATTTCGTCCTGAACGCCATGGTGTTTAATATCGTGCCGATAGTGTTCGAATTGGCGTTGGTCGGCGCAATACTGGGAGTAAAATGCGGACCGGAGTACTCGGCTGTCGCGCTAGGCTGCGTAGGCGTTTACACCGCGTTCACCCTGGGCGTTACGCAGTGGCGCACCAAGTTCAGGATTCACATGAATCAGGCGGAGAACGAAGCGGGCAACAAGGCTATCGATTCGCTCATCAATTACGAAACGGTGAAAGTCAGTAGCAAGACGTGACGGAATCCACTCGATTTCCCTTGGCAGGGATTCTCTTCGAGACGAAACGACAAGGGAACGCTAAGATATATGTATTTTCCTCTGTTCCAGTACTTCAACAACGAAAGCTTCGAGGCGGAACGATACGATCAGTCTTTGAAGAAATACGAGGCGGCGTCCCTCAAAACCAGCACGAGTTTGGCGCTGTTGAATTTCGGTCAGAACGCTATTTTCAGCGGCGCGTTGAGTCTCATAATGGTGATGGCGGCGCACAACATAATAAGTGGTGAATATACGTCACGTGATTACATTCAATTTAATTATATCGTGCTATTGTGTAATGTACTTCTGTTTCTTTGTGCAAGGTACTATGACCGTCGGAGACCTCGTGATGGTGAACGCCTTGTTGTTCCAGCTCTCCGTGCCATTAGGATTTCTAGGCTCGGTCTATCGCGAAGTGAGGCAAGCCTTCATCGACATGCAAACCATGTTTGCCTTGATGACAACAGAAACCGCCATTAAGGTGAGGTATCGCCCGGATACTGAAAGTGCCTTGCCCAGGCTTCAACCAATTAAATAATTTGCATACACCTTGTGATTGATGAAACGATTTTCCGGGGGGATCTTTGTCGAATAGTCGAAGGAAAACGCGACGAGATTTTACGTGACGCCAAATTCCTCGGACATCTTGTTCAAAAACGTGAACTTCCAATATGTCGAGGGAAAGCCCATTTTCAAGGACGTATCATTCACCATACCAAGCGGCAAGAAGGTCGCTATCGTGGGAGGATCTGGATCTGGGTAAGGTATTGGATATGCAAATTGCCGTTTGTAACGCGTATCACACTGAGCGTCAATTTTAATCAGTTTCTCACACACGATTTCTTTATTTATTTCTTTATTTTTTTTTTTTCAGCAAAACAACAGTCGTGAGATTGCTGTACAGATTTTTCGAGCCGCAAAGCGGCAACATTTTCATCAACGGCCACAACATCCGAGACGTCGATCTGGATGATCTCAGGAATTGCATTTCAATCGTACCGCAGGTGATAGAATTACCGGCATTTTCTCATTTTCGTATCGATGCGTCACGTCCCAAAGCCGATCCAAGGCACCTTTGCTCATCAATCTGCCATCATGTTGCAGGACACAGTGCTTTTCCACGAAAGTATATTTTACAATCTGCATTACGGCAATCTGAGGAAGTCGCGGGACGAAGTGTTCGAGGCTGCGAAAATGGCGAATCTGCACGACTCGATATTGAAGTGGCCGAAGGAATACGACACGCCCGTGGGAGAGCGCGGCTTGAAACTGAGCGGCGGTGAGAAGCAGAGGGTCGCCATCGCCAGGGCGATCTTGAAGGACAGCCCTATTCTTATTTTTGATGAAGCTACCTCCTCCTTGGATTCCATCACGGAACATGTAAGCTCTCAAATAACGTATCTTTTAAGGACCGTCTACAATAGCAGCAAGCTAATTGACCAATTGGATTCGTACATTCCAAAAGTAAGTCGACTGTGATTGGTCAATTAGCTTATTGCTTATATCTTACTGCTTATCCTCTTGTGGACGGTCCTTTATTGTCCTATTTTATGTTGCATCAGAAATGTTTCTCTCGATCTGATTCCAAATATCTCATTTCCAGAACATACTCGACGCTCTGCACAAAGCGACAGAGAGACGGACGTCGATCGTGATCGCGCATCGTCTGATGACTGTTATGGACGCCGATGACATACTCGTTTTAAACGAGGGTAAACTAGTCGAGAGGGGCACACATAATTCCCTATTGTCGACACCGAATTCCCTGTACGGAAAATTGTGGGATGCTCAACATTTAGGCATGAAGAAACCTAGTCAAGAAGCACAAGAACAAAGAACCATTGGTGAACAGTATAGTTAAAAACACGATGACATAGGTAAAAATATATAATATCGAATGTGAAAGTATATAGTCTTGTTAAAAATTCAGTGCTCGGGGGATTCCATAAAGATTCCCGGTCTACGATAGATATTTCAAGCCTTGAGAAATCGTGACTAATCACAATTAATTATTCTCTTCACATTCGACTGTGATTGGTCAATTTTCTTAAGGCTTAAACTTGAAGCAGCTATTGTAGACCAGGACTAATTATTGGAACTCGGCAGACACACAAGTTGTTTCAGGTGATGACGAACCATTACAATACTATTGTACAGGTGTAAGAGAGTATACGTAGTGAGACAGTAATATTTATTCCAAAGTCAATGTACATATAACATATAACGTTAAATAGTGATAATAGACAAGTGTTGTATATTTGATCGAATTGTTACAATAGTACGTATACATTCGTTATGTATGTGTGTATGTGTGTGTGTACTTCTTCACGAGTAACTGAAACCGATTATTTTGAAAATAATTCGTACGAATTTGAGGTAATACAAATGTCAGCTGCCATCGTTTGTATCATAGTCGACTTGTAAAAATGTAAACTGTAATAAATAATAAACAAGAGGATCTTACAGAGACAAAGGGAGAGAGAGAGAGAGAGAGAAAAAGAGAGATATATTCCAAACTTAAGATACACATGCTTGAAATATATATCGATTACTAAGTATTGCCTTGACAACCGTTCGAAACAGCAATGGATGCCCCGGCCAGGCTGCAACGAGTTTGACAGCTCTGTGACAATTCGATACTACGAAGGATGGATCGCACAATGCGAGTTGTAATTTAAATGTATAAAATGCAAACTGAAGCGTCTACCTTGCCGGTAGTACAACTTAATGTGAATAAAAAATCCGATAGGTAAATGAGATTTGAAGAAATTTGGAGAATATCCTTATACTGTTGTGTCACGCGCGGGTCAGTTGTATACCCCCTCGGATTGGATATCCGGGATTATTAGTTAACACAAATGCTCGAATGATGTGTATCATGCGATTTAGATTATAAGCTAAATTCATTAAGTATATATGCATATGTATATAAGTTGCAGAAAATCCAAGTCCAATTCAAAGAGCTCCACGCTGGAATCCAAGAAGCTCTCCCCTTGCAAAAACACATTATTTACATCGAATAGAAAATGTTTAAATCCTCTGCTCGGTTTGTATAAGAATTTAAAATACAGCAATTTACTTCATAATACCTGTGTTATATATATATGTATAGGTGGGCCTTATAAAAGCAGCATCAAACAGCAATCGCTATCGGATGAACCAAAATCTAGCAATAAAAGTTTCCTCGGACAGAGGGTGATGTCCGCAAAAATACTTCGCTTCAAACAGCTGCAAAACCAGTTAGCCGATGCGCATTATCATTTAAATGCAAGTATCTAAGAATATATATCTACCGAGAGATTAACCGAACCTGTTTATGTAACGCAGAAACAACTTTGTAGGAACTCGCGAATGAGAACAGGTTACTGAAAGCATTGCAGAAGAAGCAAGATTCCGCATTGAGGCGTTACGAGGGAACGAATGCGGAGCTACCGAGAATTATAAATTCGCATCACGAGGAATTAAGAGTACTTCAAACAAAGTACAAGAAATTAAAAGAACTGCACAGGGATACGTGTAACTTGCTGAAGGAGAAAGAAAATGAGCTTTACACCATAAATGTAGGTAATTCGAGCGATGCATTTATATACAATGGAATGTATAATTACGGACTCATGAAAATGTCACTTTGCAGTCACAGAACAAGCATCTACTGCAGCTCAGTAAAGATCGAAATCTTGGAGAAAGGGAAAAGTTGCAGTTACAAATATCCGACATGAATCATGAGATGCGGCAGCAACAGGAAACTATACAGGTAATTTTCAGTGTATGTTTCGGTAGTAAGCATCATGAATTAAATTAACGTGAATCGTAACGATTTATTTGTATTTCATGTGTAAATGTGATTTACAATGTTTTATTCGCAGATACTGCATAGGAAGCTGGCACTTGAAAGCAAGAGCCTGAAACACCAATTGCACGTCGAAATTTCCAAACACAAGGAGACACAGAAGAATCTGCAGGAAGCGATAGAGAAATTGAAAACCCTGGAATGCCTGTTAGACAATAAAGAGAAAAGATTATATTACAACGGTCAGTTGCCAGTCTACAACAAAGAGAAGAACCTGGGCAGTCATTCTTCCACAAATCTCAGCGATATCAGGTACAAAAATCACACCCTTTCGTATATATTTTTAATCGTGATATACAATATATGTTAAAAGTAGAGATATTAAATTTACATATAATATATATTTCGCATGGTACGTCCAATGCAATTAGACCGTCCGGTAGAAATAAGAAAAGTGGAAATGATACGCCAAAGGACAATCTGGTAAGGATAAATACGGTAAATTACATGTATTAGAACGATTCTGTGGACTTGGTGCCATTATTATTATTGATTACAGCCACTACTCGATACCCTGGAATCCAATGACGATGAAAAAGCGACTGAAGCAAAGAATGTTAACCGTGCGGGAGATCGATTGAAATCGGAAACAATGGCGAGCCTGCACCAGATACGAAAGTTCCGGCTGCAGAAGTCGCCGCACATGCGTAAGCACGCTCATTCTATGAGTGATTTGAGGCTCCGATTTAAAGATCCGGAATCGGAGACGCACGGCAGGAACGAGAAGATCACGATGTACCAAGACGCATCGGTAGACCTGAAGTCAACGCCAGGGAGGAACAGCCTCGGCAATGATAAAAATGAAAGTGGCGGGTTGAGGAAATTATTTAATAAGATGAAGAGTCGAGCCTCGCGAAATCTGCAAAGAGAAATGGAGCTCGAGTCCGATTATTTGTCCGACGATGATACGGAGGACGAAAACGCCGACGAGCGTGATATCGAGTACTACTCTGTTGATAGTGCGAAGAAATCCAGAGAGCTATATGCAAGGTGTGCAAAATTGTCGAGCGAACGCTCGAAATATAATCGCGAGATTCTGCGTCACAGTTATTCTGTCGCTTCTGTTGATTAATTTGTCAATTAATACGTAGATTAATATGTTACAGGTTAATTAACGGCACAGACGATACGTCTGATGCTTTATATGGTACGACGAAGAGGATAAACACCCATTACAGCGACGACGACGACGACGAAGAAGACGAGGAGGAAGAAGAAAGAGAATTAAGCACGCGGTTAGCGAAGGATTTGGTGTTTCAGAAACGCAAGTACAAAAGCAAATCAGACATGTTGCGTCATCGCAGAGATGAACAATTTCACGACAGCGACTCCGAAGCTGATACCGAGGGAAAGGTGGATGGAAACGAAGGTTACTCTTCGAGAGAATATAAAGCTGATTTGTGTGGCGAAAAACAATTCTCGAAACCTTTTGATAACACCGCTCATCCGGAGTACAACGCTTCGGAGATCGAAGAAACGTCCCAATCGAGAAGTCTGGAGCTACGGAAGATCTCTAACGTTACTTTCGACGTCGTCAGCGCGCCGAAAAATGTCGAGGTTTCCGCACAGACTTCCGAGAAAACGTGGTCGAGAGGGAATAACAGTGCGAATAACTCTTTCACGGACATCAGGAGGGAGAAATACAAGGAGGAAAACGGGGCGAAATATTCGGAAAGTAAGCCGATACGCACCGAAACGTCACGTGACAGCATTTACCGCGATACGTTTGAAGAAAAGAACGCGTACAAGGAAATGAAAGGTCTGTCGAGTCCAGGAAGAGATGTTCAAGATGGCTCGCGGCACGAGGAATACAAAACGAGAATGGCAAGCTCCACAGAGGCGGAATATGCGAACACTACGATACCTAACGAGGACAGAGCTACGTTCAGTCATCCTGAGGACGACGATCATTCCATGCATAATTTAATAAAAGAATACAAGGAAAGGCTTCGAGTGGAGGAAGCACCGAGGCATTACAGTGACGAGGAAGAAACATCAAGGGAAAACGGTTTTAATGTGGAAACAATGAACAGATTGAACGGTTCATTAGAAGCGAGGGAAGATGTTGATGCATTACCTGATAATGTGTCAGGTCAGACTGAACGAGCCGGTGACATGGGAATCGCCGAGGTGACGGACGCGAAACAAACCGACACGAAGAGGGTGATGAATTTTAACAAAGAGAAGCTCCTGGCATCGATGAAAGCCATTGACGATAACGAGAATATCGAGTTCCTCAATCAGGGCTTCAAGAATCATAATGTAGTGAGCAGAATGCAAATAACGCAGAATCTTTATCGGGGCGTACCTACGCACTCAAGGCCGAAGCGCGATGTAATTAAAGATATATTCGAGGATAATCACATAGAAAATAAGGTCAGAGGTACTTGCAGTAAATCCCATTGAGAGAGAGAGTTTAGGGACAACAATAGATGGTGAACGGCACGAAACTCGCTTTCCACTTATGTTCCTCGATTCTACGAAGCTTTTAGCGCGAATACAGCCGAAGGATGGAATATCCAAAGAAAGAGAGAGAGAGAAGAAAAAATGCATTATATTTTTTCTAGTATACTGAAGTTTTTATCAATATCTGTCTGAATATGTCACGAAATGTAAAATATATTTTTCTCGAAATAAATTAAATATATTATTTTCGAGAGATATTTATTTATTTTCAGGCAGATATTTCTCAATGGCAAGTCAAATCGGAAATTTATACGATCCGTTGATCGGTTTTTTATCGAAAGATAAAGGTCTGTCTGATTTATCAGTGAGAGTTGTATATTACTTGCGATTAGAAATAAAATTATCTCTGATCTGTCATTGAGTTATCCGACCTGGAAATAAAAAAGTCATTTGGATATCGTTAGATACCAAATGAAGATGTTAGGTGTTCAAATTAATTTCAGTGCCTTTAAATTAAATCAATCGTAACTCTGTTTTAAATGTTTCTCGTAGTTTTGGGATCCCGATTGCGTTCGAAGAGAACGTTATCTGCGCTCTCCCCGAACGCATCCTCTGAAATGCCAACTTTAACATTTAAAAACACTACATATCTTGGTCAAACGGTCGACATAAGTGGTATGTTCTTTATATAGGCTGCACCAGTTCAGCAGTGCAGCTACAAAGAACAGACCAAAGGTTTGTACGTTTTAGTTGACCTGAAGCCAGTGATGCCAATAATGTGCGTTGTGGCTCGATGTTATCATTGGCATCACTGCTCCTTACTTGTCAATATGTCACGAACAGGAACGAAACTGGATGCGAAGAAAGTGGCGAGTGTCGTGTTATTTCTTTCGAACGCGTATAGAATATTGTTTTGTCGTTCGTAAAAGTCATATTTGACGTTTTTGCATTTGTTTTAAATACAAAATAAGTACATTACACAGCTAATGGAGGTTATGATCGTGTATCTGTTTAATTCTAAGTGTCAAGGATCAGTACGATGTTTGAAAGAAGAAAAAGCGATGTCAAGGATTTAATGTATTAGTTATTTGCTTGTCAGATAAGGTAACATTGTCATCTCTGTGTTGCAGAACTCTGAATTGTTTACTTTAACGTACGGAGCACTGGTGGCCCAATTGCTTAAAGACTATGAAAATGTGGAGGATATTAACAAGCAGTTGGAAAGGATGGGATACAACATGGGGATTCGACTGATAGAGGACTTCCTGGCGCGGACAGGTTCCGGCCGGTGTTACGACTTCAGAGATACCGCTGAGAAGATTCAGAGCGGCTTTAAAATATTCCTCGGCATTACACCGACGATTACGAATTGGAGCCCGGCCGGCGATGAGTTCTCTCTGTGCTTTGAGACCAATCCTTTGACTGAATTTGTCGAGTTGCCGGATCATTGTTTAAATCTGAAATATTGTAATATATTGACTGGTGTACTCAGAGGTGCTTGTGAAATGGTGCAAATGGAAATTGCCTGCTGGTTTGTACAGGATCAGCTTAAGAACGACAATGTTACCGAGTTGCGTGTGAAGTTTGTCAAAAGGCTGGAGGACGCGATACCAGCAGGCGAGGATTAAATGTATATATAACAAACATATATATAACAATTAGCTTTTCTGTCTGCATTTCGCAAACTTTTCATTTGAAAATAATGTATTAAGGATTTCATTTTTACATTGTCGCTAATGTTAATGTAATAATTGTAAGATAGACAAATATATATCGACCACTTTGTTAAAAATTTGTATCAAATTCTTATCCTGTCATGTGGAAAATAAGTTATGTATTTTTCCGTCATTTTTATAGTAATGATATTGTCCTATAAAATGCATAAATCGTTTTCTTCGTTATCCCTTTTGGGCAATAGATGGCTCACAAATAGCGTGGTAGTCCGATCCGGTCACAAAGGTTATGTTTACGTTGCGTGTGTGTGAAATGCAAGAATTGCGAGATTTTAGTTAGATCGTGGCTGCGATATTACGAAAGTAATTTTTACTCGATTGTATATGAGTTGAAATTTAATGACGCATATATTCGAGTGATAATATTGTTATTAAAATAATAAATGTGGTAGTAAAGTTCCTAATGCTTGATACAAGATCATGGAAGTGAGATGCAAACATTGTTGTAAGCACCTTTTTAAGGGTGATTCTATGTTACTTAATGCACATCATCAAATAAAACGGCATCCGACAGATATGGGATGTAAGACAGATGAATATGATTGCTGTTCATACATGACTGTGGAAAATGTGCCAGATTGGATCTTGGACGTTATTGAACAAGTATATATCTTTATATATCAAATTTTGTAAGATACCTAATGTGTATACATGAGATATTATTGAAAAGTATTTTTTCACAGGAATCCTGGACTAAGGGGAAACTATATTGTCCACATTGTAACAGTCGGTTAGGAACCTTCAATTTTGTAAACGACTTAAAGTGTTCCTGCGACGAGTATGTAAAACCTCCCATAAGATTAGTTAATAGTAAATTGGATATTCTATATGAAACTGTAAAATATAATAGTTAAATGAATATCTGTATTAATTATAATTAATATATCCATGAAATTGTAGGTGAAATTATAGGGCATAATTTTGTAAGAAAATAAACAAATTTTCTCCTGTGACACATCCCTGTCAAATAATCTCATTATTTTGATCGATACCCAAGAATTTTTTAATCATTTTTACTATACTAAATAATTTTCTATTATAGGTTGCAATGCGATAATGTAATAAAAAGACCTGTTACCACAGTTTATTCTTCTTCATTCGATTTCTATTTACAACTTTTATATATAATATTATTTAATTACATCCTTTCTAACTCTTAGGTACATTGTGATTATTTATATATAATGGTGATGACAACACATCACAGAAACTATATATTAGCTTACAACATGTCTATGTATAGTNTATGTATATTATTTTCTATGAACTATATATGTACAATGTAAAATACAAGATGTCGGGATAGAGATTTATGTACAAAACTCTAAACAATACATATGATGTACAATGTATATCAAGTTTAGATGGAAGTGTATATTACAAAAATTTACTACTAATTTTCTTACTGTTTCGTAAATTATATAATCTGTAATAAATTTGGATAAGAGAAATCTTTAATATTCACAATATTGAAAGATTTTTATATTTCTTACATTTTTACGCAAATGTTTTAATTAAAAACTTATCTTTTTATTCTCTAAACTTATAACACTGGGTGTAAAAAATAAATGCTCACATAAAGACGCATGTATAGAAGGATGCTCAATTAAAGATCAACATTGAAGAGACTAAGCCGCTCTGTTCCTTAATCCTTTTATTCGTAGTAATCTACTTTGGAAATTTTGCAAATGATATATACGTATATGTAATATTACAAAAATATCATACGAGCAATGGCGTACATTTTCTTCCGCCACTGTGGCAAAAGAATATTAAGTACCTTCGTAGTAACGATTCAAAACAATTCAATCAACTTAAGAGACAAATTGACCACCTTATTGTTATACAACAAACATAACAATTCATTTAAGTAATAACGTTAAAAATGTCGATACTACATTTCATTGATTACTGTAGTATTACCCATCGATAGTTACTTTTTCCTAATATTGCCAAAGTTTCCGACTTCTGTCGAATTCATAGTTGGTTCATCACCGTGATTGAACAAGATGAAAAAGAAGAAAAAATCGAAGGAAAGTACCCGTAAACGTCGATCTTCGCGTAAAATTGATCAGACAGAAACGGAGAGCATCGAGAGAAACCTCACACAACACAGACTCGTGTCCAAGGCACGTATTGGTTCGCTAAGCAACATTATGAAAACAGTTCAGCACTACGTTCAAATAGTATAAAAGTTAGTTGATCCGCTCTCTCTCTCTCTCTCTCTCTCTTTCTCTCTCTCTCTCTCTCTCTCTCCACGATATTAATTACACGACGAATGAAAAGTCGAGATACTGTAACACGAGTGCAAGCGTTACATCAAATGTAACATTCGGATCGGCCTTGAGGGGCTCGATCGTTCAACACAGCGAAAGTCAGGTAAGGGCGACGCGATTTACAATTAAATCACACACTGGACCAACCAACCAAATGTCGGGCGTGAGAAACGACCTCCTATTCGCATTGATATACAGTACATCCTTTCCTACAAGCTTCTTAATAACAGTCGAGACACCCAGCGTACTTATTACAATCCCGTAATGCTCACAATCGCTACAACTGGAACATCTCGTCCTGCTGCTGCTCGAGTCTTTGTAAGGAAGTCTTCACTTTCCTTCCTTGCGTCATAACCACGGCGGTCGGGAAGTTATGCATATCACCAGAGGACGCGGGCCTACCGGGGTCAGAAGGGCTGTTCGACGTGGCGCCGGGATGCGAGTTTCGTAGCTTAGCGGACGCGCGACGTCGTTGTACGTAAGCGTCATTGCTGTCGGCACAGAATCTGTGATGAGACAAATTTACCGATGAGAATGTGCCACTTAACGTGTCTCTCTCTCTCTCTCTCTCTCTCGCTCGCTCTCGGTAGTGGTGTGACGCGCTTAGGCTTGAACAGAGATCAGAGAGCATTCTAAGCGAAAGATCTCTGCGAAAGCTCGCCTTCGTCTCTCCACAGCACTTCTGAATCATCATCATCATCATCATCAAAAAGGTTCGAAATCGCTTAACGCTTTATGTAAATCTCGAGCGCACGTGAATTCCACCAGATGCGTGTAAAGCGCAGAAAATAACTTACTCACTGTTCCCTTGAGCACGCTTGACCTCTCTCTTGACGCTGGCTATCGAGCTGTCCATCTTAGCTAAGAAATCATTAACCGAGCTCTCATCGTCGATGGACGATGATATCGAAGAAGGACTAGATATCTGCAAAATACGTGCATGAAGGTCGTCTTTTAACGCAATTTATTTAACGCAAAGTACAACGCAGTCACCTGTGTGTGTGTTCTATACGGTTTCGGGTTTTACTTACATTCGGAGGTACGTCGTGTTCCTCAGAAGCTACCGCCGGCTCGTCGTTGCACGCAGAGGCAGGACTGTCGGCGCTCACAGGTATAAGCAGGTGTTCGCGTAAAAATAAACTATCCGACGCCCATAATCGATTGACCCTCCTTATTTGTTCCGTCTGCAAGAATCGGACGGTAAGAAGATACCCATCATCAGTGGTGTGATGGATATCGCAAAGATAAAGCGTTATCAAGCGGCATTGAAGAGAGATAGTCTTCAAGATCATGTGCTAAACAGATGAGCAAAAGTACAACTGAGCATACAGACGAGTGTCATACCGTAACACCGTACTTGAGAGCGATTCCTTGCAGAGTATCCGTGCTGGACACTATATGCTTCACCAAGCTCTCGGTTCGTGTCATGTGTTTGGCCGTGCTCCCGTACTTCTTCAAGGTCCTCCCGGTGTCCCGAATACACCTACGCTCCTCCATCTCTCTGGCGCCGTTCCGCTCCATCATCGTAGGCCTTCAGAGCTATGATACTCGCCGGAGAATAGGACGCACCATAACCAGTCGACCTAAGTTGTGCCTCAGAGATCTCAGGAGGAAGGGGGGGGGGCCTCTGTATCATTCCATGGTCGCGTCCTCACATAACCTGGCGGGGAATTTCCGAAGGGTTTCTCTTACTCGGCCTCGAGTTTTGCGTGTCGATAAAGCGAGCCGACCGCGCGTCGAAAATTCACGTTATTTCGCCGATCTGCTCGTTTCACCTCACGTCTCTCTCAGGCAACACACGAGCACCCGAGGATGACGATGAGGACGGTGATGATGACGATGATGACTTAAGGAGTTAACACTTACGAGGCAGGTGCGGATTACACAGCGATTTACGAGGCTGGAAGCGCGATTATCGTGTTCGGAGCGGCGTGCACGCGTGTGCGAATCCTCATCATCGTCTCGAGATCATTGACAGGCTCTCTCGTGGAACGGTGCTCTCGTGCTCGACACGGGAAGCGAATGGATTGGATATCACGAGAGAGAGTGTGTGTATATATGTGTGTTGCTACACCGTATTCCGCGTACACGTACACGCGCTACGGCTGTGTCGGGCTGTCGAATGCGACAGAATGTCGGTGGAATATTTAACAGATACATACGTTAATTATAGAGGAGATCACCACGCTGCGTCAGCCCCCGAAGAGATGGCATCGCGTGAATCAGATTAAATCCGGCGAAAGGACCGCCGCGCGCGGTCGTCGCAATGTCGGCAAGGATTAATTCAAAAAGCCCTCGCGAAGCGCGAGATGCACGAGGAGTACGCGGATGCTCTTCGCCGATGCGGCGGCTTCCCCGACGGAATTATAATCCGGCGAGATCCCTTCTCTCGCGAAGGAGTTTCAAGACACGCCTCGGCATCACGTGCGATCGCATAAGAAAAAAAAAGAGCGCGATCATATGACCGCGCGCTCGTAATTTTCGACGGAGAATGCGCGCGCGACGAGCTTCACTTTCACCGCGACGGGACTCGGTTTTTCGTGGGAGAAACGGAAAGGCCGGAATCTGGACCGTCGGGGCGCGCGGAAAAACGCGGATCACTGTGTGGGTAGTGTGTGTAAAATAAGAAAATAATGGAGTGAGATTTTAATAAAAAAATGTTCATTATAATATACGTTACACAGTTATCTATTTTTAAATACAATATATTACAGAGAAACACACACAATTATAATTTATTGTTATTAATATTATGTCTATCAGCTTACGATTAATAGTATTATTATCATTATTATTATTATTATGTTATCATTACTATGTGCTAGCCTCGATGAATATATTAAGGCAGCAGGAAAAATTATGTGTAATGGGAGACTAATTAATGCATGTTTTTTTTTTGTTTATTAGGGCAACTTTATCGTCGATTATTACGATCGTATTAATCCCCAGTAGCTGTGCAACAGTAACGGCGATATTGGTAATAAATAGTTAACGTAAGGATAAATATTACGCTACCGCGGCAGTGTATACTTCCTGGATTCTGGGTAAAGGGGCTTGGTTCCTCTAATTATCAGGACTATATCGGCTAATATGCTACATGATAGACCCCCCTTCCCGCTATTCCAAATAGTATGGCTACTTAATGATGATAACACATCAACAAGCAGCGTTTATAATTATTAAAAATTATTTTTTTTCCCATAAACTGTGTCACAGATAAGAAGTTACGGATAAACTTTTCTTTTTTACCTTTATGAATACCTACACACGATCGCGATTTGATTTCCTTATAAACCTTTCTCGTAAAATAAACGGTAGAAAAGAGAGGAGAACGATCAGAGAGAGAGAGAGAGAGAGAGAGAGAGAGAGAGAGAGAGAGAGAGANGAGAGAGAGAGAGAGAGAGAGAGAGAGAGAGAGAGAGAGGGAGAGAGAGAGTTTACAACGAAATTGGAAGTGTGGACACATAAAAGTTAAGGCTATCTAGAAAAAAAATACGAGTACAAAAACTGCTCCGTTTGATATAATAGTAGAAACCATTATTTTGATGTGAGTGTATCTCGATTTACAATTCACACAAACACTTTGGCGAGAGCGTCGGCGCCTGCGCTTGCTATAAACGGTCGTGACGGGTGGAACGCTACGTCTAGAATACTTTCGTCGAACTTCTTCCTATGCGCTGTTATCTCCTGAACACAAGTCTTGTTGTCCATATTCCATAATCTTATACTGCAATCATGACCTGCGCAATAACGAGTAGCGAATTAGAAGAGATGCACAGGCGGTACCATCTTTTGCGTTACGCATAAAAAATTGAGATTCAGACCCGAGACTCAAGCAAATTGTGCGACCATCTACCGATGGTATTGATCTGCTCGTCGATCGATCCGCTAACTATTGCATGTCGTAATTTTTTTTTTACACTTACTTCCTGAAAGTAAGTATAGACCATGAGGATCTACAGCAAGACTAGTAACTGCGTCCAAGTGTGCTACCATCGCGTGGGCGAGAGTAGCCGACCGGTGATCGTAAAATCGGATGTGCCGGTCCTCGTGCGCGGCCACGACAAGCGGTAACGTTGGGTGTGCTACAACGCGATTCACGCCTTTCGTCTCGTTTGCCTCGAGTCGCGCCACGATCGCGCCGGTCTCGGTGTCAAACACCACGCAAGCTCCCTCGTAAGCCACGACTAGCTTGTGCGGCTCATCCCTGATGAAGTCGACCGAGGTCGGTATGCCGTCTATAAAGGAAAGAAGAGGAGGTAAGTGCCGGAAGGATCGCAACAGCATTGCAAACGCGTACGGGCCGTATGACACAGGAAATCGACAGCCAATCGACATTCGCTAGATAAAGCTCTGCGAACTTGAGACAATTCTCGTGTTATTTTAATTGGCATTATAATTGGCTACTGATCGTGTGAGTTGGGCATTGCTCGAGTAAATTTTAATTCACCCTACCTTACGTATCTATCTTATAAACGTGCTCGGGGAACCGAACGTATTCACGAATTGAATTTTACTCGAATATAAATCCCGGCAGGATGATGTTAAACAAGGAAATTCTCTATCATTGACCGATCAATTTAATTTCGAATGAAAACTTGTTATCTTCGTACGTCACTGTCCAATTCTGAACTCATTCATTATTCTCGCATCGAGTGCGTCGAGATTTCAATTCGCACGTGTTGGATAACGTCTGCTCACCTTGATCCGAGACATACGTATTGAGAAGAGGTACTGGTGCCTGCGGCGCCCATAATTTTACAGTTCCGTCCGCACTAAACGACAACATAGTGGGACGTAGGTGATACATGCTCAAGCCCCAGACGGCATTTGTGTGCCCCTTTAACGTGTGACTAAGGACACTTGGTTCGTACGAGTCGTACGGATCGATGTTGGCCGATGGTAGCGTCCAACAATGGATCATGCCATCCAAACCACCGCTGTAACATCGGTTGCCCGCGCTACACATGGCTAGACACAACACCGGTCCGGTGTGTGATCTGAATGTGTAAAGTGGTTCTACATCTAATGAAGCTGACCTGAAAAAATAACAAAATGCAGATAAGGACGACGATATCACATAGTATCATTGAACGAGATTTTTATATCAATGATGAATATTTTTATAGCATCAATCAAGACTCGGATCTTTACTTTTTTGCCGGTACAGTCTTATGAAGATTCCACAACTTCAGTGTGTGATCATCGCTTGCGGTGATGAGAACCGGATCTGTGGGATGGAAGACGAGTGCCCTGACAGCGTCAAAATGCGAACGCAACGTATATTTTGCGTTCCATGTTTTTCTGAAGGTTTCTTTCGTGGTGGAAACCATCTGTTACAAGAAAAAAAAAAATGAAAAATAACACGTCGACAACACATTAATGAGTTGCAACTTGAGCGAGTCGAGAGAGCGACTCGATTGAAACACGGGGGAAGTATTTAAGACTTACATCGTACGATATTTCTGCATCATTGTTAACACATAATTGTTCTAATTCTCCTAATTCCAGTGTGGAGTCACCACCCTCTTTATTATTTGGGCGTCTTGGATCTTGTTGTAATCCTCTGTGTAATAAATCTACAGGCATCGTTGGATTATCGTGATTGTAAAATATGGCAATGTTACAAAATATCTATTACCGAGGTCTATATTGTATCTTAAAACGTACAGAATTAACAGGGATTTACTAACCCCACTTTGAAGAATTCATTTCCAGATGAATAGAGCCGGGTGGCGATTCCTCAATTTCTGTGAGGAGATTTAATTCGTTTAATACTTCTTCTGCCTCTGCATCTGTATCGACATCTTCCGCAAGAAGGGGGATAGATGCCTGTAAAATAGATGGAGATCACGTTAGCAAAGAGTGATAGCAATATCGTGCTGAAAGACGCAAGACGATAATGAACGTTACTTTATTTGGTTTGGTATCCGTATTCGCATCATAAATTTCATCCTCTCCATCTCCCTCCTCCTCTTCCATATCCATATCTGTATGTCCCAAAAATTCGAAATTCGCTATAACAGCTGCTTCAGTGTCTAATATCATTGCTTCTGCTATAGAAGACGGCTGTTGCTAAAACAGAGCACACAAATGTATAAACAAAATTGTAACAAGTCACTGGCACGACTTAAATTCCTCGACTGAGTTTTAAATTGACAGCAAAATGTAAACACGTTCATTAATCTCTACCTTTTTCGGATGCTTCCCCCGAAGCACAAGACTTACATCGGATGATTCTTGTCTGTTCTGCGTCCCTTCATTTCCATTTAATGCTGGAGTATTCATTTCATCTGAGTCTGTATTATTATTTAAACCAAGCAGTGATCGTACTCTATTCGACCGTACATCTATTATTGTGTCGGTGTACCCAATCTCTTGTAAATATCTATAATAAGACATGGATTCTTTTACATCCTGGTAAAGTTTGGTACAAATTATTGACTAGATCACGAAGGAAACTGCCACCAACAATTCTAAGGGCAACATCTCCGAAATTAAAACATGTTTTACATACTGCCTTAGAAGTTGACGACCTTGTCTCCAACTAACGTTACTGACAGATGTAAATGAAGCTTCTCCGTCTCCACCTTCTCCTCCCCCTCCTCCTGTTCCTCCTCCACCACCACCACCACTTTCAGAGACATTGCATGTGGTACCTTCTTCGTAAAGAGGTGGTTTAACATCTCCTTGCATTACCAAGTCGGTACCATATTTTAATTTATGATACCTTGCTCTGTACAAATTACAAGAAGCATTAGAGTGAGATCAACAGATCATAGATAATAATCGTAAAGATTATAATATCAAATATAGTCGATCCAATAAAATAATATTGACATTTAATCTGAATATAGCAACTCTGATAACAAATTTCAATAAAGTTCACTTTGCATTCAGACAAATTTAGAAAATACACCTTATAAAAAGATAATATTCTAATACACTCCTTTCTCAAACAAACACAAGAAAGTATAATTATATAACTTCTCAAACAAATTGACATTAACATGTACATACAAGAATGACAAATTATTGAATATACTTTAATCTTGTGTGTAATTCAAGATTCAAACACTTTATCTCCGAGAAAGATGGCAAGAATATTATCCGTTCTATATAAAATCGCTATATAATAAATAAGCAGTTATTGATTTATTATTTACCTTTCTTGCTTAAGTGCGTACTCTAACATTTTTATTCGCCTCACTAGATCATTCTTCAGATTCTCCTGTCCTTTTCTCTCGCCTTGAAGAAAAGCTATCCTAGCCTATGTAACAAAATACCAAGTCCAATTAATTGTCATCATTTAGTCATCATCTCACAATGACACTGATATTTCTATCAAATATCGCATCAGGGACTGTTATATATATACATGTAATTGCGACTCGTATTCTACCATATATATAAACAATATCCTCCGTCAGTACGTTCAGTCAAACAGCTCGAGCAGCAAAAGAAAAGGCATACTCGTTGTACTTTGGACAGCTTGTTGGATGAGAAACAGTATTTCTACAAACGGAGTCGTAGATTCAAGCGGTAAGATTATTCGCACTGCTACAACCGTGTCGCGGATACACGCACTGACTCAGAGCCAGTGCCCGTCGGGACTTTACATGTTCCTTCATCCTTCTGTCACATGACAGCTGAGATGACACGCAAGGCGGACAATCGTCGCGCGCTCGCTCGCGCACAGCCCGCGACAAGCACGCACGAACAGCTCGGGGTCATACCTGAAATTCCGCCCTGTCCAGCTCCCACTGGGACCTCTCGAGCTCGAAGCGGGCCCACTCGTGCTGAATGAAGTGCAGGATACCAGGCATCGAGTACTGCGGCCGTTGATCCTTGGCGTCGCCGTTGCTGCCATTGTCACTGCCCTGGATCGTTTTGTTCACGAGGGAGACGTTCGCGCCGCCGGACAACTGGCCGTTGTGATTCTGGGACGCGGGGCTGCAGCTATCCTCCATTGTGGCACCACAAAACTGGCTCGGCACCTTCATTTCATGACACGGCGGCCATTACAGCAACTTCCCTTTCTTCGCCGAGTACACCGAGAGCGCTCCTCCGGTCGGACAATGTATTTCGATCGGGCGAGTCGGAAAAGGAGACAATTATTACGCATGCGGACGCGTCCGCGTGTGTGCGAGTCTCTCTCGCGCGCGAGAGGGAAAGAAAAAATCCGCAACACCCCGTCGCTGCGCGAACGCTCGGCACCCGTGTGCTGCTATGTGTGTGCGTGTGTGTGCGTGTGCTGTGCGCGCCGCGCGATGCTCTCTTCCGGAAAAAAGCGAAGGAGGCGGAATCGCGCGGTGGATCGTTGTTTCCTCTCTATTACTGCGTCGTCAGCGGCCCGTCCGTCCGTCTCGTCCGCGCGGCTGCTCAACGAGTCAACGGGTGAAAGTTATCACGCGGCATGCCAGCCGCGGCGAGCTCGTGCATCGTCCGCCACGGAATCAAGCACGATCCGACCCCTGTCGTCGAGAGATCACACCGATCGCGACATTCACTTCGCGCGACTGCCCGTAAGGTCCGGAGAGACCCGTTTGTTTTCCTGCTAGTCGCGACGCATTATACGCTTCACCTCGCCTTTTATTGGCCCATCCTAGTCTAGTTACCGGGCCGTTCCGACGCGCGCAGACTCCCGCTTCTTCATTCATCCGCGATCTCCGACTGTGGACCAATAATCGTGATGTTGGCGCGCGTGGCGGGAGCGCGCCCTGTGTACCGAGCCTAAGATCACCGTGCTCGCGCGTCGCCCCGTTGCGTCACAACGATCGACGGATTTTGATCCGACGAACAACTAAATCGTCCGCCGGCCGAGTGACGCTTCGTCCCGCAATCAAGTGACAATATTGACTGACCGACCGACCGACTCGCTCTCTCTCTCTTCTTCCCTCTCTGGTGCTAATTTATACCGAGATGACACCTTCGTGTTTGAAATGTGCGGCTTGTCGCGACGCACGCGCAGATCCTGGCCATTCAAAGGTATCCTTCCCCGCTGTGTACAGTCTTCGTCAAAATACCGGTCGAACTATTTCCGACAAGGAGTTGATTGGTTGGTTAAAATTCTTCGAGCAAGACTTTTACACATTGGACGCTTCGTCGTGTGATTTACAGAGGGATGGTAAAACTCACTCGTTATTCGTTGCATCTGCGACGCTTGTAACGTGATGATCATGTCGTCCGAGATCTCGCGAGAAAATTGATCAGGATCGCTCTCTTAGTAGGGTTTGAAACGATGTCGAAGTGTGCGCAAAATAACACGTAGCTCGACTCTTCCAGATTTTTCGCGATGCCGCGGCGGATAATGTCTCGATTCCACACATTTTGTGTGATACATCACATTACTATTTTTACATGTTTGAAGTAAAATGAAAAGTTATTTCCGTAAATGGAAAGGTCACTTCACCTACACGTCGGAAAGGCCTGTAAATGTCGTTACGCTTGGGATGCTCGACATTCTAAGTTCGTAATTGCGCCAGCAGGTGTACACGCACCGCGAATCGTTCGGTATCGATTTCAACGATCCAAGATACAAAGTATGCAATAAACAATAACATTCTTCCGCTTACTCGAAAATTGTAACGGGCAATACAATCGTTGTTTCCAGTCTGTTCTCAAACAAACATCAAGTAACATTATATAACTGTTAGTTGTAATTTCCCACTCAACGATCTAAGTGCAATCAATATAACACTCGTATTATATTGCATTTACACTGTTGAGTGGAAAATTATAACCAACAGTTGTGCTACTTGCTGTTGGTTGGGTTATGTATACGTGTTACATGTATACATAATGAATGTGCACCCAATTCCACAAAACAACGTAACATCTCCAGCATTTACATATCTTTCTAATAAAACTCCTAACGCATTTCGATTTACAATTATTTTATTTAATTTGCGTACAGCTGTAGATTGTCTCGTTAGTCGATTAATTAATCGATCGTTTAATCACACTCGCTGAATTTTGCGGCAAAACAAGTCAGGAGTAAAAGAAATTTACACAGTGAGTATAAGGAAATAGTCATCGTTGTATTTCAAACGTTACTTTATTGTCTCAATTTTTGTCAAGGTATTACAATATTGTTTGCGCACGTCAGAAATGACACGAAGTGACTGGACACAATTGGCACGAAACATACATTACGTAAACGTGACAATTTCATTAAGGTAACAGAAATACTTACATTACGCAGATGCAACGACGAGACCCGTAACACATGACGGCGACCGCACTACTACCGTAAGCAGAAAAACACGGCGGTAGCAGGCAACGGTTTCGAAGCTTTTTCATCGAAACATGACACCGTTGTATCGTTGTAGACGATACATTCATCGTATGAGTAGTAGCTTAACCACGAAGTGCCGGTGTCAAATGGCAGCACTATGTCAACATATTTCGTAAGTAGCTACTATGAGTTCTGCGTAATGATGCTTATACTGATCGCGCGATAACGGTAGATGTATGAATGATGAGTACTTCTATCGCGAGGTGATTTCGAACCGCTCGACTTCGTGCGACGATCCAGGTGGCATTGAATACATTATTCGAAATCAAAGATTCTCGGAAGTTGAGGAAAAAATTGGGAATATCGAGATGTGTCTCAACAATTTTGACGTTCTTGAAAGTTGACATACTGATAATAAGTGTATGACGAAACCGTCTAGTCATCACATAGCTGCACGTGTGTTTGTTTTGTATTGATGAAGTATGAACGTTCTTCGAAATGATGAGATGCACTATTGAGGAAGTATTCAAAAGGGGCTATCCGGGGCTTCCCGGAATTCGAAATTTTCAGACAATAGCCAGGGTGAGTCGTTACTTTCGTATCCGATGAGGCGACATGTTGAGCTCATCACTATGCACACTGCCCTCGCGTTAATATCTCAGGATACTTACGAAATTCGCGTTAACGACCGCCTCGTACGCGTCGGAAGTTCATGCGTTAGCAGCAACGGGAAGAATAATCTCGCGACGTGAACTTCTCGCTGAAAAGAAAGAAAAAAAAAAAGACAAATGCCGGTTGAGCTAAAATTATTAGTCCGAGAATTTAAGCGTAACGCGCATGCGCGCCGCGACGAGATACAACGTATAGATACCATACGTACGTCGATAACTTTTACATATGTCGTTGTTACACCGATTATTTCCGAGTTACGGTAATTTTCACTTCATCGTATCGTTTAACGTAGCCTTCGAACCCGTCATGTCTCCGTGGTTCCTTATAATTTCGTCGCCGTTTCCGAAGTTGACGCCGAGAACAAAGTGGGTGGGGAGTGTCTGCCTGGTGTAGAACTGGCAACCTGGCGCGACTCGCTTGTTTAGTTTGCGCTGTTGCAGTTACTCGCTGGTGGGATATCAAAACGTGAGATATCTTTCCGTTTCTCTGAACATTATTCGCAAATATAACCCGTTTTCACGTACCGAGGAGTGTATGCACCACCGCCTCCTAAGTCTGTCCACACAATACCGTAACGTAAGTTTATTAATTGGCATCATTGTAATACTCTTATACTGGGGCTGGGATCTGCACGGGATCACACTCAAGGGAACCTCATCATAGGTCCCCAGTCGTTAGTGCCAACGATCGTTTTGTCGGAATTGCTACACGGTGCTCGATGAGAATGGCATTTTCTCATTTAAAAATTTCGATCTATTTGGTAGTTTTGTTTTCCGGAGGTCACGTATCTCTAGTTTGGGTTTTGTTGCCCAGCAACGAAGCCATTCTGACATAACCTAGACATTACAACGTAACATGGCATAACCTCACTTTTTCGAAAGGAACGACGCAATTAATTATATAATGAACAAAATGTCTCAGAATTGGGCCTTAAGGCCCAAATTTTCTCGGGGATGTGCCGTTGCCATAGAGACGGTTCCACCTGACAAAAGACACCATTTTATATATCGTCCTACGCCATTTTGTTGTTGTTTTTTGCGAACTACGTTTCACTGCCTAGCTCGCGATTAATTTTAGATCGGCAAGAAATTCCTTGTCGTGCATAAAATGCAATTGGCTCGTATCGCAGTATTAGTATCAGAAATCAATAACACACATTCACAACAATTCCATATACACACACACACACACATATACGTATGTATATATATATATATATGTATATATATTGACATAATGATGTTTTCTCTAAGTAGATCTAGCCGATTATTATTAAACAATATCATTATTGAATACATCTCAATAGTCTTCTAAGATTTTTGTTGTTAAACACTGTAAATTACGTGTTTTGCCGTTTGTCCATAATGACTTAACATCTTAATGCGGCCGGTCGATTCGGATACATTAAATGTAGAATACGGTTTTATTTGAATCATAAGAACTAATTGTGCTTTATCGTAAATTTACGAATACGTTTTTACATTCATATGGATATACAATTAGAATGGGGAATTTATTGATTTTTCAAAAAAATGTATTATATTTAATTTTTCGTAAACATTGGTACATGTAATGATAAATTTCTTAACGATGTTACATTTTTTTTACAGTTGAAAACGAGTTTTCTTGCATGTGAAACGAACTACATATAAGATTATAATCGATCGGCTTATCTCGATACCTTTTTTCCAAAAGAATTATAATCAAAATGTACACATATACACGTAGCAAAATGAAAAACATAATTTTGCATGATTTAATTATATTTTTTTCATAATCGATTTATTTCATTAAACTAAAAGCAGATGGCGCTGCTTGTTCAATTGACCTGTCATCTAAGAAACACAAACTGTGATTAAATATATTTACACATCTCTAAGGCTTTTAAGTTCTTAATGTATGTTAATCTACCTTTAATTATAAATTATATCTATTAATTTGTTGTAGTTTGTATGTGCAATTTTTCGAATGTCACTTATTGCAAGTTTGAGTTCCTTGAATTACTTGTTTGCTTACATTTGATTATATATTTCATGTAAACATTAAATATATTAATTAAATAGTCGAAAATTGAAAAAATTTTTGAATAAATCTCTTTTTGCGAAACAATGTGTATCATTATATTTGACGTTGTTGCTCGAAACATTACAGCATCATTACAGCAAAAAAGTTCGTACAAAACCGGTAGAAATCTATAATTATATTCGCGATTATATGTTCCAAAGTGTTAGGTTTGTGTAGTAGTTCAGAGTAGCGTAGCTACTTGAGTGTTCGTCCAATCACCGGCCGCGTTTAGACCAAACCTGTCTGTATCGCGCGCATCATTGTATTAGTGAGACCGTTCACTTTTCCACGCTGACGTTAGGAATAAACGAAAAACACACAAGCGTGCACGCGATTCGCAGACATCCGCGTCCGTTATCACGATTCATTAACGATAAAACTTAAAAAAACCGGTAAAGTTTCAAAAGCTTCCGCTTGAAATAGAAAAATGGCAGACATTAGTGCTATCTTTTTTTCACGTGCTCTTCCACCACTGCGGCCGTGAGTGTTTGGAACGTCGGGTCTCCTGGTAAAACACGAAATTTAGTAGATTGCAGGTAAATTGTTTTATTGGTTCTTCCGTTAAGAAAAACAGCCGTTCGCAGCGTAAAATAGCAGGGCCGTAGTCTGAGGTCCCAATGACCGTTAATGTCGCAACATTACGAAAAAATAACACAAAAGCGAAAATATTAACAAATCGGGCATGATTAAGTTAGGTTGTAACTTGAAGGTTAGAGTACGGCAAATGTTTGAGTCAGAGGCGCCATCTTCGTCACATTAGACGTACATCTTTGGATGTACTTTTTTTCTCCTTATTACATTAATCATGAATATTTATATACTATATTGCAGATACACGTTATTTTTATGATCTTATCAGTGAACCGTAACATGAGGAGAGGTCTCCGTCTCGCGTATTTTCAACTTGTTAACTGATCAGTTAGCCCCGCCTTTTGAGTTTCGCTAATGAAATGACGAAGACAATTCAGGAGAAAAATAATTGTTGACTGTAAAACTTATTTTCGATACTTTTAATTAATTTTTCCGCTCGTGACATTGATCTATAACGTGACGTAATTTAACAACTGCAGCAACGAGTCTGTTTCATGGATCCTGAAATCCCACCGATAATCGTGTATACTCAAAATACGCAAGTGTTTTAATAATAATTTTAATATAAATTGCATTTGGATGAATTCATAAGCGAAGTAAATTATCCGTTCATAATTAAGAGTCGGCAATTCAATCAATCTTGGTTACATATGCGAATCGTTATTGATTCACAACGTTGTGTGAAAATTTATTGTTTTATTAGGTCGATAGATATGAAAATGTTTACACGTCGGCCTCGGTAATTTATTGAGCGCGCAAACCGAGTGCGTTGATGAGCAAACCGAGTGGAAATTGATCTTCGACCGTTTCTCGAGATCGAAAGTGGAGAGTTCATACCGCTGCTGGGCATCCGATTTAAGATCGAAGCGAGGCAACAAAATCGATCGTTTTGCAACACGCGACAAAGAGAGCTGTGCCATTTCTCCCACTATAGTAGCAGTTATTGCTGCTTCTGCACACAAGCCGAGCTTGCCATTGGTTCATCGGGCAAAAAGGGTGGGGGGCGCTGTTCATCAGCCGCTCAATAAAACGAATTCGCGATGCGAGGATTATACATATATGTATATATATACACACCACACAAGTAAAGGCCGCATTAATAACATTGAATAATCAAAATATATATCGAAAAATATATCGATCGCAAAACTGGGCCCGATTTAAAAGAGGAACATACCGTATATGTATATATATATATATATATATATATATATAAGTATATATATAGTGGATTTGATTGATTCGTGACATGAAATAATCGTGCATGCGCGTAAGCAACACCCGGGAAAAACTGGTACAATCGATAAGGCACGTCTGATCGGCGGTCAAACGCCCGTTTAATATCCCGTGCGAAATGAATAATTTGAACGAAGAAGGAACGCTGAGAAATCGGAAGGTCGGATTGCCACAGCGGCGAAGATGGTGAAATGGGAGGGCCGATCGCGAATTATGATTCCGTCCATTTATCGCGCTCCCGCGCACCAAGCCCGATCTCTCTCGCGCGGGATCTTTTGCGGGATCTAATGATCGCCGATGCGATTCTAGATCCTCGCTCGCCGGAGGGAACAAAGGTGTTCCCCGGCGGTCGCGCACTGCGCGCGCTACGTCGATTTCTGCCGGCATTTTCCGACACTTCGTACGTACTCGGCCATCTTCGGCAACGAATCGTCGGGGCCTAAATGTAGTGTGCCTCGCGCTCGATGCGCTCAAACCCGTCCCGTCGACGACGTACTACACGGAGGTCACACGGATCGCGCGGTACCTTTAATTCGCGTGTCGTCCGTCCGCGATATATTTGAAGATCCCGCGATCTTGTAAGAAGACTTACTCGCTGGTAAACGATACACGTCCGCCGCCGTTCCGTAATTTGCGATCCCGAGTGCCGTTTCGTAACGACTCCGTCCGTGGACGTTGACGGAGCGGGCTTTCACACTCCTCCGCGAGCGAATCCGGTGGCGTCTCTCTCTCTCTCTCTCTCTCTCTTTTTCTCTCCTCGATTCTCGATGCGCGATACGTACAACGTTTCTCCTTCCCTTATTTCCATTCGAATTACCCGATTTCGCTGAGTGAACGCCACATAAACGTGCAATAAACAGATCTCGATCTCCCTCTCTCTCTTTCTCGTCGATGTCGTTGAGGTCGAATGCACCGCGATCAATTTGCGTTGTTGATGATTCGCGGGGGGACCGTTGAGTACGTCGGGCTGACGAGAGTTTGAAAAAAGAAATGAAACGAGACGACGAACGAACGCGAAAAATCGTCACAACCGTCATGGAGAATGCATCTTCAGACCGCCATCTTTTGCTTCGATGTGCCAATGGGCCAGCGGGCCTTTGAATAAAGGGGCCCGATCCAGCTCCATGCCCGCGAACGATCTGTGTGACGGCCCGTGCAGCACGCTCGTCAGTGGCTCACCGAAAAACCGAAAACTCCGCCGTTTTCTTCGGGAACGCGTCGAATTTATACTGTCGAGCACACATCCAACAAAGTGGTGACCTCGCACGGTGGGCATCGATCCAGAATGAGAGAGACGTGCGCGCGTGGGCGCGTGCGTTCGTTGTGTGAGTGTGTGTGTGGTATAGTAGGCGTCGAAGGACGATAGGGATATTTTCCGTAGTGTAGGTAATCCCTATACCAGATTGATCGTCGCACGAATCAAGGACGATAAAAATAGTCGTTGAAACGTTTAATAAAAAAAAATAATGCTGCCTCGCGGGAAAAATGAGCACTCTCGGAGGTAGGAAGGATAGAGAGAGCGTTGACCATGTGTACGCTGCGAGAGAAGAGTGGGGGGCGGGGGGGGGGGGATAATTTTGAACACATGTCCGTTTTCGGCGCCAATGAACACGTTTCTGAGGCTCCTCTTTCGTCTTTTTCATCCTCCTTCTTGCTCTTCGTCGATATACGCTCGTGCGTTTCGTATCACACTTTCTTCATATCGTATATTAGTCCGTTTTACTTTTTAACGTATCATATCATATCATATCATATGAAATCATAAATGCAATGCGAGTACATATTGTGCGAAATTACATGTTCAGACACTCTTGTGACTCTTGCAATCGCGCATGCGCATTAATTTTAAAGGTAGTCTTTATTTACTTGTAGATTGGGAAACATTTGATTGACGAGTTAAAGGAAGTGCCGTGAGATTTTATTGTACAATTTCATCATGATGGAAGCTGTACAGAATGAATCGGTGCATGATACGAATTCTAATTCCGCAGTCTCGTGCATCGACGAGACTAACACCGATGAATTGTTGAAGGAGAAAGATGAATTATTGTTCGGCGCGGAAGAAGATGGTGAAGATGAGGATGCGCTGTCCGATGACAGTTTGCGATTAAGGCTATCCGACGACGAGGACCCTGAACAGGAAGATATTACGAAAAACCAAACGAATGTTTCGGAATTTAAGGCGCCAAATAAAATTCCCGGTATGTAGTTATAATTTCGATGTATCATATATATATATATATATATATATATATATAGATATATATATATATATACACGTCGAGGATATTATTAATTAATTTCTCGACGATTTTTTGTTGCACGTACATCGTGTATGTGTGTGTGTGCCCGTTAAATAATGAGGCTCATCGCTTCTAAAGACTCCGCAAGTAAGAGTTTAACCAAATGTATAATTAAAGTTGTGACCGCTAGAGCGTGCTCTTTCCCATACGTGGGCGTGCCGTACTTTCGGTGTTTTTGATTTTACCGCCGCCGTCTAAGAAGCAACGCTTTCGTTGCACATGTTAAAATATTTGCCATAAAATATACGCATATATATATATATATTAACATATAAAAACCAATTATGGATGGCTGTCTGAATCGTTTGTACTCCTTTCGATGATACGGACGTATCATGGAAGGTAGAAAATTACTGGAGGATGAATTCCGCCCAGGTTGATCGGTTTCTGCTCACTGAGCAGATGAAAACTTGAAGAAAGTTCGTACGATGTGATGCAAAAGAAGTGAATGAGCATTACACCATTTACTCAACTTGAAATCTCCAATGAGACGGCTAAGTAAATGTTGGAAGCAGAAAAAAGTTTGTTCGAAATTAGTGCTGCGTCGTCCGACGACTGAATAACGAGAGTTGCATTGAGTTGCACGACGCCATTTTGTCGACCTTTTTTATTTACGTTTCAATAACGTATTGATGATGATATTTGCTGTTTTCAATATGACTTTGGGCAAAGCATAGAGCGATGCGTAACAAATTCTCGCGGCAAAAAGGAGTCAAGTTGCCCGAATTGTATGTCGAGATAATGCTGATCGTTTTTTTTATGCGATTGGAGTTATCTATTTTGAATTCGTATCCAAAAGTACCGCAGTAGACAGTCGCTATTATTTAGGAATAATGGAACGTTTCCACACGCGCATGCGCCGCATCAGGAAGCAGTTTCGAAAGAAGAGCTGAATACTGCTGGACGATACGAACACTGTGCACTGTGCATCGAATGTGAAGCAGTTTCTTACTTCCAAATTGTATTATTTATGTGACCAGAGATGAAAATTACCCGATCTGACAGTAAATTGACCCGGTAATTTTGAAAAGCTGGTAAAATGGTGTTTAAAAAAATTACAGAAATAAAGATATTTGATATAAAACTCAAAAGGAGCATTTAGACTTTAAAATCAGTGAAACATTTTATTTAATTCATATTTTCCATAAAATATTTTTATACTGTGTATTGATATACACGGTAATTTTATGTTTCTACATGTGATCACAACATCAACACTATTCGCTCAATTTGGCGCTGATAGACGTTTCTTCTGTTCTTGAAAATAAATATGTCATAAAAGAAAAAGTGTTTCGGCGACATTAGCGACATCCAACGCATCGCGATCATTCAACTTAAAGATGTCTAGTGCAGCAATTTCAGCGCGCTTTTAATATGCAGAAAAGGTCTCAACCTTGTGTGAAATATAGGAAACGTGCCATATTGAAAGTAAAAAAAATATTTCTCGTAATAAAAATTTCGAAATATATATATTTGTGTGTTTTCTCATAATATAATCTCATTATTTAACAGGCACACTCTGTAGGTGTATATCGCTTTATGATCAATTCAGCAGAATGCAATTTGGATTAAAGTAATTATGTTTATGTAGAAAAAAGATGGTCATGGACATAGCCAGGGTAGGACAGGGGACGTTTTCTCCCTCCCCCTCCCTCTCTGGGAAATTCTGGCAAGAAGAAACAATTAAATACTATGAAAATAAAAGAAATGTAACTGACATTACAATCTACATTCCACAAGAAATCTACAATACATGTTTTGTAATTAAAAGCCAATGGCAAAAGTATTAGCAATGCTTTGTGAAAATGAATGTAATCGACACATTTCTGAATTTCACCACCGACGTCAGTGCCTGCATCGTCTGCAATGATTTGGACGTATTTCAGTTATGTAAGAAGAATCTACTTCCACAGATGCGCGTGAAATAAATAATAATATTTGTGTGAAGATTTTGTTCTGCCCCCTGACTGAAATCCTGGCTATGCTTGAAGGTGGTAAAATGTAAAAATACACTTGTGAAAAACACTAAATAAACTAAATAAATTAAAAATCTTTTATCGAAGTATCTGATTTTTAAAAATAATATATAGTACATGCGTATATTGCCATTTTGTTCGCAGAACCATCTAAAGATATAATTACAGAAGAAACTTCAAGCTCTGCTCCACAACAGGTTGTGGAAGAAGAAATGAAGTCTGGCAGCAAGAAACTAACACCGAAGCAGTCTAATTCAGGTAATACTTTGACGATTGACAAATTTATATATGAATAATAATAGCTTATTTATATTCTTCTCCTGTGTGACATGCATAAAAAATAAAGAGGACTTTTAAAATGGACTTATATATATATGTAATCGCTTCTTATATACATGATATATGTTGCATGAATTATTTCTCACTTTGAAGATACAAAGAAGAAATCGACAGCTTCACACTGTAACATTAAAATTTGTTACAGCAATAAATCTTCAGGAAAATTCAGCATTACCCTCAGAATGTACATCAGAAAACAAATTAATGCATAATGAACATAATTTGGAAGACAGCACAACTGTAACTAAGTCTAGTGAAAAATACACGTTGAATATATGTGACAAAGTAAAAAGTGACGAAATTTTCCAAGTTGCTAACAATACGGAAAGCAAAATGCATTTAAATCACGTTAATAATGATAAAAGTATCGTTGAAATTCAAATATTAAATGACAATTTTCAAAAAGAAGACAACAACAGTGTGATAAAATATACTTTTAATTCTGCTAAAGATAAAAATGTAAAAATTATCGAAGAGGGCAATGTATGTGAAAAGCAAGAACTCGAGGAAAATATATCAGATAATGATCGTTTACCTGTCGACAATCTTGCAGAGACAACTAGTTGTCAAAATGTAGAGCTAACAAACGACAGTGAGGATAAACTAAAAGCAACAATCAACAAATATGACGAAAAAGATTCTGTAGATACTTGCGGGTTAAATAACTTGAATACTGCGGATGATTATGATGAGCTTATATGTTCTGCCAAAATTAAGAGTAGGATTTGTAATGTCGAAATGTCAACAACTACAGTTATTCCCGACCAACCCAATGATACTTTAACAATATTAATTGACAATGAGGAAACTATTACTCAAAAAGGACCGCTGACTGAGATTAAAGATGATCACGATTCTACAGATACAATCAAAACCGATAGCTCTGAAGACACTTCTTCATCTTTTAAATATTCTAGCAAAAGTAAAGTTAAGACGGAAAACTTAGAACATGAAAGTGTAACTCGAAGTGCAAACACACCAAAGACGCAATCAATAGACACGCTCATACAACAAGAAATAACTATTGCGTTAACAGAAACTCAGAATGATGCAATAGACAAGGCAGAAATGACGAATGAAGATCGTGACGTTAATAAACCCATAAGCGAAATAACAGATAATAATACTACGTCGACAAAATCCACCTCATTAACACCAGTTAATGTGGAAGATAATGAGAATAAAAGTAATAATACCGGCACAATCGTTCAGAGAAGGAAACGATTGAAAAGAACTGAGATCTTAGATATTAGTGCGGTACAAGATCGTATTAATGAAGAAAATAAACAAGGTAGGGAATATTTTATGAAAGTGTGGCGCATTGTATCAGTATCTGTAGCAAAGGATTGAGACAGGAAAGAAAATGAAAAAAAGAACATGATAAAGATCTTTGGCAGTCCATAATCAACAATCTGTAACGTTTAGTGCATATCTATAGGCAAATTTATGTGGATGACTCATAAAACAACGTTAGTTTCGTGCAAAAAGTTTTGTAAATTGAATATTACGACAAGACATTTCGACGTTCATGTATATTTGTGATACATAAAAATATAACAAAATTTTAAGAGTTACTATAAGGTATTTCGTTTTAAAATTACTTAATTCTATCGATGTTAACTGAGTTTCTCAAAAAGAGATATAGATTTTTTTTTAGACAAATTGTATCTACAGTTTGTTTTTTGCTGTTATGTGTGAAATATTCTAATCGATTTCTGAGTATATTTATTACACTTTGCTTGTGATATTTTTACTGTGGATATTTTAATATGCGTATATTTTGTACTTTATTATTGCAGAAATAGGGAGCAATGGACGGCAAAAACGGAGAACTGCGAGGAACGCGGAAGAAATCATTAGAAGGAAGTACCTTAATAGCGACAGTGATTTTAGCGATAGCGATAGCGAAGGACGTAGTGTAACATTAAGCTCGAAATCAAGTCAGAATGTATCTTCTACATCGTCAGCGTCATTGAAGCGTAATTTTTCGGAGAACGATGACGGTGTTGTCTTTAATGGTATTGTTAAGAAAGTGAGAATAAGCCCCAACTCTGAAAAAACTAATGGCTCGAACGACATCACGAATCTCTCTTTCGTAGAGAAATTCAGCCAAAGGAATGGTAAAGATAAATTTCCGAAGCTTACGAACGAGGTAACGGAACATTTATATAAGAATTAGATATAATATCGAACACGGTGTTATACATATATATCACTGTATTCGAACAAATCTGAATTCATTTGAACTAACAATCGCTCGTATTGTATGAGTAATTTTCGCCAATTTTCTTAAGCAATTGGAAGAGTTGCTCATCCAAAAGATCGCGGAGACGATAACGATGCGCAGCGAAATCGGGATACTTCGTGAACAAGCTCGCATATCGGAGAGAAATCAGGAAGCGATGCGAACAAAGCTGCAGCAGTTGACGAAACAGGTTAAGGATTTCGAGATGGTGTTGAATCGCAACGCGTTAGACCGCCGTGTAAACCCCGAGAAGACGGCCACGCCTATTAAAATCAACAGATCTGTGGGCCTGCAGGTCAACTTTGTTACGGTACTTATAACTTATAGTTATATACTTGTAACGGTAGGCTATGTATTTCAACTCGTCATTTTCGTGCAGGATATTCGAAGAGTAGTTCTCTCTCGCGTTATATCTTTGCAATTGTGACTGACACTTTCGATCGAATGCTCTTTATCCAAATAGGAACACGGAATGCAGAATTTGCGGCAGGTACAGCAAAGCCAGCAAAAGCCCCTCACGAACGCTCCGAATCCTACCAGCGCTCCAGCTTCTGAACTGGCAACAACTAACAATACGAATGTAAATACAAGTCCAAGGCGTGGAATCAAAATAAGATCGCCTCGACGATCCGAAACGTCCACTGTTGTACCTTCCGCTCCCACGGTCTCGCAGTGCTCGATGCAAACTACGCCTCTTGTTTCCACCGTGACACCGGCGGCGTTGGTTGTCGCTAAACCCGTGGACACGCAGCAGACGATAACGCTGCCTAATCAGTCTAACATTCAGCTCTTATCAGGAAATATGGTAAAACTACAACGACATCCGCATCGAAGTGCGATAGCTATATACAATAGCGTGCAGGTCGCACTTTTTCTTCGCGATATTTTTTACATGATATAATATTAAACTTTCGACGAACACTAAGCTGCAGTTAATCGCATAAATCTTGTAGTCGCAGCAGCAGCAGATTCAGCCGCAGACTTACGTTGTAAATGGTAAAATCCAGAATCAATCCGTGAATCGTCCGAATACGACGTTGGTAACTGCGACTACGAAATCAAGAAGCAGCGACCTTATCGATCTTACGGACGAAGAGGAAAAGAATAAATGTAAGTTTATGCCTTATGCATCTACACAACACGACGTTGTCGCAATGTGTGTATTGAAAAAGCGTGTATTTATACTTTACGTTCATACGTAAAGGACCGCCTGCAATAGACGTAAAGTATGTAGTGAGACGTAAGTAGTAAGCTAATCGACCACCACGGTCGATTTATTTTTGGAATGTATGAATCCGATTGGTCAATTAGCTCACTGCTTATAAATATCGGTCAGAAATGTAGAAACTTTAATTTCCACTCCCCCCGCACTTTTGTTTAATCTGCGGAATCTCATTGTAGCTGCGAAAGTTACTGCCACATCAACACCTACTTTAATCGAGCAACTGTCAACGGTCACTACAACGAAACCAATATGCTTCCCTAGGGTAATACAAGCGTTACCGACAAACGTGGCGATTACAACACAACCGGCTAGTATAAGAGTGGTACAGCCCAATCAACCACCACCGACCGCTACTATCGTGGTAAATATTTTCCGACCGTGTCAGGCTGTTACAAGTACTACAAATACTGCGTTTGTATCGTGGTAAATATTTTTCGACCGTGTCAGAACTACTACTACGCTACTACAANTTTTTTTTTTTTTTTTTTTTTTCTTAGCGAACATGTCGAAACTTGCATGTAATTTGTATTTGATGTTCGATTCGCAAAAATATTGTGTCCGCGCCGAGATGGATCGATCGCGTTCGTGAAACGCGAATAAGATCAATATGGCAAGATTTGAAGAGTGATCCTCCCGGACGGTAATTTTTAACGACCGAAGGACAAGAATCGTGTGGCGATAAAACGATCTGATGGTAGACAGAAGCGATATTTAATTCGAGCTTGTTCTGTGTGCCTAATTTAACCATTAAACGTTCTTTATTTTTATATAACCCGGAGTAGACTTATTTTTCCGCGAATCTAGAAAACGAATAAGCGTAACAATATATTATCCAGTCCTTTTTTTTTTTTGTAGAATAACGGAGGGCCTCCTAGACTGGCATATGTAATGCAAAGTAGTACAACGAGACAATTGTTAATAGCTCAAAATACTAGTCAGGTATATTGACAGTTTACTTATGATTTTTGCAACTTTATTCGAATGACAGTAAGATCACTTAATTTTATCGCTGATTCGCGTTAAAACAAGAAATTTGATTTTAATAGATACGACCAATAACTACATGTAGAGTAACAACGTCGTTTCCAACTGTGGCATATAAGACAGGTTAGTAAATTATAAGAATTATTGGAAAAACATTAACAAAACTATCCGTATCTTGGGAATAAATAACGTCATGTCTACACATTTCTTCAAAAATACAGTATAAAAAATACGCTATAATATGGTACTTGCATTTATTATTTTATATATATATTTTTTTTCATTTTAAAGGAACCTCAACAATTGCGAATGGCACTGTGCGTGTAATAACTACACCGGCTGTATCAAATGTACCAAATGTCCCGGCAAACAAGGTGAACATCAGAAGCAATCCTTCCCGCAATCTCAGAATTGGCGCATCCAAAACTTTGGTTCAAGTAGTATTTCAAATAATTATTTTTTTCTTCAGATTTAAAGCGATTTATATAAATTTTTACATTTCGTAAAAAATTCGCCTGAATTCATTATCACAGTATATATATATGTATGTATATGTATCGAACACATGATTATACAATTTCGTTTTATTTCAGCATCCTGCACCATTGCCGGATACTCCAACTTACGCATTTACTCCTGGCTGGAAACTTCCACCGCCTGCTCCGTCGTTAAAAATGTCTAAAGTCCCCAACGGTAAATTACGATTCTTCATTTAAATTTTTAATGCGACACTAATGTCTTCATTTTTTTTCTCCTTCGGCGGTTAGTTACAGATTTGTTCTTTTTCGCTGGACTATTGTACATTTATAGAATTTAAAAAGAGACAGATATGCAGTTAAGACTTGCTTGAAGAAAGAGAAGAAGAGAACTGGTGTAGCCAGTTCAGCTATAAAGAACAGATCTATACCTACACGATATATATACCTACACGAGATATAGATCATAGTATTACTACTTTTGCCCAGACTGCGTTCAAATACTCATCGCCAGTGTGTTGAAAATCTGTAATAACGTAACATGAACTGTAGATTTTCAGCGTTGGCAGTGAATTTTAGAACATAACCACGATAGAGAGCAAAATAGTTTATAGACACACTACGGGTATGTTCGGGAAGCGCGTTATCCGCGCTAAAGCGTTGTTTTATCTTTATCGCTTACTAGAGCGACCGATACACCTAGAATGACGCTTTAGTGCTGATAATACGCTCCCCGAAAGCACTCTAAGCCTGTTTATTTTAGCCGAACTTAATGTTGCAATTTTGTTTTCTTTTCGATCTCATCTAAGTTATTTGTTTTATTCTAAAGGCGAAAAATGCAACCTAGTTCGACTGAAACGAACAGGCTTACTGAAATCGGGAATCGGGCAGCCAGTGGTCCAATGGGAGCACTTATTTTCGACTTAATCCCTTCCCTCATTGGACCATCGGCTGCTCTGAACTTCACTATGTCCAAACTGTTTTACTCCCCACCAATAGCAATGTCACGTTGCAGGCATAGTATTATCCTGGAACGTGCCCCTGACTGATAAGCATGCTGATATTGTCAGTTACCAATTATATGCGTATCAAGAAGTCACAGGCGTGTCACCAAACACGTCATTGTGGAAGAAAGTGGGCGATGTTAGAGCACTGCCGTTGCCAATGGCGTGCACCTTAACTCAGGTAAATCTACTGCTTTATATCCGGTGCTTAATCCGAGATTCACCGATATCATAAGAGTAATAATAATATTACTTTCCACAGTTTTCTGAGGGCAATAATTATTATTTCGCGGTCAGAGCGGTGGATACACATTCCAGAAAGGGACAATACAGTATACCTGGTAATATCTCTTTGTAAGAGAGGCGAGAGAACGCGAGAAAATCAATCATAATTTAGTCTCGAAATTTTATCCAGTTCACATCTCTCTTTGCGTCCCTTCTTTTTTTATGCTTTTATGCATAATTCGATGTGTGATAAAATGTGATAAAAATGATCTGCTGTCTAACAACCAGCATATATGGCACACATTGTATTCCATCTTTCCCATATATATTTTAAATAATTTTTTTTATTTTGCACTATTAACACTTTGCGGTCCGCGTTATAAATTTATTGCGCTATCTGACTCAAGAAAAACTGAGCCTGTAAACCCTTATTTGGCCGCACTTTTTCGGTTGTACATAAACATCTGTATAAAAGGATTTATTAAAATTGCATCAATTTGGTTTTTATCGTCGTAAAGTTCATTCTTTTCTCTCACCAATGAACTTAATAAATTTAAACTTTTTTGCTTGTTTTTTAGACAGTCAAAGATGGCACTTACTTCCTTGCTGAAAAACAAAGTCAAACGTCAGTATGTTGATAAATTTAATTTACGTAAATGACAATCGTCCCATAAGAAATCACGTTTATAATTTTTTGGTGATGTGCTAATAATTGATCGTAAGGAATTTTGTATGTTTTCTGAAGATAATGTCGGCGCGTGCGTCATCATACTGTCAAACATATTTATCCTTCTAAATTAAAATATATATTCGAACTTAACAACCGTGTTTTTGGCTCTTAATGGCCTGTTCTAATTTCTAAAGATATAATAATTTCACATCGTCCGATGAAAATTCTCCTTATATATATATAATTCTATATTATTTGGCATTTCCGCACTTTCGTTCGTTAACTATTTCAACCGTGTGTCGCCCATATTCGCCATTTTCTAACGCTTAATTGCGATATTTTAACATGTTTACAATTTCTTGTATTGTTGCTGGCACGTTGCTAAGCATGTTTTGCTTTTATTTTGCTCCACACATTTATTCTCAATCATATAGGTACGTGTATATCGTTAATATTAATATTCTATCATTATATCGTCCAACGGACCGCCACGTCGGTTAAGACGCGATGATACTGCATAGGTGCTTTCCAAGGAAACACGGAGAAACACTGTGTCGCACAATTGAACACAGTGCATGGGTGTTTGATGGAAACATCTTGATTTTCGAAACAGCCGCTAGTTGGCGATAATGCACGCACGAATACACCCCACACAGCACACTCCATCTGCGGGACGTCCTACGGACATCGTTTTCGGATATCGTAATAATCAAGATATTCTAAGATATCCGTGGGATTTTCAGCCTCTACTAGCCAATTACGGAACTTGAAACGTCATTGGTCGTTCCAGGAGCGTTTCAAATCTACTTAAAAAAAAAAGAGCTAATAATTTTATTGTTAATTATAACTTTTATTTATATTGCTCAACTAAAATTATTTGCTGTTTGGCAAAATATGAATATTGTTAAGTTTTAACTACTATTTTGTTATCTCATTCTAAACTTATATTTTATTATAATGAACATGTATGGGAAAATTTTCAAAACAACAGAAATTGTCCCAAGAGAGAAAACGATTCTTCAGTATATATTTAACGCTACAAATATGAAAATTATATGAAAATTACTGAAAAGTTACTAGCTATGATACCGACACAAATGTTCAACTCTGCTCTACAGCTGCGTTGATTTGTGTTTTATTGTGTCGTAAGAAGGCATTTGTGTCAACACTGTGTTACATTGTGTCTCTTCTTTGGAAGGTATCCTATATCATCGGCGGACCGCAAAGTGTTAGTTTCAAATCAACGAATGAACGCGATTCTTTGCATTCATTGTTCAGAAGAATAATAAGTGAAATAAGTCTAAAGAAGAAACATCTAGAATAAAATATAAGTAAATAATATAAGTAAAATACAAATTGAACAGTTGCCAATCGCGCGAATTTCACTCCCATAAATGCTTCCAACTACATAATTAGCCAGGAGACGTTTTGCGCGTAGATGGCCGGCAAATCACGCGCCAAGATTGCTCAGCTACGCAAGCAAAACTTTATCCTAGTTTTGCGTCGTCATACAGCCACCGAATGATTAGTAAAATTTGCGCACGATACTCTTAATATGAAAACGTAACAATGCTCGGGTAGGATCGAAGCACGCGGTGAGATTGCGCGAGTACAACAAATGACTTGCGAGCACAACTTAAAAGCTGCGTCAATATACCGTTAAATCACGATAAAATGTTAACAGTATGCTAATCAATTTGCACGAGATTTACTGGTGTATAACATAACACGTAGCCTGTCAATTTGCATACAATATACACATGACTGGACATATTTCACGAACGAAAACGTAGACAAGTCTTGTGCAAAGCTCGCAGGCGTAACTGACACAAGGTTTGCGTGAAAGAATTGTTATGTGCATTGAGAAAAAAACATCTAAAAACAAACGAATTTCTTCGATGGGTCTTTACACGATATTTACTTAAATTCTCTTTATTTAAACTGAGTAAATAAATAATACTCGATTTAAATACAGTGAATTTAGGTTTAAGTAAATATCGTGTAAGAACCCATCAATAGAAATATAAATTTGTTTTTAGATAATTTTCCTCTCGGTGCGGGTAGTTGCATACACGTATCGTTGTGTGTGACCTTTTTAACTCGATTCTGTGTATATTCTTCTAAAATAGACAATTTACGTTACAATATAACTATATACGGTTATGATTTCTCAGCTATACATTAACGAACATCGATGGGATTGTCTTCATTCAAGCTATGTCTTTGTTTTGCACTTCTTCATGATTTACTACATTTAACAAGTAGCCGTAGCGCGTAGAACAGAGAATTCTAGTCGAAAGGTTTTGACGAGTTTCTCAACATCTTCAAATAATGGAAAATATTACACAAAGACTTACGGAAGGGAGCGTTGACAATGTACAGGAAAACAGAAAACATTCTGCGCATGGATATCCACACTCGTTGTTCTCTCGTATCGAAAGATTAAACGCCAACTACGTATAATTATTATTTTAATTCGCGCTTAAACTCGTGATGATACTCGATGCTGGTCTTTTTTCCAGCAAATGATTGCACGAGTCTCTACTAAAGTCTCTTGTTCTGAATAATTTGCTCAATTTTTATACAATTTTGAATTCGGGGTGTACTATGTATTTATAATACTATATATTTGTAGGATAACAAGTGTGAAAACAAGATGTGTATTGTACGACGAGCTCGTGAATGTAAATATTAACGTAATGTGTAAATCGTTGTGTTATCTAGGTCAAAAAGCATAATTAGGATACTATTAAATTACGATAAGCTTTACTTTTACTTGTAATAATTATTACAATGATTCTTACTTTTATTTGTAGTGAGACCTGTTGCGGCGTCGAATTACCTAGAGAGAGAGAGAGAGAGAGAGAGAGAGAGAGAGAGAGAGAGAGAGAGAGAATGATAGCGAAAATATATGTTGATTTTTTAAAAGATATGTAGTGCGAAATTTTATATATATATATATGTATGAATTTTATTTGTAACTGCGTATAAACGGGGAAAAGAAATTTTCCTGTTCCAGCAAAATCCGTTTCCTCCGTGTACCGTTATTCTTCGCAACTTGTTTCCGCTATTTTTCAGTGCCGTTTAAAGATGCCTCGCCGGAAGTTCTTGTATTGGCCAGCGAGAGATTTCTCGAGGATGCCACGAATACACTGCGAGCGATCCACTAATATATTAACATCGATCTTGTTTTGTACTTGTATGAGAAATAAACTTTTCAGCCAATTTCCTCGTGTAAATGCAAACGCATTTCACGATATCGAGGCTCCGGGGTAGCCGCTATGACGGCCCTTGCTTAATGAAATCAGAAACGAGAGAAAACGCATACCGAGATTTTTTGCGTTATACTTTCGAATCCAAGGACGCATCCACGAAATGCTATGTTTGTGATCGGTTCGGCGCACCTGTAAAATTGGACGAACACCTCTCTCTCTCTCTTTTGTTTGAACAATCAATAAGTAGTCGAAATTAACGTACAGTGACAAAATCATGAGGAAAAGGGAGGTTCGGTGTCAAGTTAATTTTGACCGGGTTTCCGCGCGCCAGACGCAGCTCTCCCGCGAGCCTCGGTGGCCGCCGCGACGCGGCGCCGCTGCGAGATCAACTCGCTCGCGAGGTTGACTTTGCTCATGGCGGGTTATACAAAGTATCGCAAGAAAAACTATTCATCTCTATAGATTTCTCTTAAATTTTGAAAAGGAACCATATATGTTAGTGAACGCTGGCTTTGTGATTGTTCAAAGTGTGTATGCATTTTTGGGAGACACCCTGTATTAGGTTGCTTGGGAAGTTCGCTTCAAATTTTGCGCGCTCGCGTTGCTACGTCGCCAACCAATGAGAGTAAGGGCGCTCCGAATGATTTTGCAGTTTTCGTTCGTCTCTAAAAAACGTATTCCTTTCATCGGATATCAGACGTATGTCGGACGTTGGGCAGTGTGAATCCGCCATAAAATGATCATTGTTTAAGTCCGTTCTACAATACGCCGTATGTCGGGGTCGGATGTCAGATCGCAGCCGATGGTTCAATGAGGAAAATTCTTTCCCGAGGAATTAATCCTCTCGTTGGACCGTCGGCTGCGTCCCGACTCCGACGTATTGTAGAACAAGCCTTACTACTGTGCGTTTAAAACGTGGTCTACAATGGACTATATATAGGTAGGAATATGTTTACAAGAAGCAACAGTAAGAAGAGAATGAACCAGTCGCAGTCGACTATTCTCCTTACATTCGAACACGATTGGTCAGTTTCTTATTCTTACTTCTTATGAACATACTCTTACCGTCCGTTGTCGACTAGACTTTACCCCGACGGTCGTTCCGTATTGGCCGCTCCCCATTCCCGTCGCGCGTTTTCGCAGTTCATGGGGACAGCGGCCCGAAGCGCGACGTCGCGGAGGATCTGCGGGACGAGCATAAACTGACGTCACGCATTCTAGTCGTCTTCGGGAGTCGCGGGCTCGCTTCTCAGGCTCGCCCGCCGCTGGTGGCCTCCGCTCTCCATCTCGCTCCGCGGTTCTACCTCTCCATCTAACGCACATCCTCCGCATGCAACGCGCTAAGTGAGTCACGCGCGCGCGGGTCGCGTAAGGTTGCGTCAAAACAAAAACAACCGCCGCTGCTGATCGCGAAGGTACCGTCAGCGACCGTCTCACCCCCTGCGCTCGGTAAGGAAAGAGCGAACGAGGAAGCGGGGGCGGAAGTAACGGCAGTGGTCTCCGTCGGGTCGGATAATTTATGAACGCGCGACAGGCGCGCCCGTCCGCGTTTGTGTTGGGTGTCCGTGAACGACACACGGCGAAGGTGAAAACGTTGGCCGGAGCGAACCTATAGCTGGGACGTGCACGGCGGGATAGAGTGGGACATCTCGTGCGCCACGAATAACAGTGAAAGCGGAGGCGACGAGTGGACGATCGCGTCGATCATTATATCGCTCTATATAGACGAGAAAAGCTGCATCGCGACGCCCGCCAATGACAGCGTTCGCGCGTTCGTGATATCTCAGGTGCGACTCGTCGGCGCTCGCATTCTCCGCTGGCGACGATACGCGCAAACACGCTCTTAGCGACGCTCTCTCTCGTGGAGGCGCGATCAGCTGTTGCGGTTTCCGCGAGGTCGCCCGCCGATAGGACGGGAGGCAACACACCTACGGAAACAGAGAGGTGTCCGATAAGGTGCGTGTTTTCGGGCGCGCGCGCACTCTCTCTCACACGGAGAATGTGCAAGAGGTAGCCGCGACGAGGAGGACGGGTGGATTATTATGACGAGCGGCGTCCGAAGGAGCCGTCAGCGTGCGTGCGACATCGGGCTGCTGCGCTATGTGAATACACCGTGGTGTACGTATGAGCAACGTAATTCATGCGTTCCCCTACTGTCAGCGGTGAGCGTACGACGACGGGCGGCTCTCCGCCGACAGGCGAACGGCAGTCCACGTCAGTAACCGGCAGCGACATTCAGGGGATGCCTAGCCTACACTCGCTCGTCTTACGGCGAGCCCCGCTAACGGATATGGGCGCCGCGACCAGCTCGGTGACGTCCGTCAACCCGCCCGCCAAGATCGCCAGCCAGAAGAAGGGGGACAAGTCGAAGCTGAGACTACCTCTGATACGCAAGGAGGCCAGCGTGGTGAATCTCTCCCTGACGGAGAGGAGCGTGCCGGGCAAGGAGGCGGACGCGCCTCTCCTGCGTCCTGAGAGCAGCGCCAGTCTGGAGGCGCGCGGAGGAAGCAGCTGGATGAGCCTCGGCCCCGGGCCGCTGAGGAAGTGCGAGACCGCCGTGGGGCTGAGCACCTCCGCCCTGGAGGGCAGGCCCATCAATCGCAGCAGGGTCTGCTCGCGCTGCTCCAGCCTGCTCTCACTGGCGTCCAGCTCGAGGTACAGCCTAGCCGCCGGCAACTTCGTGCCCGCGGCGACCTCCCAGCAGACGATCGGACGGATATTTTGTAAACTCTGTCTCGTCGACACCACCCTTTCCAAGTCGTTTAAGATAGAGAGATGCGGTTGTTCCTATTGTAAAGATGTAAGTCTGACTTCTCTTATCATATCTCGGGGACGTGTGTACACAGAGATTAAACGTGCGACCGCATGTCCTCAACGTGTTCTCAATGATTTCCAGTGCATGCGTGCCTACGTGGAGTTTGAGATCGAGGAGGGCGCGTACGAGATCAGCTGTCCCGACGCTCAGTGCGATCAGGGCGCCGTACTCTCACTGCCGGAGATCGCGAGCCTCGTCAGCTCGGAGCTCGTGGAGAAGCACTGCAAGTTCCGAGTAAACAGAGGTAAGCTCCCCCCTCCCCTCTTCCTCTCTTTCGGAGAAAGAGAGATATCACCAACGTTCTTCCTACTCGCAGATGTGTCCATGGACAAGAGGCGGGCGTGGTGTCCAACTGCCGGTTGCGAGACGATATGTTCGATCAGGGCCAGCGGTGGAAGCGGCGCTCCCTTGGTCCCCGTGCACTGTCCCAACTGCTCGACCGACTTCTGTTGGATATGCCGGGAGCCCTGGCACAACGGGCCCTGCCCGGATCTCCCGTTCGACGGCGACCACATCAAGTCCTGTCCCATGTGTTCGGTGCCCATCGAGAAGGACGAAGGCTGCGCTCAAATGATGTGCAAACGGTGCAAACACGTGTTTTGCTGGTACTGCTTAGCATCCCTAGATGTGAGTATATATTCCCTCCAACTCGGCCGCGCGATCGCTGCTACGCGCTGGTAATAATATTCCGTAGCTTCCGTCACGCTTGGCTCACGCGCAAAAATACGAGCGTGACTAAACCGCTTTTTGTCGGACTTGACTTGATTGTAGGATGACTTTCTGTTGCGACATTACGACAAGGGACCATGTAAGAATAAGTTAGGCCACTCACGCGCGTCCGTGATATGGCATCGAACGCAAGTTATCGGGATCTTCGCTGGTTTCGGCCTACTTCTGCTCGTCGCATCGCCCTTGCTATTGTTAGCGGCGCCCTGTATCGTGTGTTGCAAATGTCGCGTCTGCGGCACCTCCAGGCTCGACCAGGAAGAGGGTGACACGGCAACATAGGAACTTCCAAATCTCTCTTTCTTTCTCTCTCTCTATCTGTCTATCTGTCTATCTCTTTCTCTCAGCTAATTCTCGCTTCATTATTTCACCCAGCTAAAAATCAACATTTTTCCTAGACTTCCATGTATGGGAGGTAACACGGTCGGCAACTTATATAGATATACATTGCATTTCCTTAAGTCTATACTTTTGTCTTTGCGTCGCTAGACATAATGTTGGAGAAAAACAAAGAGAACGCATGTCTCTTTTCAGTCAAGCATATTGTGATTCACTCTATACACATATATCTACATGCATATATATATATATATATATATATATGTGTGTGTGTGTGTGTGTATATATATTTATATTTTATTTGTGTAAACTATTTAAACAGAAAATGAGAAATGGTTACTGCGCGATTCGTTTAGTCTTAATACAATTGTTTCTTCTGATGATGATATAAACTTACCTTACGTAGCCACTTAATAACTCTATATTTTTTTTTCTTCGTTTTTTTTTTTCTACGACGTGTACTAATCGTGTGATTCAATGAGATCTAATTATTTAAAAATACTCATAACGAATCATTGTCTACGAGAACATTCCAAAGACTTGTACACTTTGCATCAAATTTATTGTACTGCCGCATAACATTACTACGTCTCCGTCTTAATCGGGACACGATTAAACAAATTTCTTCGGTGAATTCCCCGTGACGTTTTCGTTAATTTCTATTTACCGAGATGCGAGCTCGATCGATTTTTGAGAGAGTCCTCATGAAGTTGTGATAATAGCGTGTTGATTATTTTATTACATGGGACGTTTAAATATTAGATTAGATACTAACTAAACACGTCTCCTCCCCCCCACCCTCTTCCCTTTTCTCTTTCTCTCTTTCTTTCCTCATGAAATTGTAAATATTATCAAATTAATATATCTCGAAAAAACAGTGTATATCTATATGTGTGCCTATGTCGAATTAATGCAAGGCTCAGCTCTACATTCTCATTGAGAGAAACGAATCTTGATTGTGGAGTATTTAGATGGTACGATATTCTATTCCCTCGTTATCTTGTATAATTTATATAGGTGCTTTCACGTTTAGTTTGATGGTGATTTAATCGCTTATGTACAATTACATGTGCATTAATTTAGAAGGAGCAGAAAAAGAAAAAAAAGTGCGTATACATTGCGTGAGGAGAAAAGAAAGAAAAAAAAAGAAAAATAAGAAAGAGAGGAAATGTCTTATAATTATGCATTTTATCAATGAAATTAAAAGAATGCCGTTGTTATTGTGTATTTAACACGTTTTTCGTCTGAGCATGACGCACGCGAGTTGTGCCGCTAAAGCTATCAATCAATATGTGCCATGTGATTATTGCGGGAACTCTGTAGAATACCTACGGTGACTCGGGGCCTGCAGCACACACAGGTAAAATCGCGAGAAACGTGTTAACATACATTCACGCTAATCCACCTTATTATGCATATAAATGAAATTTAGATTGTTAAAGGTCAAGAATATGAATAATCAACTGTGGACAATAGTTATATGTTATTTCCGAGAAACAGGTTCTTATCGATATTAAGTAATATGAAGATATCGAGAAGGTAAAAAATCATATATATATATATATATATATATGTATGTATATATATATGATATGTAATAAATATATGTGGTATTTTGTGTATATAATACGGATTTAAGATGAAGGATAGGTTGGCGTTATGTTTGGATGTCCGACAAAACGATGCATTTCTCGCGAGCAGTGCTGTACAGGCGAATATCGGCGAACGATTATGTTAAATACGCTATAAGTTACCGCGTGGTCGGTTTTCACTAATTTACGTCGCAACTGTTAAAAGTATCTCGTTTGTTGTACTATTAAGATTGTATGTAAATAAAAGTACGCATACACGCCGACACGTGTATGCAATTATGCATTTGAGTGTGTACACTCGTGTGTCAGAAATAAAAGAAAATACAATGAGAAATAAGTTTATATGTATGCATATATGTACGCACACATACATGTACCTTTATGAACGTTCATTGTATACCGCGCGTGTTTGTCTGCTCCACTGAGTGCCGAGGAGAGAAGAAAAGAAATGGGAACACGAAAAAATTCGCCGAGAGATCCGAGCGGATTCGGCATTAAACTCTCCCGAAAGAAAAAAAAAAACTTGATAAATATTAATGAGCGCGCGCTTTATCGTACACAACGTCTCGCAAAGTAAAGAAAGAAATTCGCTCAAGGTCCGCCGATCGATAATGGTGACGTCAAAATCGAGAAATGCGGCATAAATTATTTCCGCAGCTCTCTCTCGTGGCTCGTTCCGATGTGCGAGATTTCAAATGATAAAAGGTTCGCTTTGTTCGGCTCGCGAATCCCCTCTTCGGCGTTGTAACGCGACTCCGAGAATATTTTTGCGAGAGCAGTATGTTAGATTTTTGTGTCAACGGTAATGCCGTGACGTTAAGAACTGTCCCGTTAATTTAACAGACCTGTCCGACAAGGCCGAAGTCGCGAGAGAGAGAGAGAAGTGGGGGAAGAGGTGCGGAGAGTTGCCGAACTCTTACCGTTTCTACTTTTCTTCCACTGCTGATACTTGCCCGGCTCGCAGGACCGCTACGTGCTGACTCGGCTCCCGAATCAAGTCGGAATTTCTTCGGGCGACCCGAGAGAAATATACAAAAAAATCCACGCTCTTAGATTGAATATTAATAAGGATGTGTAAGAAAGCCTGTAAGAGCGAGCGTTAGTTACAAAAATGTGCGAAAATAATACGCTACCGTATGGTTGATAGAATCGTGTTAAACAAACGATTCTGTCTTGTCTTGGGTCATGCAGCAGCAACTTGCGGAAGGAAATTTTCCAAAAATTGCACAAAATGCAATACGCAGAGATGGATAACAATGGGGGATTTAACGTGGTCACCGGGAATGGCAATCTTCTGTGACGGCGCGTCGCACCTAAACAGTCCGAATTGTGAAATGTGGCCGTAAGAAAGTAAGAAAGATGCCGGTTGTGCGTCGAATCCAATAACGAGTGTATTTGGAGGATCTACATTGAGGAAAAAAAAGCGATTGGATCTGCAAAATCAGCGGCCACCCTCGTTCAAAGAAATGTCACGTCCATCGAACTAATTAATTGGCGCAACGGTATGTTGCGTCGGCACAGTTGCTGACCAAATCACAATCAAGTCGAATCAACTAATTCATTACAGGAATTACGTAATCTGGACGTGGCGCTTGAAAAATTTACGTTCATTTGAGCAAAACTTCCTTGACTCAACTATATTTTTTTTCTCAATGTATTAGAAAATGGTGAGGAACATGGCGAGAAATAAGAACGAGATTGTACAATAATAATTAAAATCATACCCGATCGAGCGAGTAGCCAAAAATTACGGCTATCAAAATACAAAGAGTCCAAGTCGAGAAGGTAAACCGAGCTCGCCTGCAGCAGGCGGCGACATGCAATACACGACTGCGCGTAAGGAAACAGTACCGAGCATATGTTCGCGTATAACTGAAGAATTCGCGCTATTGCGAGGAATTCTGCGATGTGCCGCGTTTTTAATCGATCTGTCCAACGTACGTACACCGAGAAACCCGTTCAACTCAAGCAAAATGCTTGTTTGGACGTGGGTAAACAAATGTTTCGGTTGCGAGAGCCAAAATTTAGTTCCCGGAACCCAAGCTTTTTCACTTTCGAAGAAAACCATATTTTGGCTCTCGCAAGCAAACAGCAACTTTCTTACCGCGGCCACATTTCACAATTCAGATAGTTTTGACACGAGGCACCGTCACAGAAGATCACCCATCGGTTCATCTCTGCGTACTATGTTTTAACATTTTCGCATTTGTGCAAAAATTGTGTCGCGAAATTTTACCTCGTAAGTTACCGCGTTCCATTTGAAAATTTCGATCCCAAAACAGGACCGAAACGTTTATCCAACACAATTCTATTATTAACGATTTGTCTATTATTTTTGCGTATTTTTAACTTGACGCTCGCTCTCACGGAACTTTCTTACATTCGTCTCAAACGAATGGGGAAGAAAAGGTGGTGGGCGCGGTGGGCTATTCGAAGATTTTGACACGAGATTGTATTTTTACGAACGAAAGAAAAAGCGAACTGCGGCCGCTGTTGCAAATGCATAAACCAGTTCTATACGCATCATCGAGCGCACCACCGACAGAGTGCGTGTCCGTGCGTGCCTTCCTTCTCGGCCGACCGCGTCCGTTTCTGCTTCAGGTATGCGGCGGGATGATGTTTTTCCCGTCCGGAGTTTGCGCGAACATCGTTGCGTTCGCGCGAACGCAACCGCACAGATCTGGACAGGAAGTGCTCTTTATCGCTCTTATTTGTTGTACCGTGCGACTCTTTGTGATTCACACGCGTTTCGCCGACCGATACGGCACATTAAGCGCGATTCCCTCATCTTCGTCGGAAGCGACAAAAGATCGACGTAATGAATGTCAGCGCTTTTACGCGTTTAGACATCGCTGGTTACGCTGGAAAGTAATTTATAAACTTTTATCATCGTTCAGACGATGAAAAAAAAAGGAAAGAGCACCGCGACTCCGCCTCGGGTTATGTACCCACCCTTCGCCTTCAGTTGCGTTGAATTCGATGAGAAGGAAGGACACATTTTCGCCCCATTTCTTTTTTTTTCTCTTTTTTGACCCATTTATTGTAATTAACATATATTTAACCGTATGAAAGTATAATAATGAAAAAAGAGATTAGGGTAAAAATTAATCGGAATGAAGAGGATTCGCATTAGAGAGGGAGAGAACGGTGCGGTAGATAATCACGTGAAACGTTGCAGGTAGCGGCTTCCAAAATGCATATCGAGAGGCACGCTTATTCGATGCGATTCTCACGGAGTCTGAAATTTCGATCGAATGAAACGTTCAGAATTATACATAATTATATACATTACAGTTGACACGTGTATAATTATCATACAATCCAAATCTCTCCGAATGCACTTGGGTCGACCATTCGCACGAAAAATGTGCGTATTCTTATTCGCGGGTCTGTACATGTAAAAAATTTCCTATTTAAATTCTTCCCATTGATTTAATTAAAAACGTGCTCGCTCGGCGACTTTCACGTGTTACTAGCGCACCGTGCATTTACCAAGATTGGTGGGCCTCCGCGTGTTAGAAAATCGATACGCCGTTCTGACAATACACACGATAAGCCCCCTAGTTCTTCCTAATAAGCTGCGGTAATATATTTATATAATTATATATCTATATGTATGTATGTATGTATGTATGTATATATATATATATATATGTATGTATGTATGTATGTATGTGTATGTATGTATACATATAAAATAGCTAAAAAGTTTGCAATGCAAACTTTTTCGATACGCCAAGTTCGCGAATTTGATATGCACGAGACCTATCGCGCACATCAAGTGATGGTACACCTATATTATGCTGGTTAAAAGATAAAAAAAAGTCGAGTAAACATCGATAAGGTACATAATCGTAAAAGTACGGTTACCGTGCGTAATTAGTAGTTGCTTCCTAGACTAAAACGTTCAACAAAAGGGGAGGTCTAAAAATACGAAAAAAAAAAAGAACTAAAGAAAGAAGAAACGAAGAAAGGAAGAATCGCGTCGGTGCGACGACAAAGGAAGGAGCGGACTGACCCGGTCGAATACGGGAGGATTATTGAAGGACACCTCTGGCCTTGAACATCTCCCTCATCATATTCTTCACGACTTTGACCTCGCGCTTCAGCTCGACTACTTCCTTCTTGAGCTTCTTGTTGGTCTCGGTCAGCTGGATCTCCTGAACAAGTATATCCTTGATTTCCTGTTTCTTTTTCTGCCGGTAACGCGTCGCCGCGTTCTTGTTCTGCTCCTTCTTCCGCACCTTCCTGTCCTCGACGGACGGCCGGTAGGATGACTGGCGGTAGGTTTTAGAGAGGCCCTTCGAGGTCGACGGCTTGCTACTCTCGTTCTCGATGTTCCAGTCGGGATCATCGATCAGGTCCTCCGTGGAGATGCAACTGCTGCCGGAACTGGTGCACGGGCTCGACGGTGAGGGTATATCATTGGCGTGCGAGCGAACGTATTCCTCCACCGCCATCAGCTCGTTCGCCGCGTCCCTGTCGAGGCTCACCGAGTTCAACGGTATGTCCTCGACGCCATCCCACTGGCGGGTTGTCGCCGCCGCGCTGTTCGCGAACAACGTTTGCTGCTGCTGCTCGTAGACAACCGGGACTACCGTCTGCTGCTGACTGTCGGGGAACAGCGATTGCTGTACCGGCTGCAGGGTGATCAGCAGCTGCGTGTCCACGCTCTGCTGCGACGGTGGCGGGGATTGCGGGGGGGTGAGCGTAGAACTGTTGTTCGGCGGGATGATCTGGTGGCAGGCCTCGACATCTCCCAAAACCGTTTCGAATTCCTCCAAGAGAGTCTGGGTGTTCTGCGGCGGCTTCAAGGGACTGTTGTTGTTGTTCGTTTGGTAGCCAATGTCATTCGGGTTCTCGTCGTCGGGTGCAATTGACAGTTCCTCGAATATGGGTATGTATGTTCTCTGTTCCATCCAGTTTGAGAATGATTCTGCAAGAAGAACAAGCGAATCTCATTAGGGTTCGATCGGCACTCGTGCGCGTTTGCTTGCTTCGCGCGCGAATAATAAGATGTATTGCGCAACCTCTTTGTGTAGGGTCTCTTCTCGCGCGATATGCGCATCACGAACGGCGCCACGGAGCCTCGTCCTATTTCTAATTGACGTCGACATATCGACTCGGCAACCCGTGAATGAATCACATTGGCGATTATTACGATTTCCTGGTACGCGCTCATCGTCACCCGCCGCGACAAAAGACGCAATTCGCGCGACGACGTCGTCCCAGTTGAATCCCCGATTGCTTCTGCCTTCTCCCCGAGTAAACTTGAGCCGAACGTCCCCGGCCAATTTTCTTCAACTGAAGAATCGTCTGTGACGTTCAGTCACAGATCTTGTAATTAAGACCGTCTCAAGTTCATCTTCGGACGCATTGTAGCCAATAGGTTTGTTCCTTTCTTAATCTAGCTAAAATTAGATCGCATTCTTCTGCCTTTAGAGTGAAACAAGTACACAACCGAGCGGTGAAAGGAAGGCCCGGTGTAACATTGGTTGAGCTAAAACGAGCAGGTCCGATGAAACGACCCGTGCGATATCTGAGGATAAACTTGAGAGACAGCTTTAAGTACAAAGCCCGGTTGAATGAATACCGGTCTGCGTGTCTTGCGTCTTTACCGTCGCGACAACCCGCGAGGGACTAATTTGCTTCGTTCATGCCCGATATGTATATCAATCTTCCGCGCTCCACCACTCGACAACGCCCGATCAGATTGTCCGCACAATTTCTCTCGCGTCTATTTTCTTTGGTCGGTCGGTGGTGTGGCAACCCGAGAAGGATAAAATTTTCGTGTACAATTATGCCCCCCGCTTGTACAAGAACAAAAAACGAGGAAAAGTTGTCCCGTCGAACAAGCGATAACGGGTATCTTTGTGTGTACGTAATGCGGATTTTTCATATATCTTGGGAGCTAAAACGAGCCGACGGTTAACAGTACTTGTCGCGGTACGTGTGGACAATGTAAAGTGGGCGCGGTTGATATATACACACATACATATATATATATATGCATTTTCATGGACGTTGCTGATTTAACTAGGAAAACAAGTTCCTCATTTGCAATCGCCTCATAATGAGATCAATTCCTTTGCCACCGTTGTGTGTTTTTATTCCGAGTGCCACGAGCGCGTGCACGCGTGCACGCACACTGTGCGTGCATGTTCCGCGAGGTGTGTGCGGAACACGCTTCGGAAAAAAAATATTTTCTTTTTTTTCTCATCGTTAATGACCGACAGTGTCCTTGTACAGGTTGGTGGACGAGTCGAGAGAGGGGCGTTCCCGGTTTCCCTGGACAATGAAACTATGTTGTCTCTCGTCGTCGTCGCCGGACGATGAGGAGGAAACGCGGGGACCGAATAGAACGAGCCAAAGCGCACTCTTAGATAATATTACAACAATGTTGTAATCAATGTTTTCGCATTTCGGCCTAAGACAGCCCTGACCCATTTCCCGTTGAAACTTTGATCTCGCCGGTTCACTCTCGATGTCGCTCTTAAAGTTATCTTGACTTAAATGCAGAGGTCACGGAAGGTCAGATAAGAAGCACTTCTGTGCTCGAAAGTCGTTGGACGGAGAACTTGCGAGAAAATACGGGTATATTTGTCCGAATGGAAAAAAAAATTCCCCTCTCTTTCTCTCTCAGTCGCGAGGCTGCGCTTTCGCGTGTCGCGCGTGAACATTGTTCGTTATCGAGGCTTCCTACTTTTTTTTTCCGAGGAACCGGATCGACTTTGAAAGTGCGACGTAACTCAACGTTCTCGAATAGTTCAGCGTAGTTCACCGAGTGCGTGCCCTCAGCTTTACCGGTTTCTACCGTACCTTCGTGAGGTCTTTGCTCAATCAACGAGCTAATCGACTAATCGGACGAGCGAAACGCGCGCTAATGGTCGCATCATCGAAGTCGAACAAGTCGAAGTTGAAGTGTAGCCGTGGCGGGTTTATTAATTCCCAATTGAAAAGCTCTTGCTAACGTGATATTCCACGAAGATGCCCCCCCCCCCGAGACGCGCACGCACGCGCCGCTTATGTTATCATCGGGCGTGCGATTTGGCGCGTTATCTTTTTTATTTTCGCTCCGCGGGCTGGTAAAGGCTGCGAACTGCGAGAGAACTGTCGGAGGAGCGTCTGTCCGTCTGTCGTCAAGCGCTAGCGAGAAAGAGAGACGGAGAAAGGGGAAGGAAGGGGGAGGAGGTCGAGAGACACGTAGATACGCACAACGAGCGAGACATTTCGACGGCGGATCGCCCATGTGTGACGTGAGAGATCACGTCTGAAGGAGACGTCGCTCTCATCTGTTCGTTCTTCGTCAGTAAAAGAGCGTAATTCGGTGAAAGCGGACTCGCGAGAGAAACGAGAAGGAGGAACCGTGCAGCACCGTGCACCAATGGAGTGCCTCGGGTCTCTTATAGGCCCAGCGATGTCGCAAATTTCGAATTAGACGCATCATTCCTGAATATTCATGCATCATGATTGCTGATTTTATAATGTGAACCGGCAGGAATGCTCCAAAGCAGTCGTCATGATGCGCGAATACTCAGAAATGATCGAGCGTCCAATTCGAGGTTTCCGATATCTCGCCATGATGTCCGGAGAACGAGATTCCATTGATGGCCAGTCACAAAGGTTGCAATACTTCTTTCCTTATTTCAGGATCGATCGTGTAACTTTTTTCTTCCCAGTACGGAAACATGAAATGCGAAATGCGTTCGAATTAGAAGATTCACGCTGGAGAAGATTCATGTGACCCCCTCCTGGGAGCCGGTCGTGCGGAAATCTTATTCGACGGAGTAGAGAATAGCGCTCATTAGCCACATGATAACCGTGATAAGAGGATTTGGGTTCTATTGTGATTGGTCATTTGAATGCCGCTCTACCAGTCAAGTAAGATCTCCGAAAGCACCCTGGGATGTTGATCATGAATTTTCTCCTCCGGTATGAATTCGTGAAAAGCGTGCATTTTCCAATTCGAAGACATTTCACTTTTCCGTTCTGGGGGGGAGCAGTTACACAGAAAGATCGATGTCCAAAACACATCTCGTGTCCGATAGAAGAATTTTGTCCTCCAGCAAGCGAGATATATATATATATATATTATCCTTCGGATACGTTGCAAAACTGAATCGAAAACAAGTGTCGCAACTTTCTTGACTGACCATGAGGACAAACTCTCACGAGGAAGAGACGCTACGCTCTCTTCTCCTCGTCGTGGTGAAACTGAAACAGACAGAGAAAAAGAAAAAGAGAGACAGAGAGTCGCGAGAGCGGGCGAATTGGCAGAGCCAGCTCCGCTGATAAGTGGAATTTTCCACGGGGAAGAAAAGGAAGATAGATTTTCAGAGAGATACGCCCTGCCTGACATCGGCCATACGCGTGGCCACCTCGTTTTCGATACGGTTCCTTCGTCGAACCGCACGATGACAATCGCGCCAAATACGCTTGTTGATCACCCGACGACCGGATGATAACGCACCGCCTCCCCCCGAGGGGATTTCGTACTCTCGCGGCTGTCTCGCCGACTCGGAACAATATCCGAGCTAGACGAGAGGGAGGGCACGAGAGAGCGGAAGTGGAAACCTACCGCTGTAACATAGAGCAGCCATGGTGATGGTCGCGCGTTTTCCTCGTTAGAGGAGAAGATACGTGGGGGAAGATGGGAGGGAGCGCGTCGGTGAGCGCCGTATTTAAGCGCGCTGATGTCCCGAAGGTAAGCTGGACGATTCGACCGTTCTCTCTGCACCGTAGCGGCGGTGGTTGGTGGCTCGACGATGACGAAGAACGCGCGTCCTCCCACGTGTCGTCGCGTTTCCCCGCGAGCACGCACACACAGAGACGCGACTCAACGTCTTTTCACCAGCTTCTGCGAGTTGACGATGATCTCTCGATTCCACGTGTAGAGATATGCGAACTGCATGCTATTATATAACATTAGCACGCTCCACCATCGAGACGCCGGGTCGTTTGCACGGGTAGACTGTCGAGATGCCAGTATTGTCGGGTTACCGGCGCGCGCGCCCGCCTTCGTCTTCTTCACCGCTCCTGCGGTCTCCTCAGCAGGCGCCGTGCGGCCGGCCCATGAAATTCGCGCCACTCGCGACGTACAGCTCAGCCGTATGTTTCGCCTTGCTCGCTCATCCGCTGCCGTCGGTCCGCGGCGATCCACGCGCTTCGCAAACCCGTAGTCTCGACGGTACTTCGGTTTTCCTTCAAAACTCCGACGAATCTCCGGTGAGTCGCCCTTCCTGCTTTCGGCCTTTTCAGCAGAAAGAGAGAGAGGGAGCCAACTCCGCTCCAAGCCGTTTCCCTCGGTCCACTGTGTGTCAGGTTCCTCCCGAAAATCCGCTCCTCTGCTCTTCCACGGGGTGGAGGAGCGCGGCGAGGAGGTCCTGCTTATCGTGAGGTGGCGATAGGCGTGAGTGAGAGAGACGTTGTTGCTTGTTTATCTTGTGAAATCGACCGACGGAAAGCACCGAGGAGACACCACACAAACCGATCTTTCGAGTTGGCCGCCGTGCTGGCACGTGTGGAACGACCCGCGCGGTATTCGGGGACACTTGACACGGCGCAACACTCTGCGTGGCCTGGAGAACAATTAGATACTGATGTAGCGCGACGGCACGGCGAATGGCGGATCGTTTAAATCGCACTTGGCTGTATACAGCCGCCGCCGCGAAACCACTCCTGCTTATCTTTGGACTTTCCCCTCTGCCGCCCCTATCTCCCTTCTCGCGCGATCTCTCTCTCTCTCTCTCGCCGTGCTGACAACACAGCGCGTCGCGCCCCTCCTCCGTCGATCGACGAGCTCTTTCTCTCTCTCTCTCTCTCTCTTTCAAACCGTTCGCGTAGAGGTTAACCAGTTTGTCCCACTCTCTTTTTCCAGAAAAAAGGAGAGGAGGGCGCGGGAACGGCGACGAGAGGTGGGAAAGAGATGGCGAGCGAGAGAGAGAGAACGAAAGCGATAGGCAGGGATACGAAATCTAACGAAAATACCAGTTTTCGCATTTTTTTTTCTGCCTACGCGGCGCGGAAAAAAGCGAAAAGTAGGCGATTCTTGGTTAATGTGCATTCACGCGTGCCTTTGCTCCCCAGCCCTCGTTCCCGATTATATTTGCGCGCGCGTGCGCTTGCCTGCGCACGAGGAGATTGCGAAGTATCTCCTCGGCGGCGGCATAATGCAACGCAATGCTCGCTTACTCGCTCGCTCGTTGCTAGCATCTCGCTCGCTTCTTGGGATACCGAGATACTGTATCGTTGATTTACGATGACGCGTCCCGCGCTGAATTGCATTTGCAGGAGCGCCGTTTAATACGCGCCGACTGTGATTGAGGCTTCTCGCGCGCCGTCTCGGACATGCGATAAAGTCCCGGGCGGCGTAATTGAAAGCTCGCAAGTTCCAACATGCGGCCCGCCTAACACGTCGCGCACAAATTTCTCTCGGACAGTTGTCGTCTCATTCACGGATCTCCTCTAGTCCAAATCTCCGCCGGTATCTTATCGCGTAGTTGTACGTCGAAGCATGAGGCATCTATTCTTTCTCGCTCGACTAATATATACTTATGGAAAAAAAGATAAATATAGTTATGTATGAGACTCGGTGGAAGAAAGAGGAGGAGAGAACTAGTATAAGCTGGTGCAGCCAGTTCAGCGAGAAAGAACAGACTTATGCAAAACGAAGAGATAAATAACGATAGTTTTTATTACAGCGTATGTTAAATTACAAGATGCTTGATAGAGATTTATGCCACGCGCTAATTATCATATCGATTGCCACGAGTACTGTTATTAGGTAGGATTGAAAATTTTGAATAAAGATGAGCTTCAACTGTTAGACCGATGCGTAACAGGCACGTAATGCGTAATAAATGTGGTAAACGGATGGAAATATCATTAATACGGTATTTGAAAAACGGTAATAAGAGACACAATATAAAGATGTGCTCCGGAATTATTTATAGTATATATAAGATTTAAGTTACATGAAATGAGCTTCCATGTGATAAAATGGAAAGCGGAAATCAGCGCGGCAATCAACGTGTTATTTCGGCGAGCTGATTATAAATCGGAGGTATTTTCATGCTACAAAAAAATATCTGTACCTGTTTATTCGTGATATCAAGAGTAAGAAATGAATTTTGTAAAAGTACGTTAGTTGATTTTTTTTTATAACGATTCAGAATATCGACTGACAAGACGTTTTAATAGAATTTTCCAAAAAATTTCAATATTCAAAATGGATATCTTTATAGTTCTGAATATATTCCATAAAAAAAATATATACATATATAATTAAAATAGCCGAAATAAGAATTTCGTTTACAAACTTTTCTCCTTTATCTTTATAGTCTTATATAGTAGTATACATTGAAAAATTTAAGATTTAAAGCTTTTATGCTAAAAGATACTATTATGAAGTTATTTTATCCAATTTATACCAAAGAATATTTGTTGTAATTTTTCAAATAAATAGGAAACTGAAAATTCGTTTGAAAATTTAGCTTTTCCTTCAAAACAACATGAAATATTATCTCTTTGATACGTGTGAAAAATTTAAATATTTACATATCATACTAATTACTAGTAGAAAATAGAAATAAATGGCATAAATAATAAAATAATATACATTATTAGTAAAAAATTGAAATAAATAATATTTACCTTCCTTAATATATTCTTGCATTTCCATTTCTTCTAATACTTTAGAAGCAACTTGCGCACGGCTCAACCGATCGTCATACATTAAATGTTCCGCAGCTTCATTAGAAAATTCTAAAGGCATATCATTGAATAAAAGCCAGTCGTCGTTATCAAATTCCAGTAATGGTGGTGTCCCGTTAGGGGACACCGGCTCTTCCTTCCACTCCTGCATCTCCTGGTCCTGATTGAACTCCATCATCAATGCGAATCCAACCAAATGTTAATAAAGAATGATGAAAAGAAATTTTTGTCGGTTTGGCGACGTAGCTCGCAACGAGCGCCATATTGAAACTGAAATTAAAAAAGAAAGTTTTATATTAGCAAGAGAATTAAAAACAAGATTGAATTCATATCTTGGAAAAAGAGTAAGACTAAGATTGAATTCATATCTTGGAAAAAGAGTAAACATTCATTTATTCAATGTTCAGTTAATTTGTTAAATCTGTTTGAAAATATCTTAATTAACGTAAAATATGAACTATGTCGGCGACTACGACTGCGTTGATATATATATATGTGTATAAATTATTATATATACACATTGTGTGTGTATGTGTATAATATTATATATCAATTATCAATGTCGTGCTTATAAAATTTCAAAATTATTTAAGTAAATATATGATAATATGTGTATATAATAACCAATTTTCTACATTAATTAAAAATAATATATAAAATTTATATTACATTTAATATTAATTTAACATTATAAAGAAATTAAAATATCACCTTTTCCATGTATTTATCTGATATTTTAATAATAAACTTTACATATCTATACAAGTTATATTAAGTGAATTACTTGATAAAATTATTTGATTATATGATTGATTTAAGATAATTTAGAAGAAAAATAATAATAAATGAATTTTACTTCACTTAATAGGAATAATATATATTTTCATATATACACACTATACATTTTTAAGCCATGGTAGAGATGTGTACAGGCTACGCCAACGGAATCAAACTGATAGTTGTGGTCGATGGTCATTTTCCACGTGTTCACGTGTCCACGTGTTCACGTGCCGGAAACAAAGGTTTTTATGGGAAAATTTTCTATTTGTGCACACTAAGTTGGCTACACTAAGTTGCGCGAGTTCTCTTTTCCCCTCCTACCCACCAAATCTCAAAAAAAGTGGGGAACAAAGATATGGCGCAAAGCAGTACAGCCACTGTAGGAATAGAAATCAAAGTCTACAGAAACACGGAAACTGAATTTACGTCATCCTCCGCGCTGAGAAATTTTCAGCGGTAACGCGCAGAACTGTACGTGAAGTTGATGTCGCTCCATGACGCAACATTGGGTTATCATCTGGCAAAATCTCGCGACGACGAGCGAGGCATCTCGAGTGAGAGGATATCTGCGTAGCTCGCAACGTAACATATGATAAGAGGTGAGAAAAATCCCCGATATAAGACGAAGGGAAAGGGTGATTTGTGATGCAAACTGCGTCACGTAAGAATGAGTCATTCAAAATGGCAGAGTTCCCATTGTGAAACACAGTTGCATAGTTCGAAAGGCGAGCACCTTTCGCGAAAAATGAACAAACGTAACGTTACTTACTCCATGATTATATGGTGTCTTCGGCACACTTGCGTGTGCAAGTCTTCGGTGAACTAGGTACTCATCTTGACCGTATTCGGGAGCGAAGAGAAAATTCGAACGTCTTCCTCCTAAGCCTCATGGATACGGAATGTAGAATGAGCGTCGCGTCCAACGCAGCCTTCGATCGGCATGGTCACGTGACATGCCTCTACTACTCAGCGTCCCACATTATTCCAACAGTTCTTCTCCTTTCAGTCTTTAGTGTAAAATTCTTAATTTTTAATATTCAGTCTGATGTGTGTCTTGTTACTTAGAAAAAAGTGCGTGAAAAGCGAATTTTGAGTCGTGCTATTTGAAAGGTTAAGCCGGATCTGCAATGCGCAGCAGGACAGTCGCAACCACTCGGATCGGTCCATTTCTGAAGCGTAATTTACGATAAGCAGTAGGAATATGTTCATAAGAAATAAAGGACCGCAATAGTCGTAAAGTACGCAGTAAGACGTAAGCAGTAAGCTAGTCGATCAACCATAGTCGATTTATTTTTGGGATATATGAATGTATTTGGCCAATCGGCTTACTATTTACGTCTTACTGCATACTTTGCGGCTATTGTAGACGGTCCTGAAGGATAAGAAATTGACCAATCATATTCGAATGTAAGGAAAATAATCGACTATGATTGGTTAATTTCTTACTTATTTCTTATAAACATGCTCCTATTGTCCATTGTAGACCACGTTTAATTCTAACGACCACTACCAATCCAATTCCTCCTAGGATTGGAGTAGGCAGAAGCTGCTGTCTCATTTCAAGTGCAAACAACACGAACTATAGATTTTCAGCGCTGACAGCATGGACGTATAAATATCTAGAGCGTAAAGTCAATTTGCCGGCGAGAGAATCGGCGAAACGGGGGATTCGCCATATTGTCTGGCAACTTTCGGCGCCCTATTTGAAACTTGACGGATCGCGATATTATTTCTATTTCCACTGCATGAGAACAGAATTTTATATGAAAGCTAATTCAATGGTTATATTTAATATGTCTTTAACCAGTTAAGTGTGTTTGACGACTATATCCGTCATGGAGATGTGGCAGAATCTTGTGTCATGACGACTATATCCGTCATGCGTAAAATTTAATACAATTTGATATTTAAATTGTAATTCTGGCGAAAACTAAATTATATTCGTAAATTTTAATATGGGTAAAATGTTTAGAGGTCAAGACGAAATGAAACAAACAAATGAAAATTATAAATAATTTGAGTTGGATTTATAACTTCCTGAGAGCTAACTCGCTTGATTATCGCGAGACACACTGGTGGTCTCTTTGCAAAGAGATCGCCACAGTTAACTGGTTAATGAGTGGAATTTTTTCCCGACTCTGTAGAAGCAGTGCACAATAACTCCCATATTTCAAGGAAGTGATGAGTCACTGGTTTCTCTAATTGCGGACCTATTTGTAAAGAAAATGTAATGTCTAAGGTTTTTTTATCTTATTGTTGCGAGGAAGCTTGGTTCATTGTGTAATAATGTAATTATTAATGAGCAGTATGGCTTTATGCCTGGCTCGCTGCACTATGATTAACCTTACGACTTATAAATATTTAAACACTAGTGTGGAGGAATAGTTCTCATGGTCGATTCTGTCTATACTGATTTTAATAAAGTATTCGATACGGTCGACCACTTATTTTGATTAGTAAATTACATGCTATATAAGATATATAGGGTAATTAGCGATATTTACGTCGCACTGCGAGGATTTCGTTATTGCGTGACATAATATATTATCAGTGAATGAGCATGCGAAATACTACAAAAAATGCTCCGTTCCTAGTTTTTTGAACGTTTGTATACCAAATAACAAAAAAGTTCGGACGTTTATAATCAAAAGGCATGAAAATATGACGGATAAATGAATCCGCAAGATTCCTCTCTTTCTTTCTTTCTTTCCGTATATCTTCCTCGAACGTCGAACATTCTTTCCATCCGCCGATTTTCAGCTCTCACCTCGGAATACTACTTGGTACACCGATCGCCTTCGATCGCGCGATCAAGCATTCACTATTTAATCTAAACTATAATCTCTAAATGCTTAAGAGGTACGATTCGCTTCATCACCGCCTTTGAACGCTCCCTCGTCACGTTGTTGAGGAACTTTCGGAAGCCGGAAGTTTCCGCTCTCTCTCGCGGAAAACTCTGTTGTCGCTCGACAGTTAGAGATCCTCCTTGCTATCTCTAGCTGCCTAATCGCGTTGGCTGCGGAAGTCTGCAAATAGCGTTGTGTACCGGCATGGACAGCCATCCGGCTAACGTGATGCCTATCGAGTCAGCCATCGTCGCGATTCCCATTGAAGCCTCGCGATCCGCCTTCGGAATCTGCGGAAAGAGAGGGATTTTGGCAATTTCAGAATGATGATTTCGCGCATCCGGATACTTGGATCTTTTTTTTCCCGCTCTCGACACTTTCGTACCGATTTTCTTCCGCTTCTTATTGGAAAAATCCTTACCTCAGTGGACATCCGATAGAAGGTGTTGACGTACGCTCCGCCGCCGAGCAGGCCTTCCCACAGCACAATAGCAAAAACGATCCATATATTCGGTATGTAGTAGTAAAGGGTCTCGAACAGGAGGATTATGACGTTAACGAACTGGAAAGAGCAATCCAGTGCGGAATGAGTGAGCATTTTCTGAAGAATCGACTACGGCATTTGATTTTCATGGGGGCGTCGTTACCTGCAACAAGGACATGATCCAAATCTTGTTGAGGGAGATCAAGTTCACCGACGACCTCGAGATGAACACGCCAATCTGGTAATCCACTTGGAGCCATCTGTATTGTTGTTTATGCGTCAACCAGATGTCGTTGAATTCGATGAGCTCGTACTGCAAAAATATTTCATCCGTCCGTTTCAATGATGGAACGCGTTAATTTCACACCGATGTATCATAATATTGTTACCAGGCCTTGATTGATGAAGTATTCGAAGAAGTAAACCAGCCCGAGCGGTATCATGTACTTCAGAACGCTGGGCATCAGATTGAGCTTGTCCCTGAAGGTCTTCTCCGGCACCTTGATGATCTGCTCCTGGCTGTCGATGCCGTTCTTCGTGATCGGGATCCGGGTGTGCATCGGATGTTGCAGGATGAACCAGAACGTGATCGCTTGCAGCACCGGCACGATCAGCATTAGCAGCAACGTGTTCTCGGTGTTCAGCAGCATAGTCAGCCCGGCGTAAGACGCGGCGCCGATTACCCCGGCGCCTCCTGTGCCCGATGACCATGTCGAGATCACCTCTCTGCGGAGAGAGAGATTGATAACAATGACAGTCGGTGAATCGCGCGAGTTTATCGAGCGGGGCTGCGAGAAGCCAGCGGAAAGGAAATTGCGCGGGCGGCTCGAACTTAAATTGCCGTAGCATCGAAAATACACTAAGTGTCCGATCTGATCGAATGAGCCAATTAAAAAGTAACAAACGGACATATCCGATCTCATCCCGTCACTTCGTCCGATCGAATCGTGCCTTTATTCGACGAAAATTACCACGGGTATGCAAAGGGTGACCAATTTTCCGATTGGGTTTCATCGGTGACTGCACAGGTTACTTCATCGGACTCGTCATCGGATGAAGGTGTCATCCGTCGCTTGGTCGGACGATAAAGATACCAATCGGACACATCGTTTGGATTCATTCAAATCATTTATCTGATTGACATTTTTCTCGGTATACAATCTTCTCGCTTCAACCACTCTTGTTTTTCAATTATCTAACGTTCAACGTCGAGTGTAATTGGTCGCTCGTTGATTATCCGACGAATGCTGTGTTACCGCGATTCCTTCGCTCCCACATATTCACGATTGTCTAATGACGGTACGATTTGCATAATAGGTGTTCCGACAATAGCAAACATCCTCTCCAGGTTTTATAAGAGAGCGTTCTAATTATAGATCGCGTGTTGCTTCCGATACGTTACATCCCGCCTCGCCACTTTCGTCAGAAAATGCTTAGTGGCTAGTAATTAAATCTGTTATTGTACCGGTCATCCGATATGATAGCGGACGTACCTACCACATACGTCTCCACGGCGATAAAGTCCCGCGCGAACGGACATCGTTTATCTTATTTTTCTCTCGGCCGACGGTCGTGCACAACGGCAGAATTTATTGTATTTCCCGGTCTTTAAAAGGCCGCAGAAACCGAGGAGGCTCGCCGCGAGGAACGTCGCGTTCATTATCTTATCGCTATTTTTTTTGACGCAACTGTCTAAATGGTCTGTCAATACTGCGACTTGATTACTCTGAAAATGTACTCGACGATGCGGCCGAGCTGTTCTTTACGTTCCCATTCGAATGCGCTGTCTCAGAAAACGTTGGGTCAACAATTTAGAACATTCAAGTCGAGAGAGATACGCTCGCTTTATGTATTTCGAACCAAAAAACAAGAAATGAACAGATAAGTTTTAAGTGCTTCTCGATATGTTTCGTCACTCCGTCCTTTTTCAGCACACACACACACACACACACACACACGTTACATCTGTTCGCTGTACTTTTTCCTCTTCTCCACGATGGCCACGAGGAATCAACGTATGTGCATATTCGAGGCAACGAAAAGTTATTTATAGTCCACCGAAATCCCCGAAGATCTTAATATTATGAGAACTTGTACACAGATACGCAGATTATGTATTTCCTCATCTAAATATACCCGGGGAAAAGAAAGATCAGGCACGAAATTTGCCCGTATGACGTATGAATATATAACCACGTATGTTTAGAAATTATATGCAAATATAATCGAAGTGAATGCTTCCGGTGCTTCTGACAGCACATGGTATCGACATTGAATTAAATGACATAACATCATTTTTTTCGTATAAACATGTATGATCATACGTGTAATCATATATATGGGCAAAATTCATGATTTCATATAAAATTATTTTTTCCCGGGAAATGTAAAGGGCAGCTCTATCACGGTTTCCCGGGGAACTATCGGGCTGGCAAACCGTTCCGACCAAGCGACTATAAAAAGATAGGGCGATTCTATCACCGCGGGACCGCGGGTGCGATAACAATATCAAATGAAATGCACTTACTTGGGGAACTGGTTACTATAACTGAGGAGGGTAACTTCGCCCAAGCCGGAGGAGAGCGATGTTATGACGACGCCCAGAATGGCGAGCCATTCAGTCGTGCTCAACGATACCAGGAGAAATCCTGCAGCGGAAAATAACACACAGGTAGCCAGTCGAGCACTGTAATTAACGAGTCGATTAATCGATTAGCATTTCGGCTAACGGGGTTGGTCCGGTCGCTGCACAACCGCGGGAAAAGGACTTACGCGATGTTCGAAGCTCCGTCGTCCCCGCGTCGTGCGGTTTTCGCGCCGGACGTGCGAGGTTTTTAAGGAAAGTGTGTGTAACATCGAGAGAGAGAGAGAGAAATGTGATTGAAGATTTCACGTTCTACATTTTGCGTCAAATTAACCATTAAACTGGTCACACTTATTTCCATGAGTGGTCGCTTCGAATAACACACGAGATATGCGAAGACATATTAATTTATCTGCGAAATATAGTTGATTTCGATCTTATGCTTATGCAATAAATAAGCGTGTGTGTTCTTTCAATCGTGTCATGACGTAAATGGATCCCGTCATTTTTGTTCATCAAACCGATGATTCTGTCTAATCGATTAACGATATGGTATCGTTTATTTAGTTATGCGCGTTAGTAAGATGAGGCATCCGAGCGTATGCGAAATCCACGCAGACGTATGAGGAATTTCGCATCACGACGGGAAAGAATCGAATGATAATCGACGACGAAGCGTTGCGTAAACGAGGAAATAAAGATATAATCTAGAGGGAAACGTTTCGCGGAAAATAATTCGCGCGTGTCGCTTCGCCAGTGCCGACACCGGTAATTGCTCATTATCGGATGAAACGGGTATATATTCCGCGGCTGTTACTCGTTCGCAGTGCTCACTGGGTTTCATTTCTCGGCAAATGATCGAATAAATCTAGAGACGCATAAGGATGTAGCGCTGGGTAAGCTGTGAAAAAGGACACTCACTGCACTAGAAAGGGCAGGAACGGTGCGGTAACCTTGATCGCTAACGCCGGTAGGATGTCCGCCAGAAGTATGGCACCGGTGGAGACCGAGTTGCACGTGCGGACTCCCGGGATGTGCGTTTCATTTTTCGCGGTGGAATTCTAAAAACGTCGGATAAATACTTTTCATTCATTTTATACCGTAGCTCTTTTTAATTTTAATTTCAACCGCCGCCGGAATTTGATTTACTCGCGTCAATCGAAATCATAATGTTTATCCTTCTCAATTAAATGTGCTCGTTGAGAAGACTTATTTGATTGAATAAATAACGAATATACATTAAAACGTAGCTTTTGTAAAGTTACATGTTGAGTAATTCGTCGACCGGCTGATTCTCACAGCTCTTTTCCCGTTTTTATGTAACGCGACTCTGGCCGTAGGCATTGGAAGGACGCCGCGGTTGCACAATACAACAGTCTCGTCCAACTTTATCGGAGACACAACTCGTTTTTTCTCAGCTGGGAATTTCAATCGGACGATACGAATCATTGAACGTACGACTGTTTTCCTCGTACTCGTTTGGGACCGACGAATTATTACGAATGACGCCACTGACCACGGGTCACTAAGTTATCCTCGGCACAGATGTTTATTTCGTTTTACCGAACTGTATTACCACATCATCAAATCCTGATAATTGAATCTATGCGAATCAAGTCGCGCACTCTCCACTTTAGAAACAATCCATTAATATTATTACCTACAAATTTTTACAAGGTTTTCCTACAAATTTATTTATCTCACACTTAGTTTTCGGTCAGATTGGCGTCATACGTACATCAACGAGACCTTAATCGATATAAGCGGATAAAAGCGAATGCTGATGGATGGGCTCGTAGAAAGCTGAACACTACCAATTGACGTGTTGTTCTACGTAAAAGGCTGACCCAAGAAGACCGCTATATTGATCATTCGTTAAATATGAGATCATTTTATTTTTGCGCTACCGCCCGATACATTGAAATTCTACCTCTAAATTAACTACAGTGAGTCGTCAAGTAATCATTTCTTTTATTTTTTTTCATGTGATATCTCTGATCTGGAATTGTCTGTCGTCAATCGTGTACAAATTACCTTACCAATTAGCTGACAACTAACCACAACCGTCCCACAAGTCAAAATGTAGCGACCTTTTAACAACACACCCGGTATGCATGTTCTCTCACACTCTGCATTGTGTTATACTTTCAAATCAGGACTGGTAAGCCTTGTATTTTTCCATTAATAAAATAGTCTAGACGCGGACCTTATTGACACATTATCGGATACTGTTCTCAATAAGTCGTGATAAAAGTCGCAGATATGTGTATCGCGTGTTTATGTAAGTCGTTGGATAGCAAACTGGCGGGATGTAGAATGAAAGGAGTTGAAAGGAGTTCTCATTAATTAACTCGAGAAAATTAAGTCCGTTGAAAATTAACTGAAAAATTCCACATCGTAAACCTCCATGATTAAAATCAGAGACACACTATCGGTGGGATATCAATTGACCGGATAATTTTTCGAAGAATACGCCAATCTCCGAGAACATATGTAAAAAGTGTCAACATTAGTTGCAAATATCTCAGCTCTCGAATGGCCGATCTTTTTCTAATTGTACTAGCAGTTAGGTAATACTTCAATGCGTACGCGGTACAAGTCTCATCGAATTCTCATTAAACTCGTTTCACCTTACGACCTCTTCGAATAACCGGGTAATCGTCAGGAGATTCGCGACAAGAGGTGAACGAGAATCGCGAAAATTTCAATTGCTCACCTGATTGCCGAACTTGGTATTGAGGATATCGTGGGCCGCGCTCAGCATCACGACGTAGCCGTAATTGTTGCACAGGCCGAGTATCCAAAAAGCGACGAGATTTCTCCATCGTGCCTTCTTCACGACCGCCTCCTCGTCGAACACGTCGTTCACGTGCGAGTCCGTAATAAAACTGTTTTTGCCCATCATGAAGACCAGTTTCAGAAAGGCGCCCTCCTTCCCTTCTATCGACCTACACCCGGCAAGCCTCTTCTCTGTTGCTCCTTCTTCCTCCTTCTTCTTCTCTCGCTCTTACCCCTTTTTCTCCCTTTCTTTCCTCTCAGTCTGCCCGTCTTTCCTTCTTCGTCTATCCTCAGACCTCCCCACCTCGCTGCTCAAAATGTCCTCCCTTTATTCCTCCCTGGGACCTAAACTGAGCACGTGCGCGCTAGCTAAATCGGTATTACGTTGAACCTCAGCAGGTCCGCTTCTCTCCCTCTTTCCTCCCCTTTGTCGATCTGTCTCTTTTTCTCTCAGACCTTCCCTTTTCCTCCTTCGCTTTTCTAGCTCTCTCGCAGCCACGAATACAGCTCGTCGTTGAACCGCCCAGGCTCCGACCTCTCGCTTCTCCTTTTGATACGCCTTTAGAGCGGATTTAATGGCTCATACGAGCTTCGAGGAACTTCTCCGACTTCTGCCACTGGAAGCCGAGGAACAATCACACGAGGATGACGCGTAACGTCGTTCGATTCCCGTTTCCGAATGGACGGTTGAAGAAAGTGATCGGCTCTGGTGAATTGAGTTAAACGGGGCATCAAGTCCTTCTTAGCAAAGTAGAATACCCGGCTGCAATTAATAATACATATTTGTGGAATGTTAAATCTATGCTGTGACCCTAAAAGAATTCTTCACTGGAGCTCTTCGGTAACAACTGCGGATGGATCGTTCGTGTAAAATGGAACACGAAGTTCTTCACAGCCTTCTATTCCTCGAGATAGAAGAGGAGCGAAGGAAGAAGCATAAAAGAAGAGCCGATCCACTCTGGCGCTCCCGCTATTAGCGGGTCGTTCATGCAACACTGAACATCAAGTTCAACGGTCTTTCTTCCGTGTAAACAAAGGATTAATGCTCTGTCTGTAAGTGCGCGTATATGTCGAATCTGCCGTTACCGCGGCACGAATCTTCCGTCGACGTTCTCTGGATCGGTATTAATCGAAAAATCCTGTCTCGGACGGGACACTCAAGGATCGCGTTTTCCGCCGAACTCGATATCCCGAGTTGACCATTTAAATCCACGATCTACGGTGTACTGGATATTATACCTTTCCCAAAGATGACGCACCTTCGCCGACGATTCCCACCTCCGGTTCCCTTCTCCCTCCACGGTTCCTCGTCAAGAACACCGACGCTACACCCTTACATGCACGCTGGGCTTCGAGAAACTTCTCTTCCACTCTTGTCTCTCTTTTTTCTTATCGGTCGTGAGCGTTGATTGCGTCCGATCGTTTCAACTTCACGTTCGAACGCGCGCTTCCTCTATTTAGAGCCGTCCCGACGCGCACAACGTCGCTTATCAATGTCAACGAAAAATTCAAATCGTCCTCTCCAAAGAAATTACTTCATTGGACGAATCGCCGGGGGATATTCGAAAGCGGTTGTACTCCTTCGGAAATTTACGACCGACGATAATTCTCGACTTCGGTCGACTGAGGTTTCGGGTGTCCGCGCGGACAGCTTCGCTCGCTCCTTTTCTACGTGTGGGCACTTAATACGTGGGTCGAGCAGATCCTTCGGAAAATTCAACATCAGGTTCCGTCAGCGAGCTGTTAATGAGAAAAACAATGTGAGCGGGATAATTGAAATTGCAGATTAGACTGCGAATCGCTAATGAGCAAGCGAAGTTAAATCAACTCCGGCTGATATGTACTTTCGGTGTTCGTTAAACGTGCGTTTCAAAATAACGCTTGCCGGATTTCATCAGTAACTATTTTACATAATAACATTGCTTTATATATATATATATATATTTATAGATCTGATATCCTTTATATATTCCGTCTGAAGACGCAACTTTTTTAAATAATATTTGCATTTATAACTGCGTGTTCTACGTATTATGTAAATGAAACACGATGATGTATAACCAGTGACCGTCATTTTTACGTTAAACACTGTCAACTATCTCGAGTTACGTTACATTAAGGTACATTTACTACATTTATTTAAGGTCGACGATATCGCACACAGTTAAGCTCGTTCGCACAACGGGAAGTGAGCAGAAATCGGCTTGTTTTATCCGTCGAATTTGCATCGCGCTATTTAATTTCTTTAACATTCGAACACGCGCAGAGAGCGCGAATAACTTAGCATATAAACACGGAATACGCATAATTTATGTAAGTAATTTCTTGTAGAATTTCAACGCCCTGTTCTTTTTTTTTTCTTCACGCGAGAGATGTTACGCGTCGTGAAATATTTCTAGAAGCGGCGTTTTCGTCACTCAAGTCGCCGGCTGTATCGTAAAAACATGAGTAAGTAAATTCAATACGCGCGATTATGATGGAAATGCATATTAAATGTGGCTGTCACGCTCCTCCGCGGATATTGGAGACAGAAACGTTAGAACGAGTTTCCTCGCTGCCTTCAAGAAATATTTCGACGATAATTTAGCCTTCCGTTCCGCATTTGACAGCCCGCAACATTCATTTCCCGAACGAACCATGTCTTACCTGAAAATACACATTATTTTCGTTTATCGAACTTTAACTCTTATCGTCGCTTTTACGTCGTGAATTTGTTCCGCTATCTGCGACATGGACGTCCACGCGTTCAACGTCACGCAATATTCGAAATACTGCGCAAAACTAAAATGGAAGTCTCAATTTCGGCGGCCAACCTACTTGATTGATCAAAAGTGAAGTAATGCAACGGATAAAGCGAACAAGCGACAAGACCCATTTCAACGTCGATCGCTCCTTTCTTTCTTCATCCCTCACCGTAATTTTCCGTTATTTCAATCCGAAACATCCTTTTTCCTCTTCTTTCCTATCAAATTCTATGACGCGTACCTCATTATCTCGAGATAATATAGACTTTCGAGCGGTTACTGCTCTCTCGTTATAACCGCTCTTATCTTCCGACGCCAAACACCGTCCCCATCAGTTTCCAAAATGATCTTGCTTCCCCGATATCAGCCCACACGCGGCGTGACGTTTATATCGCAAGCTGTTCGCGTGCTCCGAATGATCGAGCCTGCGGGGACCGGCGAATCATCGACTTCTCGACGCCGCGGATGACACGAAGCGCACTTTGAACGAGTCGGTCGAGCTTGACGACCCACCTTCGACAGTATTCAGAGCTGTGCTACGAGACGCGTTATTATTCTACCGAACGACAATGGCAATCACCATTATCGGCGCAACTGTATCGACAGATCCGCCGCGCAGTTTGCTCAACGACGTCTGTTTGGACGGATACGGTTCTGCACGCGTAAGCGTTTTCCTTCTCGGATCAACTTCGTATCATCTGCACTTCCGTCGCGCTTCCTCGCGGCAGCTCCGGTTAGCTACTACTTACCGCTGGGCAACGTCACTCGCGATATTCCTGATAATATTGCAGGAATTGTCGCGATCATAATATGCAATTTTATACACACTGCGATATAATAATAATAACCGTAATAATAAAATAATGCGTTCTCTTTTTTATTCGCAGCAGTATCCGTCGGCCTCGATTGAGTTGTAACCGACGAAATTCGCGAAACGTGAAATTGAGAATGTGAAATTGCGAGCCGTGCGATGCTGATTAAATTGGCACTAAACGCTCGCACTTATCTTGTAAGAACTGGAACTTAATCTCATAAAAGTCTCGTCTCGTATTACGCGTTTAGTGTTACTAGTTCTTGCGAAACAAGGGTTCAGTCGCGTTGACCTAGGAGCGCTCAATTCCGCGGCGACGTCTTAAATGGATTAAACCAACCCCAACGCATCTGAGCTTTCGCACTGTTTACTTTTAAGCTTCCAAGCCGATCTATTAAATTTAATAAAAACATGCACAGCCCGCGACGTGGCCAAACGTGACCCACATTAGCATCCCATGTTCAACTAAATAACGTTGAATGACGTTATCTGTCAGCTGAGGCAATTTCAATGTTATCACGAATTGTAAAACCACAACTGCTAATTGTTAATCGGAAATTGTACTAATATATTTCCGGCGTTTAATGTGATATGCTGGCGCTTGAATGCAAACTAGAACCGAATCTTCAGTACTTCAGTATTTATGATTAAGAACGATAATTAATTATTTATGTTGATCCCAGATAGCGTAATTTTGCATAGAACGAGACAGAAGCACTGGTAAAAAAATGTGTCGTCGCTAAAATGGCGTATATTGCACCAAAGGTTGATAAGGTTGGAGAATTAATTTGAATTTCGAGACGTATAGATGACACTTACCTTATATTCTTCTCCGAGTTCCAAAGAGTTCCGCCAGAAATGAGGTCAAGAGTTTCATGTACAACGACAAGTATACTGTTATCAGGCTATCACAGTAGTACGATCACATCAGCATGTAAGTAGAAAGATGCTTAATATCACAACGACAGTAGTAATTATTGAATTCTCTTGCAGCACAATATCGGAGATTTATCATTTATCAGAGAGATTGCAAAATGTGGCTCTTACAGAAAGACTCCCACCAACGGGTCGCTAGTTGAGTTCGTGTAAAATGTGGAGATAAGATGATAAGAGCGACAATCGAGACGCGTGGCCCGACCGCGACGAGATCCAACTTCGAAATAAATAGATTCTTGGCGAAATCAGCAGTTATAGTTGTCGACATAAGCGCGACCGCACGGCGGAGCCGGCAACAGCACTTCGTCTTTCTTTTGCCGGTCCCGAGAGTTCGCTATGAGGAAGGCCTCTTAGTCAGTGTCTAACCGCTGAGCTGGTTGAGGCTACTCGACCGATGCATAACGCATGAGTACATAACGCAAGATGCGAAGAGAGAGTATAGTAATAATAAAACATTTTGACCAAACGTATTGAAAGTTGTGACAAAATTGATTAAAAAGTAATCTGATAATAGAATATCGACATTTTTAGAATCGAAAAGTTTTATTTTAATTAAATAAAATAATATAAAAGTAGGTAGTGAACGATAAAAAAATGTAAAGTAGTAAGAAGAAAATTAATTCATTTCCGAAAGAATCTTTCTCATCAGGTGTCTCTGATAAAAAAAAAAAAACATCAAAAATAAATATATTAAATTTAATACGTAATGACAGAGACAAAAAATGGAACGGAATACATACAAAATATTTTGTTGCGACAACAGTATAATTGTATATCAATTTAGAATATTATCATTACTATTAATATTGCTATTATTATCATTAATATTATTATCTTCTTTCAATAATATTAAATAGAAGAATATTACTGCGCATATCTCTAGATGCTTTGTTCTAAATTTATACGGCACGACGACAGATTTATAAATTCAATTCATATTTCCTCACGATCAATATTTCGAGATAAGACGTTTGAAGGAATAAACGTTTCTATTTGTTTCTTTTTTTCGAAAAAACACACATTGATTAGATTAGTATTTAACGATTATTTTAAATGGAACATGCTCGACAGAGATAGAGATTAGTGTCAGTAACGTGACGCTTCAGAGAAAATTGATAACTCGAAGATGAGACGATGAGGTGCATCGTATGCGTCTGGAAGAAAGACAAGGTTTCTTTGTTTCGGATAAAACCGTATACTTTTAAAGCAAGGTCCGACCGTAAGGTTTCAACATGAAGTTCGACATTTACGTCTTACGTGGAACGCGCAGCAAAGTAATTGCCGGTGACGGAACGGAGCAGTTCGCAGAATCGCGCGTTTTCGCGTCGTTGGTATGATCGAGCAGTATCAACGCCGGCATTGCGATATTGCCAATTCAATGACACTTCCTAGAGGGAGAAGAGGGTCAAGGTGCCACGAGGAACCTTTGGTTGACACGCGTGCGACATTCTGTGCGCGTCAATGTCGCGGCTAATATACATTCCGCGAGCATAATACGCTATCTTCCTTCTTCGTCCGAGTTTGTCACGCAATGTTGGCTCATCCTTATCGAATATGATAACCGTTAATCGGCAGAATCGATGAATAGATCGAGGGACGCACGCGAGGAGTTGCAGTGGTGCAATACTGGCGATTTCACGCTCGTAGCTTTTATTTTATTTACAATCTTCCCGAGGAGTGCGGTGTACGCAATGTATATAAGTCGCGCGTCTGGACACCCGATAACCTTGGTATCTTTCCGTAATTATTGTGTAATTTGCGGCTGACCTCCGAAAGTGGCGTAATACAAATTGCGCAATCGACGTTGTTTTAGACAAGCGTGCGTACCCTTGTGCGTGCCGTATTTAAATCAAACATGTAAACTTCTCTAAACTTCGCATCACTAAGATAAAGATAGCGCGAACGAAAAGTGGCGCAGGCGCTTTGATAGACTGCTTTGTAAACAGAGCGAGAAATATAATTCGAAGGATATCGGTTAGTATTTGATAAAATTGTGAAAGTATCGATTGACCTAAGTTTTACATTAATTAAACTTCGAAATATAATATTCTTTTAACCCCTTGACATACAAATAAAACGGTATTTAATGCGTCCGAAAAATACTATTTAATTTTGCTCAATGAACAGTTATGTGCAAGCTTGTGAAACAATTGAATAATCACAAGTGAAATAATTGAATAATCTAATAATATACTGCACGGCGTCACCGGAGACAGTTCTTGACGTCTCGGAGACGTCAAAGTCTACAATGGTACATGAAATGAATGACGTCTACACGAAATGAATAGTCTACATGAATCTTAATAATACTTCGATCCAGATTACGCGCATGTACTTTGACGTATCGTGAAAATCTACGGCCTTTTTCGATAAGATTATCAAAGTTGACAGTGATTTAACGTGACACAAATCTCGAGAGCAATTGTTAAAATGATGTTTGCTCTCGCGCTTGTTTGCGTTATTTGTTCTTAGCTCTTTTTAGCTCGAAGATATCGTGCGCTAAATACCAACGACGTCGAGACAATAATAATAAAGGTCCGCAAAAAGCGACACGTTGAACAATGTGTTTCAACGTAGAGAAGTCACGAGGATATTTTGATTAAAGTAAATCCGCTCGTCTCGCGGTTTATTGGAGAAACATGAAGAGCCCTTAAACTCAGGATTAAAGTACATTTCCAGATATATTTGGATTGTCAAACTTTTAACGGTGGACGGTGTCATCTCGAATTCGATACGTTCTATTTCAGAGATACGCCGATCGCAAATCGTCGCATTTCGATGCTAAACGGTAAACATATTTTTGTTTCTACCTATTTCGCGTATGTATGTACATATAAGTTTACCTACATCATACTGTTATGATTCACAGCCGTGCTGACAAGCTTGTCATCGAATACGGATCGATTAGTAAACACCGAATTGTCTCGACAATCGTGTTTCTCGGCTCGTGTCGTGGGACATGTCGGTTATCGAATCGCTGCTGAATCCTCCTCTTCGCAAAGCCTCGGACAATGTCTGCCGGTTTTGCCAGAAAACATTCTGCTGCACGAAATGCCGCAATCGCCACGTCGGCAAGGTGCACCCGAATCTGAACGCGGACTGTGCCCTGTGCGCCTCGAAGACGCTACCGATGAGACAGTTCGAGGCTGAGAAGTTGCTGTGGGAGAATAAGAAACTATTGTCTCACATTGCGGACAGGCATCTGCCGTTGCGTTGTGTCCTGTGCGAAAATCTGTTCGAGACCAGCGAGGATCTCAAGTCCGTCGGTAAACAGTGACTGTCTTATGTCTGAAGTCTAAAAAGAATCGTTCTGTTTTTAATTGATGACGAACCGCTGTATAAAAAAAAAAACTAAAAGAAGCGATAATTTAAACAAAGATTCAGGATGCAGAGTTTTGTCTTAAAATGACAATTCAACCGTGCTCTGCTGAGACCATTGAGAAAAATTCAATTCCTCACTCGGGGCGCAACAACGCTCGCTTTCAGATTCTCCCGCGCGGTGAATGCACGTTCATTTCGAATTCTCGGCCGGACTTTTCCAGGTGCGTGCAAGTGGCACTCCGAGCATCGTCGGGCGCTGACAAACGAGAAGTTGCTGTGGACACCTACGCCAACGAACTTCGAGGCGAAGCTGAGGCGTATCGTGAGCGACATCAAGTACAACAACAGCCACAGGTCGTTCGCGCAGCTCGAGATCTACCGCAACACCAGCACACCGATGTTCGTCAGCCAGAAGAACGGCTTCGAGTACTACACGCCGTGCGCGCCGAATTTCAGCCTGAAGACGCCGAATTCGCTGTCGATCGCGCAGAGCAACGCGACCTCGAAGATTCAACGGTCGCAGACCAGCAACGGCGACATCAAGTTTTTCAGCTTCTCCCCGAGCGCAGTGGGAGACGAAGGGAGGACGCCCTTCAGGAGCAGCGTTGACGAGCAGTTCCCCCGAAATAATACCGGCCGGAAGCTGAACATCAAGGAGTCAAACGAGATCGTGTCCGACGACGAAGCCAAGGGGGTGGCTTCTTCGTACGACGATTACACCACATCTCCCGTGGACATGAATCTGACGGACGTCCAGTGCAATCAGGAACGTACGCCGAAGCAGAACGTCGGGAGCCACGAGGAGTCGGGCAGAGTGTCGGACGTGGTGAAGAGAGTGAGGTTCTCCGATCAGTACGAAACTCTGCCGCCGGAATTCGGCCATCCGGTGAAGAATAGCTTGAATACGACGGAGGACGAGGATGTGTTTCACGACGCCCACGATGTATCGGGCGTAAAGGACACGAACACGCGGGATACAGGGAACGCGAAGGACGTGAACGTCACGAGCGACACGAAGAGCAGCACAGAGGATACGGAAGAGAAGGAGAAGAAAGATATTAAAGAAAAGGATACGAAGGAGGAGAGGAAGGAGAACGTGGAGGATGTGAAGGATACGAGAGATGATCAAGTCGATAATAAAGAACGCTCCTTGGTACAGTCCTCGAAAGACTCCTCGAACAACACGCAGGTCGACATCTCCCAGGAAAACAAGCAGAACGCGGAGAAGGAGAATCAGGCTGTCGAAGCGTTGCCCAACCTTGGCGTATCGACCATGACGCAGAAAGGTAACTCCAGGGTGCTGATGATGGTGCTGGTGGAAAACAACTCGAACAGCCCCGATCTGATGCCTCTGATCAATTCTGGTCTGAAAAAATTAGAGGAGCAGATCGCATCGCCATCTCCGAGTACGTCTGAGTTGCCGAATGTTGCCGACACGACCGGCTACACCAGGAGGTCCACCACGAAAATGGAGATGAGTGTTTTCAGCGTCGAGAGTTACTCTAACGATAATAACGCGGAGATGATGGCGGATCATCCGCAAGTGGAGCCAACTTTCCCCGTGTCGTCCGTAGAAGATCAAAGAAGTGGCAACGGCGGAATCCTGTCGGTCCTTACGCAAGCTGTGAGATTAGCCTTCCGAAACTTGTCCGGTCAGTAAACATTAAGAAAGTTCCCGTTGAATTCTTTCATTTCCAATATTTATAATAACGCATAATTAGGATCGAAATGGAGAAACTACGCAGAGAGATATATTTATTGTTTATTCTACGCCTCAAAACATAAGTTCGTTCGAATTAAAGAAATTTTATGAAATCCAAAGAAATCTTGTCCTCCGTGTGTGAATGAATGAAAATTTGGTAATATATTCGATAATAATTAAAAGACTGGGGTTCGTTGGTTGTTCGTAGTTTTGAAAAGCTTAATATTCGAGGCATAATTTCAGGTGTAACTTCCAGCAGTACCGAAAACTCTGAAGCGCTTCGACAACGACAAATCATCGAGGATGCGATATCCTTGCCAGAAACAGGTACCCAGTGTAGTCTCGGTAACAACACTGAGATCCGTTATGGCAAACGGACTCGCGACGTTAACGAGGCATCTTCATGGGTGGGTTCTGTTTCTCTTCCGGACATCAGAAGCCCCTTGCCAAAGCGCAAAAGAGGATGGTACAAGATCAAGGGACGACGACCGATCCACAGCGCTGACCGAGTAACGTCACCTAGAGGAGTCTCCTCGGAAACTCAAATCTTCAGTCAAGGATCATTGACAGTGGGTGACACGATCCTGCCGCTTCCTGCCAGAGCTCATCCAGAAGCTTCACTCACACCGCCTGAATAACGATTCTTTTTCCTTTTCCTTTTTTTATATTTAAAGAATAAAAATAAGAATTATTGTATGAAAAACAACAGAATTTTCAATCACGATGACTTTTATTGTAAAAATTATTGACGAGAATTTATGATAAAATTCTTCTTTTGAAAAAACAACTTTTTTTAGAGAAGAGCTTCACTATACATTTTTATTAATAGCTTTTATTTAAAGAATTATTTTATAAATTAAAGAAGATTACCCAAGTGCAATAGTATATATCATATTAAACATATATTTTATATAAACATATTTAATATATGTATAGATTAAATATATACATGTATGATAAATATGTTTACATAAAGATGTCTTCAGAAGATGATATTAAATTTTATTAAACAAATTACATCAATTTTATATATATATATATGCATTTTTCATTATATTAGTAATAAAGGCAACTTGGAAAATATATTGCTTTTTCGTTTTATTTTTCACACTATTCATAAAGAGAAATGAAAAACGTAAATCCTGACTCAAATTATATATTAAAAAGTGGAAATCCAAGCAGGATAAGCTTTAAGGAAGTTCAAACGAAGTATGTGCATACAAAGGCTGTACTTTCGGCAAAGTTTAATAATAAAATCGAACAATATTGAATTTAAAAGCTATTCAACATAAGAATTAATTTAATTTCAAAATATCGAGAAGACAATCGATCCTTCAATAGAATCGAACGTCGATTGATCGATTATCGCATCTCTATTTTCACTCGCAGCGCCACCGATTGCTAAGTGGTACTGGGGACGAACCTTTGAGTCTCCTGAACGAATTATTGAGAGAGAAAGAGGGAAAGAAAGAGAGAGAGAGAGATCAGCTACTATTAAGTGTAAGGTTATGTAGCACATAGTGTACGAGTAGCCATTCTTGATATCGTTAAAATAAATTAGTGATTTTTATAGTAAATAAAAAAAGGGTAAGTCACACAATATATAAACGTAATCAGGACCTACATGCACCTATTTTGTCATATCTATTGGCATTTTCGTCACATCCTCACATAATATACGAGTATACATTTGTTCCAGATTACAGTAACAACCTTAAAATGTCCTCGTGGAAGAAAGCCGCAAAGGCAGGTCAAAAGACTCACCGGGAACGTCACCAGCCGGAGGAACGCAAGCACCTGGGCTTGCTGGAAAAGAAGAAGGACTATGTCGCCAGGGCTAAGGATTTTCAAGAGAAGCAGGCAACGATCAAGCTTTTGCGAAAGCGTGCGCTCAACAAGAATCCAGATGAGTTCTATTTTCACATGATCAATTCCAAGCTGGTGAATGGCGTTCACCGAGAACAGAAAGAAGCCGAACACACGCCTGAGCAGATTAAGTTAATGGAATCACAGGATATCAAATATATCAGGTACAAGAGGCACATCGAGTCAAGGAAGATAAACAAGTTGCAGAGCCAGATGCACATGATCGACGCAGCTAACGAGACGCAGAACCAGCATATCTTCTTTGTGGATGATGACGAGGAGATGAAGAATTTCAACCTGGCCAAGAGACTGGACACTCATCCTGCATTGATATCCAGAAGAATCAATCGACCGAAGATGAGCCAACTGAACCAGTTGAAGCTGCCAGATATAGATGAGAAGACTGTGGCTAAGCTCCGGCAAAAGAATCATATGGCTTACACGGAACTCTCCAAGAGAATCGCGAGGGAACGTGAATTAACAATTGTACAAGATAAGTTGGAAATGCGTATTAAACTGAAGGATAAAAAAATTACAAAACCGAAATGTTTGAAGCCTAATACAAAAACTTCTGCTCCTATTTATAAATGGAAGTACGAAAGAAAACGATAACTTGTACATGCTGTGTGTGTATGTGTGTGTGTGTGTGTGCCTAAAATTGCATTTTGTAATTTTTATTATCATTACATGTTATTAAAGAGAATGAATATAAATTTGATTTTAGAAGCGTTGACTAAAAATATGTATGAATATTTATTCATACATTAATCTTTTCTATTATTTCTATGACTCCTGATATCCTTTTAATTATAATATCGGGAATCGATCGATAGTAAAAATTTGCATTTCTTGATTTTATGATTGTAGGAAGAACTATTTATCTATTTTTACTCATATCCATTTTTATTAATATACATATACTTATATATTTTATAATGAACACAATATAAATGTGAATACATTACTAGTATAAAAATATAGACAGTTGATATATAAAGAAATGTTATCATCGCTTAAAATTCAATTAAAAATGCGAGATGCACAGTCTACTACTATTTCTTCTCTTATTTTATATTCGTTATTATTTCTAACTTATTGCATTATTCTCAATATTTCATATTCCCATTAAATTTATCATTTATCTGTCGTTCCTTTTTATACCCACAATCATCTGTTTAATCGATGGCTGTCTGCTCCGTTTGCCCGGAACTCATTTCAGTCATTCCATTCGCTTGCCCTGTCATTCCGGCTGCTCCCACGGAACTTGCTTCCGGCATTGCCATAGTCATCATTTGATTTGTCATTGATTCCGTCATCGACGTTCTTCCGGTAAGCCCGTTTCCCGTTAGGGGTACTCCTTCGTGTTGTGTATCTGTCATTCTCGGTGTGATATCTGTCATTGATATCATTGGCAATTCCGTAGATACGTTCGTGCAACCGTAATTGATCTGCCAGAGATGTTTCTTGGAGTAAATGTCCAGACGAAGGCAAGCCGTGATGGATCTGCGCAGAGAGGATGATGATTTTAATAAAAATTGCAAGCCGAATTCGACAAATAAATGTCCAGATAGAAGCAGACTATGATAAATTTGTCAAACAGAATCATACAAATTGCAAATTATTAGAGGATTCATTTGGAAATCCTTGAACTCCATTTTATCTGTTACTATTACCAAACGTACAAAGTTACTTTAGCAACAATTTTTATTATTGTACATCCACATACTTGGAAAATCGATTGAGCTCCAAAATGTTGACACACGCGGTCGAGAAAAGGCAACCAGGAATATACATGCAAAACTGAAATGCTTTGTAATCTGTGAGACAATCAAATCGATGTGAATGACAGATTGATTACAAGTGCATAATAAAATTATCACAGTTCTTTATCGAGATTATTTTTAATTGGAAGTGCTCACTTGTGATGGTTCTGGTATTGATTGTGTCTGAACTCAACGCGACGTCTACGTTCAAGCCGTTTCTCTGATATGTAAAATTCACACACACTGCAACGTAAGAGGCAAAATATTTCACTCGTCTGTTTTAATATGTGATAAACTGTGATTGTGTGATTTGAAAAACTTACGATTCTTCTCCCTCTTAGTATACAGAATAATCACGCTCTGACAGCAGGAGCAGGAAAAGGACATCGGGCAGTTGCATAAACTTTGAGTGACAGACACTGTTCTATAAATCAGAAATCCCCTTGCTACAGCATTGCCTACGAAATATTCGACTCATCAGAAACTCAGAAATTTTCGTATAAGAAATATAAGAATTATATGTCATACGTTAAAATAAATAAAAAAAACTCAAAGCGCACTTAAAGCGCGTATAATAACCACTGGAAAGATATAAAAAAGATATTTTCTCGATTGATATTATTATCATAAGTCGAACGTTATAAATAACTATTTTCAGAGTTAAACATAACTATTAGCACTAACTTCCGTTAATAGCGATAGCCCCGCACAATCGTATCAAGACGAGGATACAGAAGTTATTACACAAGTTCATTCTTGTGAATTACGTTTACTATGAATCGTACTTTTAAAGTTAAACTTGAGTAAACAGATACATGCAAAATGCTGACGATTAATTTAACTATCGGCTTCCAATGACGCCCCGACTCGTACTAAACGCTTTCTGCTTTTCCACGCTCTGTTCGACGTTGCAGGAAGGGATACAATTACCAGCTATTATATCGTGGACCTTTAGAAAATACCCGGAACGTTTTTGTCCTCTCTCGAATTATATACGAGCGTGAAATTTACCGTTATATTCCTGTGTATCTAAAGTATATCACATACAAATTTATGTGTGCGTGTGTGTGCCACATATTTTTTCATTGACCGTAAATTGCCTTCGTAAAACGTTACATTTAAAAAACATATAATTTAATAAACGATAATAAAGTTGAGAAAAAGAAACTTGGTTTTCAGACATCTCACCATTTCTCACTTATGCGATTTTCCATAAAAATTTCCCCATTAAAATTTAAAACTTGATATCCAATTGACCGATTTATATAATTGAGCATTAATACAATTAAAAATACCTATTATCGTTTAATATTAATAGCGCACAATGCGCATATAAATATATAATACATATAAATATATAATTCTGATCTTAATATTAAAGGTAAAAGTAATTATTTGGTCACGAAAATGATAATCATATGAAGCAATAATATAAATAATAATATGATTATTACATTAATAGTATGATTATTATATATATTTATTTAAATAATAATAATAATAATAATAAAACAATAATAAAACACGTTTTCATGGCACTCAAATTATACAATTAAATAACACTTTCAACCGTCAGCATCGTCGACTTTCGAGAAACATTCTCAGAACAAATCATCGTCGTCGTCGTCGTCATCATCGTCGTCGTCGTCGTCATCGTCATCTTCATCGTTATAATCATCGTCGTCAACATCTTCTGGAAAAAATTCTACTTGACCCGCTGGCAAACCGCCACCGTCTTCCGGCTTTAGAAGGGCTAATCCGTTCGCGCCAAATCTTAGACAATCGAATCCAACCTGTGAAAACAAATAGACATTTATTATTATTATTATTATTATTATACGGGATTGCGTGATGTGCTCGGGTGAATCTTCTGTTCTTAAGATGATCTAACAAATTGCACATTTTTCCATTTGCAAATCATTTTAAAGGAAAACGAGAAAGCACAAAGAAAACATTCTTTGTTTCTCGCCTTCTAAAAATTACAAAATTGCGCATGAATAATTTGCAAGCATAAAATGCATATGGTAAAATGTGTATGTGTTTTATTTGTATTGATTAATTATAGAACACACGTCATCGGTAATATTTTTCACCGTGAATCTTGTTCTAAAAATCCGAACTCGAACCTTGAACAACGTGGAATCCTGAAACTTGCCCTCCATATTCACGCACAAATGAATATTTCTGCCTTGGAAATATATATTATAGAACCTGACGCACGCTCTGATAAACGGTATCCTTGGAACAGGAACACACACCGGTCTAGGATTTTTCCCTGTAGAGCCGACAAGTCGAATTAAACAAAATTCTCTTAGTATTCGGTCAAATACCCAATTAAATATTTCCTTTATCTTAGAATAACGAATAAAAATGTTTAATGCTACAACTGCTGAAAAGAAAACATTCGATTTAAACTGACACGACGCATAACATGTTAAGTATAGAAAAAATCGTTTTTTATTTGTGTAAATCGTTTAATTAAATAAAATTCATTGTCTGCACTTGCCACTTACCCGAAATTGTCCTCGTATAAAGGATCCTGTTGTTCATCAGGATGTTGGCGGTGAAGCTGAACTCATCGGGGTCGTACGTGACGTTCACACAGGCCTTCTGCTTCCACGTGTCGTATAAGATTCTTGAGCAACATCCGCAGACGCCGCCGAAGCACTGACAACGTCCCTGTCTGGTCGCAGTGACCGTGCTATTTTCCGTTCCTGAAGAAGCTGACGTTTGCCTCAACAATGCCTTTAGGTTCTCCAAGTTCTCCTGCGACATCGGAGGTCCTTCGATCTCGCTGCTCCTTCCTGTCGTGACATCCTCGTAATTCCTTATTTCCGTGAGCGAGCTCGACTCGTCGAGGGCGATGATCAGCGGCAACAGCAGCCAACAGATGGCCTTCATCCTGTGTCCTTGATCTTGCTCAGCGTTCAATCGAGGCGAGGAGACATTTTCTCGAGATATGCTCCTCGCCGAGCGATCGAAACTCGACTGGCCGGTTAACGGACATTCCAGGCTGACCCCGTTTTATGGTGAAATTTAGGCTTGGCCGCAAACTGCTCGCTCGTATTTCGTGATTAACTAGAACTCGTCGTCGAGGAAGCAGAAGCGCTCTCACAAAACGCTCACGTGTCTATCGATGATGATTAAAAACACACGCACTCGTTTCATACGCGCCGAATTCGGTAAGTTCGATCGTTAATTGAGAATGAAATTGATCAATTAAATATGCTTGTTCATTCATATATTGATATCAATGTACATATAAATTAATATTAATGTAAAACTCTTCGAAACGGTGTCTACCGATGAAATAAAAGAAAGAAACGACGCTTAATGATAGATACGTAACACGATAGAGAAGAGTAATACGCCAATTTAATATAAACAACGATTTTTGTATGCGTCAGACGTGATCTACAGAATATTTCGGGATGTCCAAAGGCCATTCGTGTACAACAGGTGATACTTACGTTCTAAGCTCGCTCTAATAATTATACACACATATGTGGTACTTAAATATAATCCATAAAACTATAAGTATAAAACTATTATATTATAATATCAACTCTAAGACGTGTAATTGTGTGGCCGACATAAAAGTCACAGCTTTAGTTGACCGATGTTGGCCTCCTCTTCGGGAGTTAAGCCGGAAGTGTGATTGTTCGGGAACACGGGATCATGCTCGAAGTCCACGTCGTCGTACACTTCGGGCTCGCTCGCTTCGGACTGCGCTTGAAGAACGGCGTTGCTGCCGTCTTGCGGCTTCGTCCAAGAGATACCGTCCAGTCCAATCTTGACGCAATTAAAATGCAGGACCAAAATCGGCCAGTTGACCACGCGTGTCTCGAAGTCGATGCACGCGTGAAGATTGCTCCCGGGTGTGTAGATGTCGAAGAAGCGTACGCAGAAATTGATGATGGGAAGATAGGAAAAGGGCACGCAGAGAGGCGGCGGATTTTTGGCTGCGAATCAATTCATTAAAAGAATTACGATATTATATAAATTACATGTAAATTACAATTCGTACAAGAATGTAAATTTAACCGTCCGAAAGTTTGTTGTTGTTCACACATTTCGAGATCTCGGTGAATTAACTTTTCCTCCCGCCGTAGAACGCATATCCATTCAATTTTATTGAATGGTAAAATTGAAAAGATATTATTCTTTTTTTCAGTGAAATAAAAAAATAATTTTAGATCGTCAGAAAAGGGAACAAAAATGGTTTGAGCAAAATCGCTCACCGGACAAAGAGTACGCAAAAACCTCCCTCTCGTTCATCATGATTGCGACCTTGATGGAGAACTCGTCGGGGTCATAGGTGAAATTGGTGCAGGTACGACGATTGAAGTTGATGGCGGTTAAGTTGATGCCGGTGCAACAGGCGCACGTAAGACCTAAGCAGTTGCATCCTAAGCCGCGAAAAGAGATCCTGGCGTTGGTTAGAGGATGTCGACCGGTGTTTTCCAATTCACCCTTCAATCCCGTTTGTGTGGCCAGATTGTAATACACCATGTTGAATTGGGCTAAATCTGATAAGAGAGATAACGACGTCACGTGTCACTTTATATAATAATTTGTTGATCCTTATGTAAGTCATTTCAATACCGATATTAATATTTTGCTTTATTATGATATAATTGCTTATATTCATTTACTAAAAGAACGACACTTTTAGTTTTAATTTCCTGTTCTATTCGTTCTATTCGTTTGCAATAAAGAAAAGTTTTCACCAAACGTAAATTTCTTCAAATGTTCTTGCTTTACTGGCAAATGACTTTGCTGCTAATCTTCGTGATAATGCTCGGATTATCGAAATATTAATCATGAGGATATGACTCGACTGTACGTAATATCATTCTTACCGATATGGTCGATGCCCGCCGCAACGACATCTTGAATCGCCAAGATCAGGAGAGACGCGCAAAACCATCTGAATAACATGTTGATATGATTGTACAACCTTCGTGCTTCGCCGCCCACGGTAGACTGAAATTTGGCGCACGTTGGACCAAGCCGCAGACGCGCCGGATTCATTAATTATGCATAAACTTTCCATAGAAAGCAAGATCAACATGCTCGATTTTATGGTCGCGATTTTATAGGCGCGATTTAATAGTCGCGATTAAATAATAGTCTGAACTCGAAACTGGAAATCAGTCTATCAGACAATCACGAAATCTGAATATCATTATCACGTAAATATTTATCTCAAAATGCAGCGTTTTAGGTTGTGTCTTTCGCAAAGTGGTATTTTGAAGAATATTGTAAGATTCACGTTACGTTTATAACGCGGCAAAATGATGTGGTAATTATGTAATTATTCTTACAATAATTATTTCTACCGTATCAAAATATATATATTATGCTGAATTTATATATTGTTATATACAAAAGTGTCGTTTTTTTAGTAAATGAATGTAAGCAATTATATCATAATAAAAAAAAAAAATTAATATCGGTATTGAAATGACTTATGTAAGGATTAGCAAATTACTATATAAGGTGACACATGACGTTGTTATCTCTCTTATCAGATGTAGCCAAATACAACATGGTGTACTATAATCTGGTCACACAAACGGGACTGAAGGATAAATTGGAAGACACCGGTCGACATTCTCTAACCAACGCCGTTATATTGTGAATTATATCATGCTGAATTTTTTTTTTAATTATGTACGACGTGTATATAGCGCAATAATGCTTTAATTGCCGATAAATTGATTTAAGTTGATGTCACGTTTAACAAATCGTCAGCGACATTACATTAAAAATTTGAACAATAAATGAACAGTGAGAATAATTGACTTCAACGGCACTTAGTATAAGTTACATTTATTCAGTTTACTTAATTACAACGTCAATAAATAACTTAAATACACACACACATATATATATATATAAATTATAAATATTCATTTGCTCTTAACAAATAACGTTAAACTAATCGAATTTATTATGGCTGAGGTCACGAACGATTCATGTACAAGTCTTCCTCGCGAATAGCGACCCTCAACGAGCGAATCTTCGCGTTTTACGTAATAATCTCGTCGTCGCGCGATCCTATTTAAACTATTCCTTTTTTCCTCTCCTCCAAAAGACGTTTCTCAATCTCTATTAAATCTTGCGTCAGTCTCCACAATACTTAATAAATACACCATTAACCACTTAAAAAAATGATAACATAATCAACGTTAAACAAAAAACTGCCTTTTCAACGGTAACATTATATATATATAAATATATATATATATATAACAGCTGTCTAAAATAAATAAATAAATAAACTGACAATTATTGTAAAATTACAAGTGTTCGTTTAACAGATAATTAAGGTCATGACTATTCGTCGCGAAATTACCGAGAGACGGGAGGCTCTCGCAATTTTAAAAAGATACATCACACTGTCACACAATTATACCAATATCCATTGTATCTTCAAACGAGCACTCCTTTAACCCGACGAGACTCTTCGGGTCCCGCCAGGACGAGTGGATCCGCGAGACCAGACAAAGAGACGACTATTCCCGATTTCCTCGACTTCCACTTATCCTACTGACTGGGGCATAGGTCTGTACACTTCTTAAAGCCTCGTGATCTTGCTCTGACGATTTCCTCCGGGATGCCTCTTCCTGGCCAAGAATCCGAGACTGTAGTCATACTCGTTGGACCCGTTCGTCGTGTCGCCTTTGTTCTTAGAGTTTTTTCCGCTACCCATAATAGCAGTCAGCATCGCTTCTTCCTCTTCGTCATCGTCGTCGTCATCCAGATCGGAGAGATCCTCCGCCTTCTCATCCTCGTCGTCGAACTCCTCGTGCTTCTCATCGTCCTCGTGCTTATCCTCGTCCTCTTCGTCTTCATCATCCTTGTCATACTCGTCGTCGAGAACCTCATCGTCGTCGTCATCGTCGTCCAAGATATCATCCTCGTCATCATCGTCGTCGTCGTCGTCGTCTTCATCGTCTTCATCTTTGATAGGTTTCTTCGCCGGCTTCTCGGGCTCATCGATCGCGTTGATGCTCGTCGATGTTACTGTAGGTTTCTTTTTGTTTCCGACGACGCCCTTCTTCACTTTGTTCGTTTGCGGGAGTTGCCCGACTTTATCGGGTTTCGCGTAGAACACGATTTGGTTAGAGGCTTCCGTGACTTCCTCCTCTTGGTTCTCATTGTTGGTATCTTCGTTATCGAGAGTTTCCGTCTCCCCTTCTTCCTCTTCGAGCTTGGTGTCGTCCTGAGTACCGTTTTCTTCGTGTTCTCCGTTGTTGCTCGGTTCCGCCAGCACGTTATTGCCGCTAGTGGTCAGCTCGTAATCCTCCAATGGTATGGGAGTGGTCGGCCTCGTTAGAATCGGTATGGTGAACTGCAACAATGGCGCCACGGTGGTAACCTTAGGTCTCTTCGTCGTGGTATCGTCGTCACCGGTAAAGATATCTAAGAGAGCGCCGAGGCCTAACAGATCATCGTCATCGTCCTCCTCGTCCACCTCTTGGGCGTCATCGACCCCCGAGGCGTTCGGAACCGAATTCAAGGAAGGTCTATCGTCCTCGTCGTCTTCATCGTCGTCGTCGTCGTCGTCATCGTCGTCCGCACCGAGCCCGAAGAAATCGTCGTCGTCCTCCTCCTCTGAGGTGGATTCCGCCTCAACAACGGGAAGAGGTTCGGCTGGCCGAAGCTTCAGACCGTCCGGGCCAAATCTGGAATTCAAAGTGAGATTACGCGGTACTGTCCTTGAGTAATATCTTAACTAACATTTCAAAGCCTCTTCAGTCTTCAATAAGGGATGATAATTTACGTAGACTAACAAAATTATAACATGCAACTAGGTAGTTCTTATATATAGTTTAACCGATAAATACCTGAAGCAACTGACGCGAAGACTAGCTTCCAGTTCAGTAGCCGACTGTAGTTCTAGGCCGAGGCAAGCTTTGAAGTGATTCTTTGCGTCACGTTGGATGGAGTAGATCCTACCGCAAAATTTAGTGAAACCGCCCGGCAACGGCACGCATACAGGCCTCGGACTCTTTCCTGAAAGTCAGAATATTTGTTGCAGAACAAACTCAATAATTCAGACTCGAAGCTACGTTGCTAAAACGTTTGAAAGTAAATTGGTAAATTTGGGATAAATGGTATAAAATACTCGACGACGCGAATATATCATTCGAAGTATCTTGAATCTGTCATCTGTCGTAATAATTAATATCCAGAATCAATCCGGTGATCTTATCGAGTCGAAGTAATCGATCACGGTTAGAAGATACCATAATCCGCGTTTCTTTCATCACCGTCTTCTGCGTGTTTACAACTTGTTACGTAAATTACAAGATACATCCGTCGAAAGTATCATTTCGTAGATATATATATAATTTCCATCCAATTAAATCTACACGTAGAATCCCGTAATAAATAAATAATTCATGAGAAATATCGATTATATATTGCAACGAGGTAATCGGTGAAAGTGGCGGAGGGGAGAACTGTTAATCGTTACCGTTAACCGAGTGTGTGTTTACCGTTAACCATCGTGCTCGTTAATATGTTGTCGCCGAAGCTCAACTGCATGGCCAAATTGTCACCCTGAAGATACTGCAGCGAGGCGCAGCCTAGAATTTCAAATACGAAGGCTCTGTTAATCGAATTACGAAGGAAAAAATTGCACGTTATTCCTCACAACATCCTTTACAATGATTCTCCATTGAATATCCTTGCGTGTGTAAAAATTCTGTAATACTACATATCAAATATATGAAATTACAACCAAATTATAATCAAATATATATATATGAAATTATAACGTCATATATAAGAGAGATACAATAAGTATTGATCAGCGGAAGATGATAAGGTAAGAGAATAAGATATAACGCGATAAGACAACAAACGCAAATCCCGTCATTGTTCACCGTTGCACTTTCATTTTTCGTGCACAATTGCATCGCATTGATAATTACCCGGTCCTTTCAACTGCACGACCGGTATGTGAAAGTCCCGGCAGCAGTTGCAAATGTTCTCGTTGCAGGTGCAATATCGATTCACGCTGTCGGTCGCCTGTTTCAGGGACATCGTCGACAGGCTCATGTCACTCTGCTTCGAATTATCCACGGTGCGCACCACGCGACGATGCGCCACCTCATTGCGATCTGGAAATAATTGTATGTACGATTTTAATCAAAGTAATCCGGAAGTTTTGTAATTTTTTCATCAGATCACTGTGATTTTCACTGAAACAAGGGATAATTAAAAGCTCGATATGTTTTCAATTTACCACTATATTATTATTGTTTTATAATATTTATTCTTCTTACCGATTACTCGGCCGTACGCCGCGAAAGCCACCAACAAAAGGATCAGCAACAACTCGAAAATCGTCGACAGTCGCATCCTTTCGGGTGTTCTGGAAACAATGCCAAGAAGACGATGTCACGCTGGTGGTAAACGAGTCGTGAACGAAGTATGTGACGGCACGCACGTTCCAGTCTCATTATGGCCTCTTTTGAGTTAACTCCGATAATGGACACGGTAAAAAGAACACGTCGTTGTTGTAAAACGACTCGGATTTAGAACGCGCGTGCCAAAGTATAATACAACATTGCAAGTCGCGCAAGATGCGCTGAATTAGCGAGAAATGTTATTCTCACGTCGTATAACTAATTCGTCATCGAGCGACATAACGTCGTACTCTGAAACCACCAGATATTTTTCTTTTTAAGCATCGATTTCCCGATCAACTGGGAATCAAATGTATAACTATATATCTATAATTGATTTTGTAATTCTGGGACGACCCATTTAAACAAGATAACATTGGTCACATTGCGGCTGCAACGAGGCCCGCTCGCGCGGATGCGCTATAAATCTACCGCTACTAATTTTTTTGGTTCAACTTACTCGAAAACCCACGACCGGTTTCCCCTCGATCTCGAGGGGAGTTGTTCATTTCCACGAGAGACGAGGGGAAACGAATTCTCTTCCGGTTTCAGGCGCGAGCTCTTGGCGACCGGTTGACCTAAATCCCGGTCACGGTCAAAGACGTCGGAGAGGCGCTGCTACTCGAGACGATGGTGGACTTTTAGTGGCACGATCGCCGCGTGTTTCTACCGCGAGACACCGTCGTGTCACCGTTATAAAACCGCGTTCGTACACGGAGGTGCTGGATACGGTCAGAACGACACTTCCACATGTCGCTCGCGACGTGTCGACCGACTGATCGAAGAAACGAACGAATGAATGACGGAGGTGATCAGTGCGGAAAAATTGGTCCAAAGCGTGGTATGCGATCTGTCGGACACTCTCCGAGACTCGGTGTGCGTGACATTCCGATTGATTTAATTTAATTAACTAATCCTCTCACGACGGGTATTTAACATGCAAATAAATAATATGTGCAAATATATATATATATATATATATGCGTATTGAATTTCGATTTTGAATCAGACGTTAAATTTTGACATTTGACTCGATGCGCTGACTATTCAATTTTTCTACGTTTATACGCCGGATATTCTCCGAATATCAAACGCAACGATTCAATCAGCCTTGTGTAATACATAAGGGAGATTAGAAATAATTATATACAGACTCCATTATTTACATAGATAATACTGTCTGTATTATGTAGATAATCTCCGTCCCATTCGCCGACCGCACCGTCTTAGAAACGTTAAAACTCTACAAGAAAATGAAAAAAACAAGGTTTGCTGGAACAGCAAATTGTTTGTTGATACAATGACAGCGAAAAGATTTTTTACACGGAGAAAATAATTTTGTTGTTACAGCAAAAAAAAACATATTATTGCGACAGCGATAAAATTTAGTCGGTATAACCAAATTATCTTACTGTCCATACATCCAGCAAACAGCAATATTCTCAACAAATCTTTCTGCTGTCCAGACAAACATTTATTTTCTTGTCACTATGTTACCAAACAATTCGCTGTTCTGGCAAAATTTGCTTTCCCCGTGTATAAACGCAGTTCGAAATTGAATTACGTTGCTGAGCATTAGAAGGATCTGAGTATCACCGGGCGTAGACTGCGTGACCTTCCGCTCAAACGTGGCAGGTTTCCCGGTTTTCCCGAGCGTCAAACGCTCAAACGGTCAAATTGTGCGCTCTCTGCCTACCTGTGTGGGTCGTTGAGAAGAAATCCGAGGAGGAAGCCCGTGCTCGTCCTCTCCTGTCGCACCCTTGCGGCTCTTTTTCCCGACTCTTCGTCTTACGGAGGCCAATGTCCAACTGAAGATGCCGCCCAACTCCCCCCAAGGTTTCTTTAAAAGTCGGTCACAGGCCACCACCACCTGCCGCCACCGGCAGCTGCTAGGATTATTAAACATTCTAATGCGTTCTAGGTAAATCAGAGGAGGACCCGTCGTCGCACCAATCGTCGCACGTTACCACCGAGATCTTCCTTCGTCGGGCGACGATGACGACGGGCGCGACGACAACGACGTCGTCCCGACGACGAAAGCAGCCCGCGGCACCTTTCCATCTCTCCGATAAACCGGTAACACCGGCGGAGGTTAACGCGGGTGCGCGCGGATGAATGAGGAGGGTTCCGGCTGATTCAGCTCTCGTACGAAAATATCCGTGAGAAATGAGACGTCACGTCGTGGTAACTTCCATCGCTCGCTAAATGCGTCCGGATTCCGGCAGAAAAAGTGACAGGCCGCTTTTCAGCGACGCGACTGTGCGCTTCTCCCCGGTGCGCTTCGAGGAATTCGTTTCGATGGATCGCGATCTAAAGATCATTAATGATATACAGAGTCCCCCCCTCCCAAGATTCCCCAGAAAAATGTATAGATGAATGTTCGAGACGACTTTGTGTTTACATGACCTACATGACGGTTTGTGCTTCTCTCGCATTTCCCGTATTAAATTTGACTGAAGAAGGTCATGTGTGACCGAAGCGTTTGGATTGGATTAATTTATTATATTCAACGTTAATGTTGAGATAAGGATTTTTTGTTTTATCATTACACTACGTTTACTATGCCCGGCTCTCCGTGGCTTCCGATACTGGCAAGTTTAAATTTTCATCAGGGGTGCGTTTAATCTGTTAATTTTTGAGAAAAGGCTATTGCTTGAGGAATGTTCCGAAATTTTCCGGAGGTATTTTCTCTCGGCATTTTTCGCCGAGAGAGAGAGAGAAAGAGAGAGAGAGAGAGAGCAGAGATGGGGGGATTCTACTTAGTATAATTCGCGCTTGTTCTTTCGTAACAATGTGTGTGCGCGTACGAGACCTGATTTTCGCTATTTTCTACCGATGAAACCATATCGCACGCGGTGACTCGCAACGCATCGATAATTAACGCAGGTGACATCCATTCCTCATTCATCGCGTCGTACATGCCGATCGCTTCGACGATCACGTTATCATGCAAGCAAATTTCATAGAGTTCCTGCTAACCATTTGAATCTCTTCGTGACTACTTAAGAGACTCAACCGGGTTTCGTAACTGCGCGAATAAAGATACTATAATGTGGTAATGTGACTTGGTATCTTTCTTTGCAATTACTAAATCTTTCCTTTAACACCCTTTTCCTTATTCCTAGTATTAGTAGAATTAGTATTAGTAGAATTGAATTTCCTTCGTGTTTTGATGCGGAGGAAAATTCGCCCCCGAAGTTTGTCCCCTTGCTTTAATTATACCATGTATATGTGCAATATGACAGTCTTATACGCGTGACTCTTTCTCGGTTTAGCGTGTCGTTACCGTAAGCTCCCGATTTTCAGTCCCGCGGCAGATGGTGACGTTGTCATCAAAAGAAAATTAGGAGCAGATATGACGATAAATTAGAATCTCCCGTATTTATTGCTTTAATATAAAAATAGTGCGCATTGTGCCTGCGCGGTGAAATGAAGTAAAATTAACCACGGGCCAATGCTTGGCTCGCGAGACGCTACGTGGAAGTTCCACGTCATAGCTCGAGAGGTCGTCACTGAAATTTTCCTCAACGTTTTCCCGATTTCCCCGGCGGCGCGAAAAATAGCCGGCGACGCGTTCATAAACGCGAATACCGTGATTCGCGACACAAATTCTAACCGAAGACCCACTTTCGTGCGCGCGTCCAGTCTCCGCGAGGGTTTCGTCTTGTCCGTGAGAAGAAAGAGGAAAAATATCCGGAACGCACGCAGCGAGCGAGTGCAGCGAGAAATTAATGCAGACGTACGTACGTTCGTTCATTCGGCCTCCTCGTGTCGGAACTCTCGGTGCGATCCACGGAATTGTGTTTTGGCGGTTGAGGAGGGGCCTTTCTCTGGTTAGTGGGTCGAAGAAAGTAGTGGCCAGTCCAGGAGTGGTTCACCTTGGTTAATATTTGCTCGTTCCTTCCCCGATATCCGATACCAGTCGCGATCTCGATAGCGATGGCGTCAAGTCTGCCGTGAGTAACATCGGAAATCCGAGGTAGAGAGCCGATCAATCCACTCTGAGAATCTTCTTCCAGCGTGAGAGATTTCAAAGATATGAAATATTATTCGAAACGTTCTGAACAAAAGAGAACTGATGCGTAACGCACGGTATGTATGTGTGTGTGTGTGTGTGTGAAATAACACAAACGCGCGAAACGTGCGCTCCAAAGCATTTAAACACGTTCAGATATTCAGTGAACGTTGTATCCCCCTCCCCTCCTCCCGACACAGTTTAAAATAATTATTTACAAACCACACAAATACTTAATCGAAGAAATGGCGAAGGGTTCGCTCGAGAGAGACCGAGGACGCTTTGACGAAAAGCGCTTTGCCTCAACGCGCTGAGTCGCTGAGTCGCTGAAATCAGCTAACTGCCGATCGAATTGATCCCATCGCTAGCCGGGCTCTCAAATAATAATAACTCGGGGGTTTCCTAAGTCGACGAACGATACGAGCGACACCCGTGGAAGAGATATGTGGGTCATCATCTCGGTCGGGGGGCCGGGGCAAACAAGTTTTTACGTAACGCCGTGGGATAATGGCCGGTTCGGAGATGCTGCGCGCTCCGACTTCCTTCCGTCGGCTCGTCCTTCCACCGTGCGAGAAAAAAAAAAAACAAAGAAAGAAAGAAAAAGAAACAGGCGCGCGATCTCCCGGTGCGAATTAAGATCCGCAGGTGCGATTAAGCCGCGGAGGGTCGCGCGTCCGTGACATTGACAGAGTTTCAGGCGAGTAACGGCGGGAGCGCTCGTTTGCCGGGCGCAATTATCTAACCGCGGCTGTCGCGCGCCGATGATCGATGACGGAACTGGCAATCGGAACTGGGTTGCCGATCCTGCTCCTTCCGACGTAATTATATAACTCCGGGGAGAAAGCGCGATTTTTAGCGCGATTTCGAGGAGATCACGAGACCTCCCTCGCAAAGTCTGGTATTCGCTCTACTCGCTCGATCTCGACATGAGTCCGATTTACGCGTCTTCGAGGCGCCTGTTCTCCGAAAGGTGGGTTCGACCATGGTTTTGTTGTCGCTCGACAAGCGACAAGGGGTTTCTCCTAGCGAGGAATGTTCGATTCGAGGAGAAATGTCTTTTCACCCGATCCCCCACCGTATCAGCACACATTTCGCGCCGTCGTTTCCCCCTTTCGCACGTCACGCGTCAACCGCGCCCACGCTCGCAATGAGAGAGAGAGAGAGAGAGAGAGAACGGCGCGGTGTAATCAATAGCCCGGAATCGTAAGTGATCTCGCATAACGGCGGGACGAGCGGACGGACGAATCGACTTTTCTTCAAACGGTGAAAGGCGAAGAGAAGAGAAGGTTCTTTTTCGCGAAAAAAGAGAGAGAGAGAAAGAGAGAAAAAGTCCGGCGATGTGTAGCGTGTTATTACACTAGAAAACGCTCGTGCGAAGTAAGGCGAGCTTTTTCCTTGTTTTTTCGACGCGTCGGAGACGTTAGAGAGTGCTTGCTTGCTCCTTCGTTCGCGCGGAAATTTTGCGCGGCGCGCAAGAGAGGTGGAAACCAAGCATTAGAGAGCAAGAAATCGGTAACGTCGATAATTAACCTCGATTACGGGACATTTAGCGATCTTACGAACGCAACGGCGGTTCTTCGGAAGCGAAGCGCTACTGAAAATATCTCCTCGGGGTTTGTTGTACTCTGCCGCGTGCGCTATTGTTGCGCCGATAAATGGTACGAAAATCCACGTCATCTCCGTTCCTCCTCCTTTCTCGACAGTTGCAAAAAGAAAGAAAAAAAAGTTACGAATCTGCTGCAATGCCTAAGAAAAAAAAGACCGATCCCTGGATCAGCCAGCCTTCCTCCCGGCGGCACGAAGCGGATAATAATCCTCGAAAAGAGCAGATATCCGATATCCTCCCGCCCCCCCCCCCCAGCCTCCCCACGCGAGCCCTACGGCGACGCGACTCGACGTCGCGCGCGCCCCGGGTCCCCCGAGTGGTACCAGGCTGACGAAGGAGGTCACCCGGTCACCCAGATGAGGTTCCTTGCCCGCCGTTAACCCCCTCGTCGCCTCGTCGAATCACACCGACGCCGGCGGTGCCCCACCGTCGCGGCGGTCCTGGCCAATCCTGTCCTCTGTTTTCGTGCCGACCGCCGACCGGTCGGCGATCCGACATCCGCGGCCGGCGGCGTGCCCAGATTTAAGCTTCTTCCTTGCCAGGCAGGATCTCCGGCTCTCAGCCTCGCCACCCGCGTGAGATCCTTCGTTCACGTCTCTCTCGCGCGAGATCTCGCTCCGGTACGTCCGTCCGTCGCCGATCAGCTCGATCCGAAAGATCGAGCATCGTTGTCTGTGCTGCGGGAGAGCCTTGGCCAACGGAACAATTCGAGAACAACATGGCTGCGAAAGCCACGGTCCTGGTGCTGATGGTCACGCTGGTGGTCGTCGCGTCCGCTGGATTGCTCGGTGAGCAGATGATGGATTATTCGGTGGCGCGCGAAAAGCGCGTCTGCACTGGTGGAGAACTCGGGCGCGCGTAAACGGTGATCTCGACGACGCGGCGTCGGAGATTTCGACGCGTGGATGTCCGGTGCGCACGTGTCTCGCTGCGCTCGCCGCTGACGGCTGGTCGCGCTGACGTTGGGAATTTTTCATTGAACGATCGCTATTGTAAGAGAGAAAAAAGCGGCGAGAGAAAGAGAGAGAGAAAAAAAAGCAGAACGATCGGAGCGGTCCGTGATCCCATCGGTTCTTGTCACGATTCGGGAACAAAATCGTCGTTTGACGTTTCGTATCTTGCATGCCGAAGTTATGCTTCGACGGAAATGATTTCGTTTCTAATTCATGTCGCAAGCTTCAATTTAACACAGACGTAATCATTTTATTACATACGTTCGGTGACAAGATGTATCGTCGTTTTCTTAATAATATTGTCAATGTTGCTGGCGTTGTCATTTTGTCAAGGAATCAAGAAAGCTACAGTGATATTTCGAGTATATTATTTATCTTAAATAATGTCAGCAGTTCAGTAGTTACCAGTTTTTATTTTTTAGCAGTTACTTGAGATAATAATGCTGCATTTTTTTCAAGTTTTTCGCACGGTATGATATCTGTAATTTCTAACTAAAAAGAAATCTTGCGTTTCTCTGTCCTTTGTTATCGCACTTTTAAACGCGACGTTGGTTCTTTGTCGGCTGATTTCGGGTATACGAATTATCGGATTATTTCAATCGCATGGAAAATATTTCGCGTGATTCCAACTTTACGTACTTCGCTCGAGATAAATGTGAGAATTATCGAGAAAAAAATTCGAATAGCGTGGACGGTCGGAAATCAGACGACCTGTCTTCTAACTTCATTTCCGGTGTTTCCGCTTGATTCTAATCTCTCATATTCCCGTAACAGTCGTCGACACAGTCGTCATTCATAAGATCTACAACGATATCTACCAGATATCCGAAGAATATTTTCCAAAGTATCATTCAACGCCTCGACTCGACAATGCGCGATGAGAAAGTCCGCCGATGGAAACCCACATTGGCACACTTAACGTCCAGGTGTTAGCCGTCTCGGTGCCCATTGTGGCACGATGCGTGAAGTCTTCGAGTGTCACAGCCTGTGATTCGTCATTCGGGTCTCTGAGGAAGGCCCGAAAGAGATATCTACGACGTCGCAGTGAAACGCGCTAGAAATTCGGCTTCTCCATTTCGACTTTCGATCGGCAACTTTCGTTTCGTTCCGATTTCTCTGTTCCGAGTTTCTCTGCCGTCCCTTATCTCTCGTGCACGCGCTCACGCCCACATTCATACGCACACACGCACGTGTTTCCGGCCCGTAGAGACCCTGCTCTCGTGGGACTTGCCGGAGGTCGAGGCGAGATCGAGTACGCCGCAGTCCAAGTGTCTGTGCCAGATTTCCGGCTGCCTGTGCTGCGTCGACTTGAACCTGACCTCCACGATCGACCTTGGCGGCCCGGCTTGCGTCAACATCAAGCAGAAGGAGCAGAACGTCTCTCTGAACCTGAGCTACGGCGATAACCCGGTCCACAATGCCACGATAAGGATCGGCAAGTAGTCCGCGGGGAAAGTCGAAACGAGAAGAGAATCCATTTGTCCATTGATCATTTCGAGTCACGCGAATTCTATTCTCGCGCGCGATTTTGAATTCGCTTCGTCACGGCGTACGAATCCATTCAATTCTCAATCGTTGACGAACGTGCCATTGCAGCGAACGCGGCTAACAAGCCGACCTGCATGAACCTCTTGTCCGACCTGGCGCAAATCTGCGCGAGATTCGCGTCGGTCAAGCAGTCCGATTTCGGCGGCCACGACGGCTGCATGGTGATCGAGCCGGCTCTACTGGGCACGCCGCAAGCCACGTACCACATGGGGTGCTTCAACTTCTATCAGGGCGTCCGGCAGGTCGAGGTGTCCGCGTGAGTACTCCTCCGTATGACTCCCCTTCTCCCCTTCGGGAGAAGATGCATTGTACGTAAGCAAGGGACTTCTCGCGACCAAAACTCTGCCACGTAGTATCACGGAGACGACGGGATCGGCCGACACCTCGGACGACGACGACGACACGCTCAACACCGACGAGCTGATCGCCGCGGTGTCCGCCAGCGCCGAGCACGGTATCGCGTTGTTCTCGCAATGGCTGGGCCTCAGCCTGAACCCGAAGCTGAACCTAACGTCCCAAGAGGACGGTCCTCAGGATCAGCAACAACGGGCCGACGGCTCCTCGAGATCAGCCCGGAACATGTTGGACGTTCAAACAGCGGAGAGGAGCGACGAGCGGTTCAAACAGCTGCTGAGCGCCCAGGACAACGTGCTGAAGGGCTCGGCGACCATCGGGCAGTCGAACGGCATGCAGACCACCTTCGTCTACTCCAGGCCGAGCGATTTGATGCTGCCGGGCGCCGATAACGCGACCGAGGAGGCGAAGAAGAGGCTGGAGACGGAAGCGACGGTGCCGCAGCACCTGGTCGTCGTGCCGAAGGAGTCCAGGAGGGGCGGCAGGGCGTACAACATTCACCAGCACGTAAACGAGATCTGATCACGTCGGTTCACGCGGACGACTCTCGGTGGTAGACGCGCGGTTAGGCCGCCGCCGACGAGTCCCCCTCTCTAGAGCTTAGGATGGCCCGCACGTAGACTATACACTCGTACGTATTGCACGCGGAGCTGGGCGACGGGGAGGAGAACTTCGCTTCGTTCGACCGCTGCTGCTCGCAAAGGCTCTCTCAAGGCACCCGACGATTCTTCGGAACTTCGTTCATTGAATTCCCTCTCGCGATTTCTCACGGGTACGACGGGTGGAAAGACCGTCGGGCTGGTGCAGCTCGCTCTCGGGGCTGTCCGGCGAAACCGGGCTGGGATTGCGCGTGCCGATTGAACGAACACGCCGCGGCCGCCGTATTTACATCCGCCCAGCTCCGTCCGTATGATCTCTCGCGATTGTGATCACGTTTGCTCTCGATTTCTCACGCCACCGGTCGAGATCGTCGCCTTTCTCGCGATGCTATGTACCGCTAACCCTCCCCCCTTCACTTCTCTCTCTCTCTCCCCCGTCGATGATCACTCGGAGGACGGCTGAACGTGTACGTCGGATCCTACGTCGTTTTTGCCGTTGAATTATGTGAGCATATCAGTCTGTAATAATTGCGATTCGATCGTTTCGTCTTGCCAACGGAGAGGAGGAATAAGGAAGAAGTAACGTCGCGTGTTCCGGTAGATTGCGACGACGACTACGACGTCGTCCCGACGACCCGTCGATAAGTAACGAGCGCTTCCGATCAGGCGCGTTTCATTTATTACCCCTTTTCTCGGGTTTCCCCGTCGGAGCCGTTCCGCGTCCGCCAAGTGGAAGATACATCAGGCGCGCCGCTCGTGTTTCACACGCGAAAATGCGCGAGAATCGCACTTGCACTTGTGTTCGCGGCGCGCTACAGAGTGCGATAAGGATTTTATATCAGGACGTGTTTATAAACTATAAACACTCACACGCACACATACGTTCACACGAGTGTACGGATCGGCCCGACGCGGTTCATTGCATCGCGATGTAATCTCGATCGAAACGACGATCTTTTTGGTCTTGTGAATTCCGGCGTCCCCCTCGATTAATATTACTAATTAGAATATACGGAGCGAGATAAGAAGCTAATGAGGTTCCTCTGTTACTTCGGAACGCAGCGCGCGATCCTCGTGTGCGAAATTCTCTCTCGGTGCGATGCCAGGATAATATATNTATATATATATATATATATATATAGCTCTCGATGCGCAATAAGCTGAATAAAACAAATGTGTTTGACGAGGGAGATCGTGGTTTCTTTATTCGTATTCCTTTTTCATTGCGATCGTAGCTTTAAGTGTCATGTGTTCAACAAAGGAACGTCCGTTTCACGTTATCACGCGCTTCGATGTACGCCCGAAAGCTTTATTCATCTGAGAGAGCGTCTTTTTAATAGAAAAATTCTACGCAAAATCGCGAGTGACTCATGAATTACACTGAAATTCACTCCCTAAGGGCGATTATTAATATTAATAGCGACGTTGATACATTCTTAGCTACTGATTTGATTCTTACATCAGAAATTCTATCCTCTTTAAAGCACGTTACGCGTACTTTGGAAAAATCCTACGTCTTAAGTAAAATTCTACGTACTTAGAGAAAGATTTCGAGACACTGTACTGAGGGAAGAAATATCGGGGAAATTTTGTTCGACGTGTGGATGCTAATAACGTATTTAACCGAAATGTTTTTCTTTAAATGAGATGAACAGGTGCTTTTTCACGAGGAGCTGCGCGTTTAAGAAAACTTATATTTCCTTATGAGAGAAAATTTTTCTAACGTAAAAATATGTATATCAGTACAAGTAAATATATTATTAGCACCCATCAAATAAAGAAGTTTCTATTTTTTGGATATTTCTTCTCTCAGTGTAGAAATTATTTCCGTTTATCTGTATAATATTTGTAAGAGTTCGGAAATAATATTCAGATTAAAACTCGGAAGTATATACACCTCGCCTAAAATAGCGTGATTGCATGATCGGAAAAGTCGATTATACGAAATGATTAATGACATGAGGTCTGGAAGACGAAAAAGAGCTGCGCATCAGCCGCCTCGACCGGAATTGTGCGTGTTATCGATTGATAAACCCCTTACAGCTAGATATGTGTCAGGATCATCTGCTCCCATGATCCTGGATCACGAACGAGAGCGCAATATAGATAGTGCACAATTTTCTCTCGTACAACACTATGTATATTGTCGTCCCTAGAAGCAGCGAAGCGAATATAAAAACTACTACAAGCGGAATGTCGGACTTGTGTGACAAGTCGCCGATTACGATTTCAAGCCTTCATTCTTTCGCTTCTCTTGTTCACCCGTCAACATCTACGCGTGTTAATGAACGAAAGGGACGCTTTCGAAGTTGTCGTATTCTCGTTTAAATATCCTCTCGCAGAGCACACGTTACTTTCGCGACGTAACATCGTCAGATTAGCGACAATCCTATAAACTTCAGTTATTATTATTACTCGAATATTAAGATTCGTTACACCTTGAAAAATGTATATAAGAAATATATATATGTATATAACCATTATGTGTGTATGTATCACTGTATATATATATATATATATCTATATATGCGCGTGTGTATATATTTTTGTCTTGTTTTCCTTTCGTCGCCTAGCGATTTTAAGAAAAGCCTTCAAAAGGAAATATTACAGAGATGGACTAGATACTAAGAATGTTACTTCCTCTTAAAGTAAACGCGCGTCTCGTTCGCTTTGTCAAAATATATATATATATATATATGTATATATATATAGTGTATATATATATATAGATATGCGCTTTCTGCCTACACGTGTCTTTCGTCTTCGTAGTAAAAATATTTTTTGGGCTTCATCTTTGGGCGATCTTCGTTAGTCTACGATTAAAAAATAATTCCTCCCTTAATGCTGCGATTACTTGGACTTTGGACATCCTGTAACGCGCACCTAATCGCAAAAGTCTGAGCAAAGTGAAAATGCGCGCTGACATTATTGTAATCAACAAGAGATCGTCAGATTTTATTTTTAATGCATTTCTAATGTATACGCATTGCGTATAGCGAATTTCTATGTTGTCAGAAAGTTCGTCGTCTCGTCGGACAAAGTTAGACTTTTGTGATGCAGGTACACGTATTGTATCGGTCAGGTCATCAGAGACAATTACCTCGTTCGATTCGTTCATTTCGTTGATTTGGCATACACGTGAACAAACGTCGCTTCGCTCGCCGTTAATTGTACAAAAACACCGCGGAAGAGAAGATTTTTGTTCGCTTTATAAAAATAAGTCGTCTGTTAATCACTAATTGGAGGACTTCGTTGCGTAGTATTAGATGCGTAGTGTCGTCTGAACTACTGTCCGTCACGGAGGTAATCGCGATTGCGATTGTACAAATCCACGTTACGGATGTATAAATTCACGAAAATAATATTCTCTCAGAAAGAGATGAAGTGAAAATTAAGAAAAATTTATTCGTCACTTTCTTACATCGTCTATAATAAGAGATAGACCGATGAAATTAATTTCTAATTCGAAAAATTACGTCTTCGATTTTAGCCGAATTTCTCTCGAATAGTTTCGCTTATTAATTTCCTTCGGAATTTATATATTCGCGTGAGCAAAGTGAAAAAATGCAGTCGGGCCGAAAGCTTGAATGATCCTCCGTTGCATCGACACTCCTACATATTGAAGGAAAAAATATCTAAAAAATAAAAGGAATATTTATTCTAAATTAATATATATGGGGTGCTAATAACATATTCACTTAAATCTCGAAATCTTCTATTTAAACGGAGCAAACAATTTCTTCTTCGGGAAAAGCTACGTTTTTAGGAGAATGTAATTATCTCATTAAAAGAAATGTCTCAGTATGTAAAAATATGTACATAAGTAAATATGTGATTATCAATGCACCACCGAATAAATATATTTTTTTTATTTTTTAGACATTTTTTTCTCAGTGTAGTAATTTTACATAATATTAGATGATGATTACGAGTTATCGATAAATATTAGTGTCCGATGTAGCGGGATGCCGAGCAGATCGGGTCACGTTGTACGATTAGAACGCGTTTTGATTCGACAGTGTCCGCCTCACCGTTTGATTATATTTGTCAGATTTGCATGAGACGCTTGCTTATCACTGACTCACTCTCTTCTTCTTGTCAAGTATGTATCGTGAGAAGAGCCGCCGTTAATTTTGCATTGTTCTTAACTCGAATGACATAAGATGGAAATCGCTCGCTCCTGATAATGCTCACTCCCGATTAATAATAGTAAGCATTTCTCGTTATCCAATGAGAATGTAATTCAACGTAAGTCATCGCGCAAATACGCGCAAATTAACTGCCCCGTCTCGCCTTTAAACTTAACCCTGAAGCCGTGACACGAATGTAGATCCGTTTTCTCCAGATACAACGTGTTACACTTTCTCCGTTCAACATGCGATAAACAAAACAAGTGACAGACAGAGAAAGAGAAAAAAATGCGTAAAGTATACAAGAATAAAAAGGAACAGATTCCCTCTCTCTCGTATCGTATTAAAGTACAATAATTGATAAAAAAAATTCTGATCATACATACTAGAACTTATCGATAATCATTTTGTTTAAAGTATCGTTTTAAATGCATCCATTTTTACGCGTGCAACCTCAGCTCCTTTAATTAAAAGAGAATTAAGAGAAGAAAAGTTAAAAAATAATGAAAAAAGAAGACTAATCAACAAAATATAGATAGAGAAAGTTAAAATCTGAGATAAAAATTTTACATAATTTCGTCTCACGAATCGAGGGTTAAGACAATCAGAGACGCTCATACCGGCCTCTGAACAGTCTTCTGCGATCTCGCGCATACTATTACCAGCAATAATAAGCAATATTGCTTCTAAATGGCGAATATTCGCATAATATGGAAGATCGAGTGTTAGAAGAAGAAGAAGAAGACTGAGGTTCGACGAAGTTAAACGAAGGGAGCGGCGAAATTACTTGATGGATTGCCTCGAAACGGGATTAACGGGCGCCAGAGTCAAGGATTCCCTTTTCTTTCTGTTCACACGACGTCCCACGTGCAGTACAACGTCTCCAGCCTTCACAGACTTGAATTCGGCGATCGCCTCGGCGTGAGTCATACCGTGAAGAGGTTTCGAATTTATCGACAAAATCTCGTCCCCTAAAAATATAGAAAAATCCCGGATTAACGCTGCGGTATTCATCCTCGAAATCCTCGATTCATCGAGCGTAGCTGTGTACCTTCTTTAACAGTGCCCAAGTCAGCGGCTTGACCATTAGGGAAGACGGTTTTCACGTAAATCCCCATGTTCCCTCGGGGACTGTCGGTACCGCCGACGATACTGAAGCCGAGTCCCTTGTGCCCAGGACCCTTGAGAAATCTGGCGGTCAGTATCGTAAAGGATGCGCCGCCCTTACCGGGTCTTGGCAAGGTACAAAAGCGTGATTCCTCGCCTTCGGCGGCCTCGTCGATGTCCTCGAGCTCCGAGTCCGTGTTCAGACCTTCATCCGCGTCTTGGGTACCCTGAAACAATTACAAAATTTACACGTTATTTTTTGTAATTACGAAATATCGCAAATATTTTTTATAAATCCAAGTTATTTGTATATTTTATAAATATAAAAGATAATCGTTCGAATAAGTTACACGTGTATCGGACGTATCAGATCATGCGTCAAGAGAAATTTGACCACTTGAAATACGAAATTTTTCTAAACGAAATTTCACCCTTTCGTCGTACGTTGCGATTTTTCGACACCACAAAATGCCTCAACAAAATCCACTCACTTGCCAAGTCTTCAAGTTCGCTCCCGAAGAGCTGGGGATATTCGCGACGCTCCTGCTGTTGAGCCTCTTCGTGTTCCTCTTGCCGGCATTTCGGTCGATACCGAGACTGGAGGGCCCATCCTCCTTGTTACCACCGGCGACCAACGTGGCCTCGGCCGAGTAATTGCTCACTTGTCCGCCGACCTTGAAGTCGGTGGACCGCCTCCTAGGCGTCACCCTGGGAATATGTATCTCCTCGAACGACGGCGCCGACTGGTTCCTGCCCTTCGCGTTCTTCTGGAAGTGCACGTTCTCGTACGAGTGATCCCTCGTCTCGGAATTACTCCTGCCGAGGTGTCTGCCCACGTAAGGACTGCCGGAGGTCGCCGGGTCGTCGCGCTGGCCGCCCCGCTGGAAGCGTACGTTCTCGTAAGAGTGATCGTGCGCACCGGTGTCGGCGCGGTTCTCCGAATTGCTGCGCTGGAGCATGGGACGAGTCCTGGGACAGGATGGCGTGGACCTGGAGAACGCCACCTTCTCGTAGAAATCCTCCTGCTCGTAGGCCTCTTGGGAATAATTGAAGGTGTCGCCGGTGCCGTTCAGCGGACTGGTGCAATGCGGGGAATTCGGTACGCTGCCTTCTGCCAGGGTCTCGAGGTTGTCGTGGAAGGGATAGGGCGGCAGAGACGTGGGCTCGCTCGAGTCGTAGCAGTTCTCGTCGAAGTTCTGACTGGACGACGAAGTGAGCGGACTTGGCACGTAGAAGCTGGACGCGTTGTCCTTCTGCTGCGGAAACACCTCCGTCACGCTCAGGGCCTTCCGCTTCCTGATGCCTGCGTTTATCTTACTGAATTTGCTACGGAGCACATGCTGGATGTCGGCGATGCCCTTAGTCGTGCCTGCGGGGATACCTTATTGTGAGATACACGCTACGAAGGTAGGGTCGATACTACATCGAGGTATCACGTAACTACGATTTCAACTCACCCGGCAGCCTCAGGGAACTAGTCTGCAGCAGTTTCTTCGGCGAGCTGCCGTCCTGGAGACTCTTCGCCGCCGGCGAGGCTTCCCTACTGGCCGGTGTCGATCTCACCGCTTGTATAACACCGTGATTCGTTCCACCCTGTATCAGCGCCTCCTGTGGCTCCGACGACTCCTGGACGGAGCATCGTCTTCGCAGCTTCCGCCAACGCTGGCTGATACTCTTGTTCCACAGGTTCAAGTCTGAAAGGGAGAAACGAGAAAACGCTTAGGACACGTCGCTCAAGATCAGGACGCGGAACATTAATTACCGCCCGTCCTGAAACGAAGCTGGTAAACTCCTGCGGGTATCATTTTTGACAAACGAAAGAAAAAAAAAAGGAAAGAAAGAAGAAGAGAGGAACGGTTCCGCTTCCCAGTCATCAGGCCTAACGACCGGAAACACTTATCTCTCTCCCCTGAGCGAGGTGAAGCGACATCTTTATATTTACACGGAGATAACGAGTCGGGCCTGACGAAAAGACACGCGTCACGGCGTGGATGACTGTAACGGTAACGATAGGGCACTATCGGAAGCAGAACAGCGTGTGCGGGGCAGCGACTCGTGCACGGAAACAAGGAGCGCACTGCGACTCGGATATGTATATATATATATATTACAACGCCGCAGTAAAAAAAAGACATTAACGCGAAACAAAAGAATAACGTAATTTCACGTGTCTGAAATTAATTATTCGGTCCCTCGTAAGAAGGCTTCTCCCGCATAATAAATGTTTAAACAACTTTTTAACTTAACCTTTTTTTTTTAATCCGCCACCTTTAATACTAGCTGAGAATTACAATTACTGTAACGTTACTAACAACGTTACAGCAAGTACAATGAGTAACACAACTTCACCGAGTCCCGGAATTTAATTGCGAGAACGCAATGTTGATTTTTTAAAAAATGATGGACGTAATAAATACGTAGTTCCCGACATAAGTTTTTTTTTATTTTGAATAATCTCGAATAAGATCTGTACGCTAAACAATAAATATTTGTCTGTCGATACTTTTATCTCTCTCCGTATCTCGCTCGTTGAATACCGCTCGCACGAATATCCGAAATGTCGACGTAAAAATCTATTATCAGATACTAAACAAATATTTACGAACTATCGAATGCCAAGGGAAAAATTTGTTTAAACCACTCTGCTCACGTATATCATTCTACTTTTACCGCGTCAGTCACAGAAATTCAATTGTTACTTCTCTCCTTTCCGTCGGGCACACGCGGCTAAATTATACCTCCCATCGTAAGCCACGATTTAGCGTAATTACAATTCAATATAGTCTCCATGTCCTCCTCGTGACGCGTCCACGTGTCCGGAAGACGAAGAGACCCAACCTCAGCCGGGCAGGGCCAACCCTTTCCTATTTCTTCCGTCTCGTCGCACCCTCGGCGACCTTGATGAATACCGGAACATAACCAACTCGACGCCGTTTTCCGTCTCTCGAAGTCTCACAGTCACACAGTCATGAATTGCTGAAGCCGGCCGATGACGAGCTCCGGTATCGGGTCAAACCAGATTCACGAATTAATGCGGCTAATTAAATCCATCGCCTGACTTTCGATCGGCTTTCGTGCGAACGATGACGAGGCGAGCGATGATGTGACAGTGGAGAGCTCGACGACTGATGCACCAAACGGCACCGGCTGCTATGCCGTTGTTATCCCGTCGGGGTTACCGTCATCCTGTGCAAAACGCACTTTCACTTCTCCGTATCTCCGGATGCGTCCGATTTTACGGAGGTCTTTTTCAACGCACACCGGACGTTGCGATCCTCGATACTTTCGGCCACCTCGTATGCAAGATCACGCACCGGTGAGCCCGCTGCTAATTGGCTGCTTTATTAACTGGCACAGCGAAGCACATACACATACACGTGTGAGAAACTGTGTGACGTCTACGTTGGCATCGTCGCCTCCAAATTTGGATGCTGTCACTTACGGAGTTTTTACGATGGCGACGAGGGTGTAATTTCGGCGAGCGAGCGTGTCAATCACGAGACTCCCCCCTCGACCCGGAAGTTCCCTCCTCCCCGCGATATCGGGGGTTTCCATAAAATGATAAATATTTCTTGGAGCAAAGTTTCACTGAAACTTCACCTATCCGTGGAGATTACAGAAATACCTTTGCAAGCAGGTAATTGAACCAACAAATTATTCTCTCCAAACCTAAAATCGCTCCCGCTTTTCTAATCTTATCTCGGAAAATGTCGAAATAGATATTGTTGGTGATCAAGTTGAGCAACTAAACTTTCCCGGCAGTTTTAAGAGTTTTCAGTGTTGCTGAAAGTATTACAACATGCCGCAGTGCTTCCGGAAATGTCGGTCGTCAAGTTTCTGATGTCTTCGAATTGCTCGAAGAGAACGAAAAGAAATTCATATATAATGATAATTATTTAATAAGGAATAGATAGACTCCTTAATCCCGGAACGAATCAACTCCGTTAATTGACGCTTCTTGCGGGATGGGATGTAATTAACATTCGCCGGCGTCACGCAGCTTCATGCAAATCAGTATCGATCGCGCGGACTGCGGAAAGTCGAAGGCTCGTCCCGTTACAGACAATGAAAATTTCAATTTCGCCTCGCGTCTCCCGCGTCTTTGCAGGCTGAAATTTCGCACACAACGGTGCAGGACGGAGCGAATAATTTGATCTCGCAATAATAAAAAACGTGAAGAATCCGATACTCTTTCAATATCCTTCCGGGTGTGATCATCTCCTCCGCTTAACTCTTCTTTGCGGAATCCGTTTCCGGATTTAAATTTAACACAGTCGAGAAGTTTTCCTCGACGGAGCGAATTGAATGCTGTGTGACTTTGATCCCACGACAGAAACTCCAAAACTGACCCACAAGAGTCCTTTCCTTCCTTTAGCTTATTATATTCCTGGGGAACCCCCGATTTTAACAATCGCCTTTCGCCCTCACTAATTCGGGACGAGCGGATCCCTCTTTCAATGGAATCTTTCACAGGTTCATTCTTTTCCGCGGGATACAACTTCTTCCACGGATCCAGGCGGGGTGGTTGTTTTTTCACAGGACAAATTTGGACAGCCTGTGCTAGTTCGGGCGAAGCATCATCTGCAGCTCCAGACACAACAGCTCCGTGCAAATGAACAAAAAGCCGACAACGTAGGTCAGCATTTTCGACAGCGGAAAAATCGCCGTCCCACTGCGAATGTTCCCCGCTGTCGGTCACGGTCGTCGATCGTCCTTCGATCCTACGCGTCCGGCGACGCGAGACCGATCCTCACGATCGCGCACGACGTTGTTGTTTCCTCGTCGACGGCTCGCCTTCGACGTCGGGGAAATCACACACACAGTCTGCACCGCGCGCTGTCTCGGCATGGACTGAGAGACCCTCTCGAGCTGTTCAAGCTGTTCACGTTGCCGTGTGCGCGCGTAAAAGGCGTCACACGCGTGTGCGTGCACACAACACGTGCGCAACTCTCGCTACCTGTGCATACAGGGTGACACCAAACTACCTGCTATCCGAATTCGTCTAAACCGAACGGATGAAACCTCGAGATGTGAAACCTCAAAAAAGGAAAAAGATGCCGAAGAAACTGTAAACGAACGATCCCTGTTGTTTTCTCATCTTTGACACTTCACCGTCTTGTTCATCAAGATATCTTAATCTCCGCTAAATTATAATCTTACTGCATAAATTGTAGTCTTACCGCGAAATTATAATCATCGGACGTTGGCACTCAATCGAATATTCAAGAGAGAGGAATGACATCTCCCCCTTTTTCCTTTTCTCTTTTTTCTTTTCCAACGTTTCACTGTGTACGTGCCACGGCTGCAGACAGATTGTGTGCCGATTGTGTGGGAACTCCTCGCTCTGTGTACAGCACGCGAGCGGTCTCTTTCGCTCATGGACGCGCGAACATGTGTGTCATCCACCTATACGCACACACAAGTAACACACACACATATACACACGCTCACGCTCCTATTAATGTACATCACGGCTGCGTGCACACCCTACGTGCAATTGCACTCGCGCGCCTCATGGTCAGGGCGGGACGCCTTGTTCCGCGCGATAATGTGAGCCTGTCCCTTATGTGGATCCGCATGAAAATGCGGACACGCACGCTTTCACGAGCGGCAATTTTCAAACTTGACCAGCTCAATGACCGCGGCGTGTGTCAAAAGTAAAATTAGTTCAGAGCAATTAAAATCCGTCCGGTCAAACTACCCCCACTTTTTCTTTTTACTTCCGCCATCCCAAACGCCGAAACAAGCAGAAACAAGCCGACAGTAGGGGTGGTGCAATACGAATGATTGATTTAGCAATTAACCAATTAACATTGAAAGGGAATAAGCAACGAATCTCTCGTATATCTGTTCATTCGCATAAAGAAATTCTAAGTCTGCTCAGAAAGATATGTCAGATTTGCCCATCTTTAATCAATTTTCATTTTACAACGTCGCCGAATATCACTTCACGTGTGTCTTCTTCAAAACCGACTACACGATCCTCCCGTATGTTAATTATTTTTTAAACTTTCTTCACACACACACACACACACACGTCTCTTTCCGCATTTTCCACCACTTTATTCATCGGAGGATCATTTACCGACGTCGTCAATTCTATAGAAGAGAGCTATGGTGCGCGAAACGTGCTCCATTTTATAGTCTTATATACAGGGCTCGCGCATAAATAAGCAAACCCGGCCAGGAGTGACGAGACTGTCGGCGGGCGACGATAAACGCGCTTTAAAGAGATACGCATGTAAGCACGCATACGCAGCAACGCGTGCGAGCCCGCGAGAGCACGTGTACGATTGTATATGTTTGCGCGCGTGTATGAGTGACTTAAGTGACATGCCGTGCATGAGGTCAAGCCCGGAGAATGTTTCTTCTATTGCTCATTGTGTCTCGGGGCCCCCCTATGCCGCGTTCGAAGTAAGCGGCCGCCCTCGATGGGAATTTGCGCCGAGACTTTGAAACGGCGGGGCAAAAGCCATTCGCCTCCGCTCGTCGCGATTTTTAGGCAGGAAAAAGTATCTCACAAAAGTTATCTCTTTCTTTCATTTGTGTTGCGTCACTATTTTTCTTAATAATAAACAAATCCGATCGACTTAATGGATACGGTAAATATTTCGTTTTTTCTACATTAACGCACGGTTAAGATAAATAATTAATTTGAATGGCAAAAATTTGTCCGAGAAGTTACGGAATATCG